TCTCATCCCACTAAGAAATCCCCAGTCCGCATCTACTTCCTCCACCTCATCGAACTCACCGGCCGCGCTTTTGCCATTCTCACTGTCCACAAGACTTGTAAATCCGGCCACCCCGCCCAGTTGCCCAAGCCCAGTCCGACATCATCAACGCCTTCGATGACTTCAAGCATCACGTCGGATGCCTTTGCATTTAGCCCCTCACCGCCATCTCCTCGTACCGAGGACATTTGTAATATATTCCAATCTTTCTGATTTGAAGAAGGAAAGAAAAATGAATTGAGTTGAGAGAGGGGTAATGTTGTCTTTTGGCTTTTCCGGCGGCACCCTCTTGTTAAACTACTGGAATTAAATGTAACAATTTGTTAGTTCAAGGGGGTTTTATGTAATTCAAAGGGGTTAGTTGCAAAACCCCAATAGTCTAAGGGGTTTATTGCACTTTTCCCTATATACATATCCACACATACAGAGTCCTTTCTTTCTTTCTAGAAAGAAAGGACTATTGGATTATTCGGACTAAACCCAAACCAAATTGACTTACAATTTAATAAACCTAACCAAAGTGATTTACAATTCCAGTCCCAAACCAAGACTTATTACAATTCAAACCCAAACAACATGATTCATAAGATCCAAACGGAATAATACATATTGAGATTCCACAGTGATGATTAACGAGAAATACACAGAATCTAGATCACTGAAGGGACTAAATACAAAACATGTAGATGAATTTATTGGTTATATATAGAAGATTGAGAGCGTCTATAATTCTCACAAGGGTCCGATGAAAACAAATTATAAATTCAAAAAGACTAATCACATGGTACATGAACCCCCTTAAAAAAAACAAAAAAACAAAAATAAAAACACTCTCAGAACAACCTAACTAATCTTTTGAAGAACCCTAGTGCTGTACAGTGCTACCCTATCTAGATTTCAATTAATATATGGCCACCATTTTCAGAATAAAAAACAGCTGAGAGCCTCAATTCATAGGGCAGGAACAAGCTTCCACAAGACTTGAATCCAGAAATCAAGAACTGCTACCTTGTTGATGACCTAAAATCATCGGCGACAGTTCAGTTCGGCAACGCTATAAGCGACACGGATCCTGCTCAGTGTGAAATCCAGTTCACATTGACGAAGAAACTGTAACTCCGGCGAGATCTGAGCTTAAACCGGAGGGACTCGGACGGAACTACAAGATCCTTTTTTTGTGATTGACGAAGTGGGCCCTCACATCGTCGAAGATGTCACTACAAAACCCAATGACTGGGTCTAAACAGCACCGCCGCAGGCAACGGCGCTCCAGCGCTAAGGATGTGAATTGGGTTTTTCAAGGGTTCGCCATCGCCGCAGCATCACACATGTGGGTCACGTTGTGCCGTCGTAATGCGTTATAGATGAGCGGCGCGTTGAATTTACGAAGACAGATGTTGGTCGCCACCACTGTGCTCATCCTTCGCCGGACGATTTCACAGCCGGAGTATAGAGAGAGAGAAAGGAGAAGGGTAATTAGAGGAAGGGTTTATGTATATATCGATGTATAGAGAGAGAGAAAGGAGAAGGGCAATTAGGTCATTTAGTCGTTTTTTTTTTATATTTTACTTTAAAAATTAATCAAATGATGTAGGGCAAATTAGACTTTTTGCACGTTTTTAGGCTATGTTTGGCTGTCAAATCTAACAAGGGGGTGTTATTGTCCAAAAATTGAATAAGTTTCTTTTGTGTGTCCTTTTGGCAAATCTCAAGAAGTGTTGCTATACTTTACCCAGTTTTTTTTTTTTTTTGCTATTTCAATCACTGGTGTAAAAAATAAATAAAAATAAATCACTGGTGTCCAACAAACAATTGACACATTATAATAATATCTATCCAGACTCTTACCAGAACTCCTAAATTTTTTTCATGTTCCATTTTATTTTGTGTATGGCCTCTTTGTTTTTATATTGTTTATGCAATAACTACATACATTAAACTTTCTCATGTAGTGCAGTGCAGGGAGATACAAAATCAAGGTAAATAATTTACATGTAATAAAATGAAGCACTTGAATTTCATCATATCATTTTTGTCTTAGGCTCCATTTGTTTGAGTGCAAAATATGTTTTAAAAAATATATTTTTTGTCTTTTTTGGTGTTTGAAAAAAAAATATATATATTATAACTTAACAAAAATAACTTATGATGAACTCGAGCTCAACACCAACCTATAGCTTTGCCAAACATAATATATATATGAGAGATTGAAAATAGATTTATGTAGTCGATCATTTTCATATAGAATTAAGGTAATATATATATATGTTTTTGGTGTTTAGAAAAAAAAAAAATTATAACTTAACAAAAATAACTTATGATGAACTCGACCTCAATACCAACCTACAGCTTTGCCAAACATAATATATTTATGTAGTCGATCATATTCATATAGAATTAAGGTAATATTAAGGTATATTACCTTAATTCTATATGAATATGATCGACTACATAAATCTATTTTCAATTTCTCATATTACATGTTATTTCACCTACTATATTCAACTTTGTAGAGTCATTTATAATAATTTTAGGCTCTCTATTATATTTCATAGTTCTATTACCTCTAGTCCTTATTGTTTGACCAGTGCATCTCTAGGCGTGTTCAAACCATATAAGTTTACTCTATCCAATTTTCTCTCCAATGAATGTTACACTTAATTTTTTTTCTTAGTCTCATTAGTTGCACTATATTTTCTACTTTGAACCTAATTGAGATGTAATTCAAGTCTAACTTAAGATTTATATTTATGAATTTACATTCTTTCACCGAAAAGGAAAAATAAAATCCATGATTTATCTCTCGACGAAATAATAATATTACTACTACTAATAAGGGTAAAGTGCAAAAAACCCCCCTTTAACTATTGGCCATGTGCAATTAACCCCCCCGAACTACAATTTGCCCCCTTGAACTATTGAATTTAGTGCAATTGACCCCCAATGTGACATCTCCGGCCAATTGGTGTAAATGGAAATAGTAAAAGATAATTTTACCTTTATAAAAGCAACCTTATGACCATAGTGACATGGAGGGGAGCTTCAATCAGTGACAGACATACCCACGCCGAACCGTGCCATGCAACTTCTCCGGCGACGACAACCCATTTCATTAACTGAGTCGTATATGCACTATGGGTCAAGCACCTTAACCACGAAGCTTCAACGGCATCAATGGTGGTTGCGAGACAAGAACGGCGACTGGTGTGATTCAGTGCTTGCCGGTTTCTAAAATCAATTCAACCTCTCTGCCGGGAACTCCCAGTCGTCCCAACACGGCTTCTGGGCAGGAGCATTCAAGACGTTCGAAAAGACAACAAGCGGCTTCGCCTCTGCCTCACGATCTTTGTTGTGATGGTGCAAACAAAGGTCCTGCAATTGATTCCACCCGATTAAGAAAAATTAGTAGATCAAATATGCGACAAAATGGGTTCATTCGGCGATGGAGCCACTGGTTATTCCGGCGGCAGTGAAGCTGAAGCTGAAGCCAAAGAGGTGGTAGTGGCTGCAGGTTTTGATCTACACTGCGAGACAACCACCACCACGAACACTAAATCCAAACTCCAAATTGAAAGCCAAGAACGCACAACACGACCACCGGTCTTGATTTGCAGGTGGTTACCAAATCGTCCTCAATAAATCGATCTGCTGCAGTGGTGGCCACTGCCGTTCCATCCCACCGAGCCGCGCCGTGTCGCAATCTCACAGATGAGCTTCTTCTTCCATTACCGGTCAAACCCTCACCGAACGACCTCTTCACAGTCGGCCCCTCCATCGCGGACGAGCTCTTCACAGCCATTCCATCCCGCCGAGCCGCGCCGCGTCGCAATCTCACAGCCGAGCTTCTTCTTCCATCGCCGGTCAAACCCTCACCGGACGACCTCTTTACAGCCGACCCCTCCATCGCAGACGAGCTCTTCATAGCCGATCTCTCCATCGCGGACGAGCTCTTCGCAGTCGATCCCTCTTGCTTGATTTGGATCTTTTTTTTTTTTTTTTTTTGGATTGTATATTGTGTTTAGGCTTTGCTTAAGCCTTGTTTGGTTGAAGCTCAAGCACTATTCTGGGATTAGACAATAATAAGGGTACATGTGTCATTTGATTCACTTAGCTTAAAGGGTTGTATGGTCATTTAAAAAAATTTGAATAGTCACGTAACCCATCATGTGCGTCTTTACAGTCAAATTCAACGGACTTGTCCCCGGACGGGGTTAATTGCACCAAATTAGTTAGTTCAAGGGGGTTATATGTCAAATTAATAGATCAGGGGGGTTTTTCTGCTTCATGGCCAATAGTTGAAGGGGTTTTTTTTGTACTTTACCCTACTAATAATGATAATAATACAAAACTAGAAATTAGATTGAATAAATGACTCCATATAACTTTCATTGAAATAATTTTAAACAACAAAAATTGATATATCAGTCTTGTTTGATTATTTGAATTTTATTTTATTTAAAAATCTACAAGATTTATCTCATCACATATGCTTGATTTTTCTTTTTTTGTTGTAAAAGGAAAAAAAAATGTTAAATAATTTTAAACTATGGTATAATAAATACTCACTATTTTTCTTATTTATATATATAAAAAAATTCACTCTCATAAATTGAATTAGTTCTTAAATTATTATTCTTATAAAAAAAAATTCACTAAACTCCCATAACAGTCACTAAACTCCCATATCTAATAAATTAGAGTATGAGATCCAATTTGTATAAAGATCTATGAATCATCCTTAAGATTTACCCAAATTAAAATGTAAGTTTGCCCAAATACATGAATAATTATAATCATCTTCTACACTAGTGCGCATGTGAAACTTTTGTACGAGTTCCGTTTAATTACTGTAATGCCCGAAAAAATACACACGGCATTAAAGGGCAGCATGTCACAGTTGTCACATACACTCTACAGTACATACACTTAAATGTTCTCCTAATTATATATATCGACGACATATATGGGAATTTTGGTAAGACCACGGGCCGGAGCCTTAACCCATCCGCGTCTCTCTCCTCGCTCTCTCTTCTTTCCACAACAGAGGAGGAGGAGAAAGCCACAGTCAAAAGTCTCAACCACCTTCACCTCTCTCTTTCTCTTTCTACAACTGCAATCGCAGAGCTCCTCCTCCTCCACCTCTAGCTCGGCCGCCGCCGCCGTCACCACCACATTCACTAACAGTTTTTCTTCGAATAGCGTCAATGCCGGCACAAAAGCGTTCTTACGAGACCCCTCCGGAGGAGGAAGATTCTTCGCAAGCCGATCAAAGCCACCACGAGCAAGCTGAAGATGGAGACGGTATGTATATTGCTTGATAGCTTCGAATAAGCACAATATCAACCATATAAGAATTTTGTTCAAAATATTTAATTTTTTTTTTTTAATGAAATTTTGATTATTGTTGTACTTGTTTGACCTATGCGAATCTTTTATGTTTCTCAGAATCAGATGGAGCCCCTTCGCATAGTTGTGGAGAGAAAGACGAGTACGTTTTCTATCTTCACCTCTCTTCCTATTCACTATATTGTCGTGATTGTTGATTTTGTGACCGTTTGATGCGTGAAATGAACGAGTTTGGTTTGAGATCTGCATGTTTTGTTTGGTTGTGCGGTTACTCTGGCTACCTCATGAGCATTGTGGAAGACAGGCTCTGCGTGTACGGAGTTTCCGAGTACTTTGAATCGGTCAGCGGTGTGTTTTCATTTATTTATTGTTTATTTTTTCTTCCAGTGATTGGAAATTATCTCTTTCGTTCTTTGTTTATGGGAATAGTGCGTTGTGAGAATGTTAACGAAGCTGGGTTTTTCGATCGTCTGGTCTTTTTCACTTGACTTGTTATTTCTGCGTGAATCATTGGTTGCATGTTGCCCCTGCATCTGGTTAGAGTGATTAGATTTGCTTATGTGCCTCAAGTTAAAATGGAGTTGCTGGTAGGGAATTGTTTGGTCCAGTGGTTGTGAGGTTGTCTATTTTCCATATATCCACTTATTCATTCTAAATATGAAGTTTGGATTTGGATACATGTTCTCGAGCTCCCTTAGTTTTGTAGGGACTCTAACTTAGATCAAGCATACTGGCTCATGGATATGGTCATGGGATTGCAGATTATTAGCCAGGTAAGCCAAAGGGGCTTGCTTAAAATACACTATTAATAGCATACACTTCATGTTATAGGCAATCAATTTTAATATTTTTTGTTTTTTTATTATGATGGTGATATCAATCTCTCCATCTCCATTTGTGGCTTTCGTGAATTATGTTTGTTATACAATTTAGTTTTATTATGTAAGCCAACAATGAGAAATGATGGCTGCCTCCTCCATTTACATACCCATGATTTATTTGATGTGTATTATTATGTAGACCAACAATGCGAAGTGATGGCTGGATTCTCCATTTACATACCCATGATTTCTTTGATGTGTAAAATCACCCACTGATATTGTTTCCTTTTTCATGGTCCGCAATATGTTAAAGATGAAAATTTCAGATCAACATATGCATGCTACAGTATGATATTGCCTTCTTGTACGGGGTGCATGCTACACTAAACAGGCAGCCTCATAATCGTTGTGCAGTTATGTTGTTATAGGATCAACCACGTAGCATTTTCCTATATATTTGTATTATTGAATGCTATGTTCTGGGTACCATTCAACGTGAGTGTAAAGGTCTGAAAGAACACACCCTTGGTTAATTGTCCTTCTCTCACATTTCAAGTTAAATCAACTGCAATTGCTTAATATTCAAGATGGCACTAGTTCTCCCAGGAGCGTGTGCTAATCAGCAAAGATTGGTCCAGCTTCTACATTGCCCATCGGGTTTGGTTGTGACAATTTGGTATATAATATTCTAGATAAATTTTTCTTGAACGTGGAATTAGTTTAGGTGGCATACATTGTTCCCTACTAAAGAAGTGAGAAGTATTGTTAAATTCAAGGGCGGATCCAGGAATTGTCAATCGGGTGGGCTAATATTTCTTTGGGTGGGCTAATACTAGTAATACTTTTTTTTTTTTTTTGGGCTGTGCTAAAATTAGGTATAGTAAAAGTTTTTTTTTTTTTTTTGGGGGTGGGCTTGAGCACACCCAAGCCCCCCCTTGGATCCGCCAGTGGTTAAATTACTCAGTTGCTCATACTGGTGGCTTTTCTGTGGTACTGAACTGGATTGTTGATTAATATACCTTTGGTTTCTGGCATTGCTTTAGGTGGTGATGGTGACAATATTGGGTCATTGATCTGCCTTCTTCTTTTTTTTTTTTTAATTTTTTTACTTGGCAATTTGGGTGACACTAAAACACATGTATTTTTTCATACCACACTGAGAATTATGTGCTTCATAATTGTTTGTATCACCTTGCTAAAACTGTAACACTGCATGGTAGTGCTCACTGGGTCTATCAGAAGGCATAACCCTGAACGGTGTTTCAATATGCTATTGCAAATGGGATATTCCTGTGTGATGTTCACTGAGGCAATTAATGCATTCATCATAAGTTCTCTACTTTGACCTCTGCAGATGTTATCATGCATGAAAAATTATAGAAAAGCGAGTTGAATCTAAACTAAACTCATTTAGGTTTACTTAAATTAAAAAGACATTTTTTATTGCATTACTCTTTGGAACAACTTAAAGCCCCAAATGCCCTTTACATGTCAAACTCATGTTTTTTATAATACAAACTGAATTGGTTTTCCATTGGCCAGAGTTTATTTCTTAAAACTAGTGTGTTGGAATCACTTGACCATTTCTGCCACAAGCTTCCTAGTTTTTTGGTTTTTCCATGTGCTTGTGAAAATCTTTCTTTCCATTTCAATATAATCCTTTGGTAAGGATTTTAGATCAAATTTACCCTTGATTACTGATTATCTGATAAAAAGGTTTCTTGTTAGTATGGGACCACCCGGGGCACGGGGGAATGTTGGAGTCTCTTTGTAGGCCGAAGTGTGTTCATTCCATTTTTCGATTAACCTGTCTTCTTTCTGCTGAGAGCGTGGTAATTTAAATTATTTGATAGTCTATCTTTATATTGCATCATACATGTATCTGCCAATAATATTTTTGAAAAATCTCTGTGTATTAAATAATAAGGGGGACTTGTGTATACATTGGTCACCTATTTGCCAATAATATGTTTCTTGATATGCAAATTTTGTATTTTTTTTCTTTGCAGATTTGTCATTGTGAAATTGGCAGAAATACGCAAGGAAGTACAATGTCCAATTTGTTTAGGTACTAATTTAAGTTCCTAAAGATACAAAATTTTAATTAAAATGGGTATCTTATTGCAAGTGAGCATAATTTTTGGGGTTCTTCCATATTTGGGATGAAGGGGATGCAAACGGTGTATTAGATGCTTGAGAAAAGAATGAGTCATTACTTGATGTTTCTGCACACATGTGTGTGTGTGTGTGTGTGTGTTGCATAAAAAATAGGGCAAAGCCAGGACACGAGGCTCCCACCATTGTGGGGTCTAGGAAAAGGTATGCAACCTTACCTTTACATGTGGAGAGCCTGTGTCCTTGTTTTGAACCAGTGACCTCTAGGTCACAATGGAGCAACTTTACCGTTGCAAACAAGCAAATAGTTTACTGTCTATTTTATGTTCCCCAAGAATGGTTGTTGTCAGTTATTTTTAAAGCTGCATATGGTTGTTGGCCTTCTAAGGAAGTTACTGTACTGTATTAAAAGATTTCTTCTTTGTTGGATAGGAATGGATATTTAGACAAAGAAATCCATTTCCATTTTTCAACACACCAAATATCTCTTTACTATTTAAACTTCATTTTTCTCCTGAAAAAAAATTTCATTGGAACATGTGGAACCTAAAGAAAAGTTTTGGAAAGAACTAAATCTTAAAATATTTATGCGAATTGTCCAATCAGGCCTTTCATTTCAGGATACAAGGAAGTTCTGGATTGTCCCATAGAAGGTTGTATGCTTATTTACCATTGGGCATGGATGCACAATAAGAACTTAAATTCTGCCAACTCCATCTTCTGAAGCCACTTGAACCATGTTCCTCCTGTTCACGCTTAAGCATCAAAATTTGCATAAAAAGTATTGATTTACACTTTAGAGAGTAGCTTGGGAATTGACAATACATAAAACTTTACACTTTAGAGAGTAGCTTGGGAATTTCAAAAGGGGACAATATATTTAATTCATGTCCCTTAACAAGTTAGAATCTGCAAAATGGAGAACTAATTTGGACGGAGTAGTGATTAAGGTCAGGGTTCAATGTAGAAGGGTTTACTAGGAATTTGTTGGGTTGAATTTTATAAAGGAAAAATAAAAAAAAAAGGGTTTTGGGGGCTGGGCTGTTCAAAGATTGGTTGCTTCTTTGAATCTTGATAAAGGTAATGATTGGGCTTGGTAATGTTCTGTTTTGATGCTGAAAAGAGTGATTAACGAGGTATTGCAATATGTCTGAAAGGCATGGTTTTGAGAATGAGTCTCTATGTAGCGGCCAAGTCATAAAGGAGGTGAGTCTGATACTATATCGGTGGGTATTGGAATCACATCAGACTCGTCCAAGTTCCCGGAGACTTGGATGAGTCTCTTCCGCGTCTATCAAGTTAGAACAGTATTACCCAATACTTTGCTGACTTGGATAGTTGGCACTTCTTCCATGGTGTGCGAGGTCAAGAAATGCCCGTTACATCGTGACCTCACCAGCAACTTAAAGCCATGTTATAGGTAATCATGTCTCTGTTAAGAGTTGGACCCCTCATTGGAGTTAGAGATTTTTACTAGTTAGTCCAATATAAACTATTAGAGTCCACTGCCATAACTTGGCTCAAATATAACCCATGGACCCCAATTACAACTCATGTTCAACAATACAAAATGACCAAAAAAACTTTTACTCCTAGGTTGGAATATGAGAAAACATAATTGAAACTGACCCCCAGGATTCTAACTTATTAACTAAAAATAAAAGAAGATTCAACTCTGGTAGAAACTAGATAATTAAGGGTTTCAAGTGTGCTCCATCTTGACGTTGAACCAATTTCTAAAATTTGTATTTTATTTAAATTTGTTTTTGTTTGTTTAGTTTCTTATAGACACCATCACCGCTTTGTATGGCTAGGGATCATTCGGAAGACTAGAACAGTTATGGAATGCCTGCATCGTTTTTGCAGAGAATGCATTGACAAATCTATGCGTTTGGGGTATGAATTGAAATTATGTTGCCTTCTCTTCATTAATAGACTAGTGTCTATAATCTTCCTCTTGTTCAAATTGATCCGTGACCTTCAATGCAGGAATAACGAGTGTCCTGCTTGTCGAACCCATTGTGCTAGTCGGCGTTCTTTGAGAGATGATCCAAACTATGATGCCCTCATTGCAGCTTTATATCCAGATATTGATAAGTATGAAGAGGAGGTATTATTTAACCAGTGCCGTGCAGCTTATATATTGGAAAGTGATATTACTCTTACTGCTCTTTCATGTCAAGCACTTATGCGATCTGTGGTTGCAGGAATTAGCTTTTCATGAAGAGGAAAAGGCTCGCAATAAACAGGTGAGAATGAGATCTTTCCAGGTTCACATGCAAGCATATACGCCTGTGCATGCATGTTTGTTCAGATTCACTTTTCACATGTCTCAATGATTCCCATGGTTCACATGTATAGTGTGCCATAACAAGTTATGGTAGAAATGCAGTTCGTTTCACTGGAAAAAGGTAGAACAGGTGAATTGTGAAAATTTCCTTGCTTTTTTTTTGCTGAAACGAATTGCATGACTTCCTGTAAATGTGAAATTGAAGAAACCTGAAGGGTTTGTAGAATGAACAGCTGTGGTACTGGTAGAGCCTTGCCATGTAACTTTTTTGAGAACACGAAGAGATCTTTCCATGATCCTATGGAGGCATTCACGCCTTTGCATGCATTGTTTGGATTCACATTTCACATATGTCGATGATTCCTTTGGTTGACATCTGTAGTGTGATATAACAAGTTATGGAAGGAATGCAGTTTGTTTCACTGAAAAAAAAAAAAAAAAACAAGTAAAAAGGAAAAAGAAAGAAAGATAAACAGCAGGACAGGTGAATGATAATTTCCTTTTATTTGTTTGCTGAAATGAATTGCATGGCCTCCTTTAAATGTGAACCTGATGGAACCTGAAGTGGTTTTAAAATGAAGAGCTGTGGTAGAATAGTGTCATATAACTTCTTTTTTTGAGGACCCTTTGCTCTTGCATATTGATCATAATATTGAATGCAGTATTCTATGAAGTGGCTTTTGATCACTGCAGGGGCAATAGATGCAGACAATACCATAGCTAAAGTTGATTTTTCCTTTTGGTTTCACTGAGTTTCTCCCAGACCTAATTTCAGAAATGTTTGAACAGATCCAAGCTTCAATAGCACAGACTTTTCGACGACAATCAGATGCACTAGGCAGAAAACGTGCAACAGCTAGAGCCACTGCAGCTGCATTTGTAAGGAGATCACAAGGCAATTATCGAAATTTGAGGGGGAGGAGAAACCATAGAGCCTCTGAATTCCAGGGATCTGACGATGATGAGGATGCTAATGGAAATGATGGCAGCAAAGATTCGTCTTCTGCTGATGAGCGCTGCACAGAAGTCAAACCAAAAAGATACAAAAGATGGGGAGGAGCTCGGCTATCACATCATTCTTCAGCCGCAACCAGTGCTGATGGAATCTGTGATGAAAATTTCTCAGAAGTAAACAGAGAATCAGTTGGTGCATCTATAGGGCTTGTTGGCAGCTCAGAAATGCTTGCATGGGGCAAAGGTGGCATGCGGAGTCACACCCGACATGGTAGTCTGAGTGGTGGCAATGGCAAAATTGCCCGGAACAGCCGCCTCTCTAAGTTCATCGATTTCCTTCGGAATTTAGGAGAAAAGGACGATGCGGTAAGATGAAGTGCATCTTTTTGTGGTGATCTTATGAACTTTGCTGCCATGAGTTGTAAATCCCATATTTGGCTATGTATTGGCACATACCAATACAAGGCGAAATATCTTGAGTCTCTTATTGACAGCTGAGTTTTAAGATCATCTCAGATATCTTTTGAATTGTTTATTTTTTACGGTCCTCACCTATGGCACACTAACATGATCAATATTTTGGTTCCTGTTATTGCAGTCGGATATCCATCTTAAACTGGTCTCTTTGGATGAAGAAAGAATACCCAGTTTGCAGCGTCCAAACCTTTGCTGCAGGCCAACCTTGTCAGTCAGACACCTACACCAAGTAAATATGCTGGCACTCTGAACTGCACTTTTCATTTTACTATATTTGAATTGTGAATAATCTTCCTCCCTAAGACCCTAGATTGATTTTCACATGTATGTCTATATGCAGTATGTTGCTCTCCAGACCCCTTTGCAAGCTGAAGACATTGAAATATTGGCTGTGAAAGAGCTGTTGCCTTGCAAACTCAACCCTCCAATTTCTTCTGGTGTTCCATGCAAAGATGAGTTCCTTATATTGGAAGAGGAGGAAACATTGGCAGGACTGCAAGCTAGGTTTAGTCAGGGCCATCTCGTAAGCAGATATAAGTAATATAACTCAGATTTGTGCAGGAAAACACACACACGCACGTGCACGCCGAAGTTGTGTGTCAGTATTCACAGTTTTCCATGAACAATTTATGTTTCGGAGTGCACAAGAACCAATTTATTTATTTATTTATATATATACATTTTTTGTTCTGTTTTCAGCTTCTGGCATACCGGCAAAAGTCGTCAGGTTCGGGAAACTCGTGAAGAATTGGCTGGCTTTGTCAAAGAGAACAAGGGACACAATAATTCATGTTCTGTAGGTGGATAAAAACATACTTGCACAAGGGTAGTAAGTTTATCATCTGACAGAGCTTTAGTACTGTCTTCTAAAATTTAATGCTTTAGGAAGTTTAGAAGTATAAAGAAAAACAATGAGAGTATAGAGTCAGAAAATGTGCAGTACTATGAACCTTGGACTGCTTATGTTATGCATTTACTTGTATACTACATCCGAACTTCACAATCATAATCCCATGACCTCCCACAACTCACAAAAGCATCATTTAAACCACTTGATATTGGCTGCACAAGGAGAAATGTGCACTCAGTTAATCGGGGGTGTCGAGAGGAATGGATTCAGCATAGATTTTGGCTTCCGTATGATACAAAATTTTGAGAGGGCAGAAATGTTCCAAATATTTTTATAGAGCTATGATCCATAAAATCAATTATACTTTATGAGTACCTCAGATGGGTTGTCTGATATATCAGGAATCTCAAATTTAGATATGATAATTAATAGCCGGAGTTATTATTCTGTTGGCTTATGTATCCCTGTTTTCCCAAATTATGGCATGGTATTGCGGCAGTGGACCATCTAGCATAACTGAGAGGGTTTTTGGTAGTATGGTGGTGGAGGTTACCCGAGATGGGTTCACGTTTAAAGCCATCTCATCTGTTGACCTGTGATCTCGCAGTGCTAAGTGTTGTGTAAGTCTAGAGGGAACCTTCTTGTCTTGGATTTTGATGCCGTTTGGCCTATAAATATTAGATGAGATAGGATCTGTTGCATCCCTTTTCAATGGATTGAGGATGTGTCTTTTTAGCTTGTAATTTACTTGTTTGTTTAGTTTGCCTTGTCTGTTTACTTATTGATTTTGTTATGATTGAAAATTAAAATGCTGAATAGTTTTAGTTTAGCCCAAATTTTTGGTTAGGAGAAGTAGAGACTGTCAGTCATATCACTCAACAGGTCTGTTTGGTGCAACTGTAAATCGGCTTTCCCAGCTAAAGTGTGTCCACAAGAGTCGGTCAATATTTCATGCCGAAATGAGTCACCATTGTGCCACAATCCGCTCTCAACACCCGGAGATTCGAAACAAGGAACATTATTAAAACCCCCCAAGATGTTCATTTATTCTTTCCGAAATTTGAGACTCCAAGAAAGGGAAAGGAAAGTTTTTCCTTCAAAATTATCATATTAAGTCATTATTATGTGTTTCATTCATTTTTTTTTTTTTTTCATTATTATTCTTCAAATCACATCGTTTATTGAAACAGTAACTATTATAGTAAAGCTGTGAACATTATTTTTTTATTATAGTAATTCACGCAACATTTATTCCTTATTCCTTCGCTCATCTTTTTCCTCAAAAGAGAGAGAAATTTTTTATCTCTCGTCTTTTTTATTACTCATTATGCCTATAAAGAGACATTACCGTTCCTATTATCTTCCAAAACAGTGGACGCCAAATTAAGCGTATAGCACAAGTTCGCTTGACCCCGACAATGACAGGACGTGAGTCTACAGACACTAATACAAGTCCTCGGCCCACCGGACCAGATGGCCCATCAATCGTCATATAGGCCCTTTGTAATGGCCCTACATTTGATCTATGTCAAACTTGATTAATAAAATAACAAATGAATCACCATTTAGTCTCTCTCATTCTTAATTAATAAGACTAGATAAACTTAACAAATCTCTCTCATTTATTTATTTATTTCCGTTCATAATAATTCACTCACCTACTTTTGAACTTGCATTCTGAATTAATCTCTCTCATCCTTGATTAATTAAACAGGATAAACTTAGTAAGGAAACACAATCATTGGTTTGAACTTGAAGAGAGAACAAAGGAAAACCATGTTTGGTTAAGCATGTTGCAATTGTACTTTGCAAACTTATTGAGCAAGGTGTGGCATTGGAGAGCAAGAAATTTGCTAGCTAGGTAGGTGGTTTCAAATTGGTAACCAAACAGCAGAAACTAAAATCTAATTGACAATTAAATTAGACCATTTCAACATAACACATAACAGAAACACAGGAAATAATCCATGTGTTCAACTAAGAAACTCAAGCTATGAGATAAAATTGAAGCTTCAAACATCTGACAATAACTATTTATGTTTTTTTGATAAGTATGCAATAACTAACTTTTTGAATGCTTCGATTCATAACAGTCTCCATCAGCTGATGAAAAGTCTTAATTAGGTGTATGTTGAAACAGACGTACAATATTAATTTGGAGTTTACAACTGTTAAGATACTAATTACAATATATACATACATTCTAACAACAACAAACAGGAAAAATATACCTCGACCCTTGTAACTTAGTGTTTCTTGTAACCAGTTAGTGCTCAATGTATACACTTAGTGCTCGCTATAGTGAAAGTTTTTACGTTGCTCAAGTAAAAGATTACATTATGTGATAAACATTTTATATTAGTGCAGTGAACATTTACACTTTACAATATTAAAAAATAATTTAACAATTTATTTTAATACTGAGATTAGTAGAAGCATCCGTACTGAATGTGCTAAGAAATCACATAAATAAGAAATATATATATATATATATATATATATATATATATATATATATATTACGTTTCTTAGGTGAAAATTTTGCATCAATGCATTGAGATTTTTACAATGGTGCGCCCATCATCCAAGGGCAATTTTGCTTTAAAAATTTGATATATAATTAATTAAATATTCAGAGGTTCATGATATATGCATTTTCCATCAAAACTGTTATATTTATTCATTTTCTCACTTCCATTCCAAAAGTTGAAAGATACAGACATTATTATTTTTCAAATCAAATATTCATATTGTCTATCGAAACAGCAATTTTTATAGTAAAGATGTGAAAGCATTGTTCATATTCCTTCACTCTTCTTTTCCATTTATGCCAAAAGAGAGAGATTTTTTTATTTTTTTATTTCTTTCTTTATGTCTTCAAAGAGACAAATTAAGGGAATAGCACAAGATCGCTTGGCCCGATAATGACAGGGCATGAGTCACCCGACCCTAATACAAGTCCTCGACCCAAGTAGAGAAGATGGTCCATCAATCATCTTGTAGGTCCACCATTTTGTCTCTCTCATCCTTTATCAACAAAACAAGACAAAGTTCTCACCATTGAATCTCTCTCAATTACAGTAATAAAAGAAGATAAACTTAAGAAATGAATTACTACCATTTTTAGTCTGTGTCGTTCTTAATTTTTTTCCCCTTCTTTTCCTCCATAATAATTCAATCACTCACCCATAAAATTTGTTAAGAGTGGCCCCAGATAGAATTGAATTAGATATCAATCTTAATTCAATCGGTTCCCAACTACTCAACCAATTAAATAAATCTTAATCCACCATCGATCCGTTACTCCACTAATCGAACCGAATGGATTAGATAAATCTTAATCCACCATCAATCCGTCATCCCACTGATCGAACCGAATCGAATCCGTATAATAATGGATCGAATCGAATTGAGTTTTATCTAAATTATTTATTTTTATAATTAATATTATTTATTATTTATTTATCTTTTAATCCAATAAATAAAAATTTAATTTATTAATATTAATTCATATATTTAAATAATTAAATAATTATTAGTTAATATATCTTTAAAATTCATTAAATTATCATTAACTAACTAAATTAACTAATATATTCTTTAAAAATATATATATAAATTTGGGATAATTTCACTTACCTCCTTTGATGTTAGACGTAATTATAGGCGGTACCCCTTAGGTTTAAAAAATTACACCGTCCTCCCTCAAGGTTAGCTCCGGCGTAACACTTTGCCCCTTCCGGTGGAAAGTCAATGCCGGTCAATTATATTTTTTGATGACATCAGCTACTTTTTAACTTCAAATACCACTTTTGCCCTTAGTGTAGTTTTAAGACATTTCTATCCTTACTTTTATTTTAAAATTACCTATATATCTCCAATAAAAAGACAAAAAACTTTTACATGTCATGTTCATAAACTCACCATCTATATAGAATACTACTACATATACTTTCTCTCTCTCTCTCTGAATTATAACCCATCCAAATTCTTCCATTAGTTTGATGATTGAGTTTTCGATTTCTCGATCTCGAACTATTGATTAAGTTTCTGTTCATTGTTCTTCTTCATTTTTTGGTTTGAACTCGCTATTTCTGGTTCAAACTGTTTCTCTCTCTAAATTCCATCACCTTATCTTTTAAAAATTATATTACTCTATTGGAATTGTTGTTATTGTTCATCTCCATGAGCTTTCGATTCCAAAAAGCTATAATTGCATCCCCTGCAAATTTATATTTATACTTATAACACTAAAAACAAATCCTAAAAATACACAAGGGGGGATAGTCAAGAGAAAGAGGCGATTGTGGAAGTCTGGAAGAACATAAGAGTTCCTCTCTCGGATTCCGGCCACCTGAGAACTCGTCACCACACCCTAGAAAACCACCAGTCGTGCAACTAGAAACTTCAGTTCCGTCAACATCACCCACATCCCGGGGATCGACGCCGTCTCTATTCGCTCCCCTTCCACCTACTCCCCCACAATATAAACATCTTTTTCTTCACGAAAGCCCTCATCAATGGCCACAACTTCAACTTTTCCGTATCGATGCTGGCGGCTTCGGGTGTAAGGAATTCGATGCCCTGATTTGCTATGTTTGTCCCTACTGACGTCGTGTCCACAGATCTTCCGACGACTACCAACTTCAACGTTGCTGCATCTATTTGGTTGGTGGTGATAGACACCGGGATTATTGGCAATGGAATCATAGAGACGGTGTTTAATCATAATCTAGTTGCAATTTTCGGGGTTTCAAGGGTTTTGTTGCTGAGAGATCTTTGGGAAGATCCCAATGGTGTCCACGAAGAGTAAGGTGGGTTAGATCGAAGAAGTGTGGAAAAAAGTTTGGGAGGAAGAGGCTAGGTAAGGGGAGGAGACGTAAGTCAGATCGGCGGTAAAGAGAACAGAATATCAAAGTCTTTAACAGAAGAAGTGTACCGATGCTTGCTTGTTGAACGATTATGGGTTATATATGTAACGGCTGGTAAAGAAAACAGAAGATCAAAGTCTTTACAAATCTAGGGTAAAGGCAACACATTAAACTTTTCTCCAAAAAAAAACAAAAAGACTTTTCTCCATCTCTACCTTCTGTTTCTCTCTCTAACCAGTTGTAAGATATGTGTAAAGGAAATGAAAGGAAATGGTGTAAGATATGTGTAAAGGAAATGAGATAGTAGCAGATGTTACCATTAGGAACAATATGATAATCTCAAAAAAAAAATTATTCTTGATGTGATATTAATAAAATATTAAAGAGTGTTTTAATCATTTAACATGATCAATGGCCGAAATCAAATGCCGATTAATTTAAAAGAAGGTCAGTGTAATTTTTGAAACGTAAAAAATACCGTCTATAATTACGCCTAATCTATAATTACGCCTAATCTCAGAAAAAATAAGGAATAATACGTCTAATCCCAGGAGAAAGAAATCAGTGAAATTATCCCGATAAATTTCACATATCAATTTTAACACTCAAATCAATTCTTAATTCGATCTATAAACTACAAATTCAATTTTTTATTTTTCAATTTTTTATTTTTTTAAATATGAAAATCCTCAATTCATAATTTCCCGATCCATAAACTACGAATTCAATTTTTTTTAAATCCGACTGTAGCAATCCAATTCAATTTGCACAGATCTAACCGGATCATATTTTCGAATTATTTGCCCACCACTAATATTGAATTCGCGAAGTATTTATCCACTCTTAAAATTTGTTCAGCTTGTGGACATATTTAATGAGACGAAATAATCCTTTTGAACTTGCATTCTAAATTAATTTTAGTTTTGATGCAAAAAGAAAAACTTGGTGAATATTATATATTAGTTCTACATACCCCCAAAAATAAAATAAAAAAATTAACCCTAAATTCTAAAAAGCAAGAAGAACAATGAACATACAAAAAACATTTATTTATTCAATAATAATAAAAGTAACTCATCACCACCCAAGATCATAACGAGAAAGACTCCTTAAAATGTTTTAGCATAATTTACAAAACTTTAGTTGGTCAGCTGGAGCATCCCATTAGACGACATCAACACAAAACCATCGGAAACAAACACGTGGCGGACACACACAGAGAGTAGACACTATTTACATGCAACCCTTTGTAACAACCTCCAACTTCAGCGATGATGCTTGCTCCTAGTCTCGGCACTGTAGAGCCTGCAATCACATGAAACCCACCTCATCTTAGTACTATAAAGAACAGATCCAAGCCGTTCGCGTAAAGGATCATGACTAAACTGTCTTTTTTTCTTTTATTTATTTATTTATTTTTTTGAAAGTTTGGTTGTGATACGTACCAGTCATAAACGGTGGGAGAGTTGGGGTGTGGCTTGTCAAAGAGCTCACCACCAATACCTTTGGTGGCAAGGTTGCTACCTGGGTGGAACACACTCCTCCACACGTTCTCCTTCACTGCCACCGGTGTCTTTGGTGTTATCGGCGTTGACGGTGTCCCCGGACTCGCAGGTATGGACAACGACCTCTGAAACAACTTGCTAGCCCCTTGATCTCCTTCCCCATCTGACGTCCCCGCTAATTATTTAAAAACCACATCCATCACCACCACATAATTAATTCATCAATCAAAAACCATACACACATACTGTATTATATATGCATGTATAACTCAGTATACATACACACACATATATATATATAAGCAGAAAAATACGCGCAAGTACCTTTGATAGTAAGAGACTTCCTGAGCTTGCCAAGTCCACGTTCAGGGTGAGGTCCGGCTAAAACATCGTCCCAGAGCTTGTCTAGCAGAACCATCTTTGTTATCTCTTTCACTCACTCTCTCTCTCTCACACACACACTCTCTCTCAGTGGGTCTGATTCTACTACTGCTTATTAATAGAGGTTGGTGCTGAAATATCTCCAATTGTAATGCGCACACAGTTTAATTAACGCTACTTCCAAACCCAATTTTTTTGTTGTGTTATGTATAATAGAGCAAGTAAAAATATTGGAAACAGAAAAATTGGGAATAGATATAGATTTTAAATCAATGTGGATAAGGATGAACTGGTCAAGTGTGGGGTCCTCGATTTGGGCTAAAATCTGAATTGAATAGATTAGCCGAGAGTGGGTTGAGTGTTGGTGTCCATCTGTCTCTTTTAATTAATCATCATTGTCATTTTCTCTTGTTCCATGTGGGGTCCACAAGTAATGGAGTTATTGGGCCTTGTGAAATGTGGGACCCATACCTTTGATAATTTGGATCTGAAATCTTATCTAGGAGTATTTTTCTTTTTTAATGAAATGTGATTAAAGTGGGTTGTCTCTGTCTGTCAGGAATTATGCCTGGGAAGGATCTGGAGGTCACTAGGACAATAAGGATACGGTTGTCATTTCAATCAACCTATGAATCGTTGGGTAGCGTTCAATTAATTACAAAATGTAGTACTGTAGTCGGTAGACAAATTATTAAGACACCTGTTTTTTTTTTTTTTTCGAAAATTTAAACAATTTTCACTAATGAAAATTATTAAGACACTTGTGGAAATTTAATCAAGTTATAAAATGGCAACTTTGGAAACGGTGTTGTCTCAGTGAATGTCTTGTACCACTTGTTTGATCACTAGATTTATGGGCATATAAATACGTAGTTTATATTCTCAGGTGCAAAACTACAACCCATCCCAAACCTTAAAAACGGATTGATCAATAGTACTCCATCTAGTATCATATTGCACTGGTTAAATCACCTTTGATCAAATCCACTCTATTTTAAAAGTAAAATAATGACATAACTATTCCTAACTTGTAAATAAAAAATCACATATTAAGGGTATGTTGGTCATTTATGTTAAATTTTTGGGTAAAATAAAAAGTCCATAATGTGCCCCGTAGCATAACTAGGTGAACCTAACCTAGCTGGCTAGCTTGACTAAGATTTCTGTCTTTTTCTTTGTCTGGTAATAGTCCCTTCAAGTTTTACTACTACTAAATGAAAGCATCAATACTAAAATTTGAATCCATATCATAGTGATTGGATTGGAGATGGTGCAACTGATCCAATGGTCGAGGGCGAGGACAATCTCGTGGACAAAAAGACAAGCTGTGACTGGTCCATAACTCTGAAACATGGGTCTCACATTTAATGAACTATTTGCTATTGTATTCAACACAAATTAACCTGTTTTGATCTAGAGAGCTCTTCGAGAAGCCTGTACTGTGTTAGCCACTTAGGCTCCTAAAAAATTGAGACACCAGCAATATTTGAAAAAAAATCAGAACATTCATCAAACTCTGTTTTTTGATATTGGGCTCATTGTAAGAATGAAAGGTTCGGTCCAGTCAGGCACTCCAGTAACAATTTGAAAATCTACACAATTATAGGAACGGGCCCTTAACACTTTTAATGAGATGAATCTTATAAATTTATGATGGTCTTGTTGTATGCCCATTTAATCTATGCTTCTACGAAAATGATACAAGGTCAAAGTGGATTGATCAGGGATTCAGAATTTGTCTATTATCTGTGCCAAATCAAAACCCGAATATTGATCACATTGAAAATTTTCAAAACAAACTATAAAAGAGAGTGGTCTAAATTAAGGTTGACCACCAAAAATGCAGCCCTAGTTAACTGCTTACAGACAAAAAGTTTAAATAGTATTTGTTGGCAGTCTGGCAGATCTATTCATTTTTTGTTATTCTGTTTTCTTACATGTTTAGGTAAAATAGACATTTGATGTTGGTATAGAGAAGTATAATTTTACCTTCTTGACCTAAAAACAGAGCTTAAAAATTTTGTTTTTATATTACAGAGGGCGACTGCAAATCTATTAAGCAGCTTAAACCTTTACCGGCTTTTCAGCTGTTATAAAGGAGGATGTACATTTTTTTTGCTGCTAAGGGGTGGGGGCTTTTCTCTCCTGGGCTCCCCTACTTTTCAGCTCATTGTATAGCCAAGTGGGCTCTGAATAACAGATGTTTGGATTTTGAGTGAAGTGTGTGTCCTATGTGGCTAATCCAATCTAGGGAAGGAGGAGGAAAAAAAAAAAAACAGAATAACTAAGCTAAGCCCTTGATTTGATGATTTTTCATAGTTAACTTAATGGCTAGCAACAAATACATCTCTAGGTTAAAATCATCTAAAGTACCAGCTACTTGGTACATTATAACAAACATCCAACTATGATTTCACAGCTCCAAATTCATTTCAACTTTTTTATCAGATGAAGAAACCTGCAATTTTGTTTTATGTTACATTGTTCACATATATTTCAAACGCTAAATATAAATCTCAATTGTTTAATTTTAAACATCTTAAATTTTTTTTATTATGGAATGATAACAAATCAATATATATTACAAGATTCATCACTTCTGCCATTTTCAACGAATTCTATGAATTTTCTCTCCTGCTATAGATGACTCCAAAATTTTATTCACCTGCTGCAGATAAATCCAAAAGTCCAAATATTCCACACTGGAAGCTGAGTTTAAAGATCTAACCTTCAAGAAACGAGATTCCAGAAAAGTAAATTCTTTCAATAGGCCTACGAGTTGATACCCCGAGCTAAAGCTGCTCTCTGAGTTTCCCGTCCCTCCATTCCTGCTGTCAGCCAAGTTCCTCCCGTCCGAAAGCTGTTCCTGAGCTATGACTTTAACCCGGTCCCTGACGGATTCAATCAGCTGTGTCAACATTAAACCATACAAGAATTAAGACCCCAGAGAGAAAAAGGAACAAGAATTGGGAATAATACATCTCAGTTGGCATCCAGGGGGAGGGAGGAAATGGGAAAAAGGAAAAGAACAATCAGCACTACAGAACAATTAAAGAAAAAGGAAAAACTAATAAAACAAAAGTAGAAATGCATCCGAACACCCTCCCAAGATTTGGACTATGTAATCATTATGGACCAGGATCCTCTCCACTGTCACTGAGGAGTCTGCCAAAAAATCAATGACAACCCACGACGGCAGATAAGATGTATTTAGATGTTGCAGCTGGTATAGTAAGAATTTCTTGGCATTGGCAATCTGTTATTCTCCAATGATCAGCCCTTACCACAAGTAATTCCATTCCAATCAGATCCATTTAAGTTGCCTGTGCATGTTAGTTAAGACTTATCACCGACAACTGTAATGGCAGCAGGAGATCAGAGTGACGGTAAAATTGTGTCTCAATGGAACTGCTACAAAGACTAACAATCCTCCACTCGCACCAAACCGCCTACTTGGCTTCTTGTATTGGAATTGATTTGTGTATCTACCCCAATGATGCTACTTAGATAAGCACTTCCTCATATAGTAGATATACCAAGTCATCGCTGTAAACCCTCAGATATTATTAAGGCAAGGGATGAACAAAAATCCAGGGCTTTGATTCAAAATTCTCTTGATTCATTCCCTAAAACCTGTAAGTAAGCCCAGAAAAAGCTATCCAAGCATCAATCTTTTGAGAGACAACTGATCTTCTAGAACTTTTCAAGCAGACATCCAAAGAAGGTTCCTTCATCCCTTCCTTTTCAGTGTTTTGCTTGCCTGTGGAAAGCCCAAAAGCAAGAGATGGATGGCCGAGTCTTCTTCATTCACTGATCAACCTGGCCATTAAATCCTTTCTTTTCAACCTTGGATGATGTGTTTGAACTGCTGCGAATTAAGTTCAGGAGAGAGACCTTAGAAGGATTCTCTTCGCTCTTGAGTGAGTAACCAGGCAAAAATGCACATCTGCAAGCCAGTAGTTCAGTCATTTTTTTCCAGGTTGTTTCCCATCCCATGCAGAACAATAAAATATGAAATTACTGTAATACAAACTTCATTTTTCTTCCTTTTCTTCACTGCCAGTTTCCTTTTAGTATCACATCTCCAACTATTCTTCACCGCACCTGGTGGAAGTGTTAGGTTTGTTGCTGGGCTGCACCACCACAATTAACTTTAACCTGAGTTTTCATTTGTCACTTTGTTGATGTCTTGATGACTCAAGCACCACTAGAAACTCAAGCTACATAATCATCATCTTTACACAATTTTGAATCCCTGTCTTCTTACACTTTAATGTCCATCGGCTTCTTGTCAGTAAGCGTACTTGCATCTGCAAAGTGAGATGTAGACTCAGAATTTCAAACTTCAAAACATCCAACTTTTATGTATCAATCAAGGCATTCAATGAATTCTATAAACTCTCGAGAAAAACCAAATTTGTAGCCAAAGCAATTTGTTACAAACTTATGAATATTATCTGATATCTCAAAGAAACTCTTAACTCTTTAATTTAACCGTGATTTTTGTCTCATTTTCTTACTTAATTCAAAATTGTTATTATTGTCCCATTTTCTCATATTCCATGAGTCAGTTAGGGTATCATGATCGAATAACAACAAAAAACAAGGCTTCCAGAACGGGATTCCCTCTGCCAAGGCAGAAAATTCGATAGCAGTTGCTGAAGTGAGAAAATAACTTAAACTGAGGAGCTCTCCCAGTTCGCCAGAAGAAGTGGGAAAAACGTAATTCTTCCTGTTAGTATATGAATACAATTAATGCTAGTTGATTTCGTGCTGTCTTATTTATAAAAGCACAATTACACGTTTTCTATATTAAGGTTTAAAGAATACTTCTTAAAATGTAATTCTCACTTTTAGTTTATGAATACAATTAATGCTAGTTGATTTCGTGCTGTCTTTTTTATAAAAGCACAATTACACCATTTCTAGATTAAGGTTTAAGGAATATTTAGTATATGAATACAATTAATGCTAGTTGATTTTGTGCTGTCTTATTTATAATAGCACAGATATACCATTTCTAGATTGAGGTTTAAAGAATAGTTCTTACTTTTAGTATATGAATACAATTAATGCTAGTTGATTTCGTGCTGTCTTATTTATAAAAGCATAATTACACCATTTCTAGATTAAGTTTTAAAGAACAGCAAAAAGATTAAGCTATACAAAAACACGTATCGGTCCCACTTCTTTTATTTTCCCTTCCTTGCCTTTATCCTCATCTTCATTCACAGCATGTCCTGAAGCAAGAAGCTTATATCTTCACACATGGCTTGAAAATCTTAATCAGGCCCTCCATTTGGGTGAGTGTCCATTCTTATTCCTTAAGTTCTCACCCTCATTACTTTCAATCGTTTATCCTGTTTGCTAATACTTCTTATAGTTGTTCATCTGAACGTCATAAGTTCCATCACTGTTTGGGAACCTTTATACCATGATTCAATATAATTCCAGCTAAAGTGGTAAAATAATGATCACCTAAAGCTTTTACTGTGTTGCTTTATGGTGATTATTTCATTTATTCTTGCAATAAGTATAGTACTGACGATATATAATTTTCTAAGTACTGGTTTGTTAAGCATGTCAGTATAAATCCTTAAATCCCTTTGCCATAATGAAATATCTCAGTTGAACTGAAACAGAATTATAACAATAGCCCTCCAATGAAGTCTGGTATGTTGACATCCCTTATGACTGCTAATAAGATAAGGAAGGCGAGTTGAAAAGGGAGGGCACTAGATAATGGACATGATAGAATCCCATGCGGAATGCCTTTTTGGACAAGTGGCTGGGAAGATTAGGGAATTCATAGCTTAAGGAGGAGGAAGATTACTACAGAATTTAGGGTCAGCAACAATGGGTGAGCATTGAGATCCACAAAAATAACTCTGGTATCGGGTAGCTATTACAGACAAGAAAATAGAGGCCAATTATGGGAATACAACGAAGTTTTATTGTAAAGCTGAATGGGGTCGCCAAACCTCCCCATCCAAACATTTTGGAATCACAGCAGGACAGAATGCATCTATAAGAAATCACTTCTCCAGATTCAAGAACAAGATGGTATGATTCCCCTAACTGACCTGGAATGACCCGAGTGGATGAATTAGTAACTAGATTTCATATTTGTGTTAATAAAAATACAGGAATCAAACACAGGATAACTTGAGGGCGACGCCCTAGAGGTCATTTCCCTTGGAAGTCTGTTTGGCACTTAAAGGCTCCTCTTAAGGTGGCCTTCTTTGCGTGGACCTCCGTTCTGGGAAAGATCTTAACCCAGGATAACTTGAGAAGGAGAAATAAGGTGGTGGTCAATTGTTGCTATATGTGTCTTCGTGATGAGGAAACAGTGGATCACCTTCTCTTGCATTGCACCATGGCCAGGGACTGTTGGGATTTGATGCTTGGCTTGTTTGGGTTTCTCTGGTCTATGCCTGGATCCGCTAGAGGGTTGATTGAGGCTTGGAGAGGTTGCTCTGTGGGGGCTCATATTCAGGATGCTTGGAGGGCTACGCCTCTTTGTGTGTGGTGGTGTATTTGGCTTGAGAGGAATAGGAGATATTTTGATGCGAAGGAGATGTCGATTTCTATTCTTAAATTCTCTATTCTTTCCACTCTTTTTTGTTGGGTTACAGAGAGAGATTATAGATCTTTAGAGGAGATTGTCGATTTTTTGGCCTCTCTGAAGGCTTAGAGGTTCTCTGTGGCCTTGTGTATTTCTCTTGAGATCCGCTCCCCTTTTGAGCGCTTTTATACAATTTTACTTATCAAAAAAAAAAATACATGAATCAAACACCAAAAACCAAGGTCAACACCGCTACTAATAGACCCGGACCACTTAACTGCCTATAAGTCCTTAAACTCTTATAACGAATTCAATACCTTCTATTGCTTGAGTTTCATTTACATATAAACATATACTCCAACCTATTGACAAGCTGCTCAGTTATACCTATGGTGGTTGAGAAGCAGACAATTTGTGAATTTAATGAGTGGTAGTTACTATTTTGATTCTAAAACACTATGTTGTCTTCTTTTTTATAATGGGGAGATCTTCAGTTTTATTTATGCCAAAAAAGAAAAAGACAAACTTCGAATTTTCTGTAAATCAAGGGCTGCAACTCTGCAAAGCATAAACACTTATCCGTACAGTTTAAAGTTAATAGATCCCCTTGTCCATTGACATGGGCTACACATTAAGGAGTATCCCTCCCCCACCCTTGTACCCCCAAATTCCCTCTACCATAAATTAAAATCTTGAATCTTTCCCTTAGGAAGAGACTGGAGATACCATTTGAGCTATAGAGCCAGTGTTCCAATGGATTCTCAATTCTTTTGTATGCAAAACCTATATGAATTGCACCTTGGATTTCTGATAGAAACTTGACCTCATGAATGGTGATTGTTCAAGTTCTTGATTGTAGTTTTTTCCTCCTTAACGTAGAGATCTAATCTAATGCACGTCCATAACTAACAGAACTGTTGAGGGTTAAAAAATACTGAAGTATAAAGAATAGCATAAACCTAAAATTAACTTTGTGTATCCAATGACCACATAATTTACAATACCTAGAATACCAGAAACCTCAACACGATACAGTTAAAAGATACAATGCATTGCATTTTTCTCTACAGGAAAAAAAGGAAGTCAAACTTGCAACTAAAAGAGCATGTTGTTAATGTATTGATTGACCAAAGGCAAGTTATAAGAAAAAAAAGGAGATCTGAGTAGCTCAGCCCCAGATATCTCCGTTCTATGTATGTGAATGCAACAAAGATGTAGAAAATAACATGCACATAACACCAAAAGCACGGGGATATGAAAAACTGGAACAACTACACATCATGATCCCTAAAGTTACTCCAAATGCATAAAAAGATAATAATAAAACATATCATCCATAAAACAAAACATCTCATTAAAAAAAACCTAAGAGTCCACAGAAGTTTCAGTCCTACTCGTTGGTAGTTAAAAAGGACAGCCCCAAAGAAATGTCCACAACTTCCAAGCTGGTAGGCTGTATAGACACTTCATAAAAGAAATCCAATCGGCCCAGCAGCTCAGAATTTGCCATACTTCTCGAGATATCCCTGCAATGAAAGAATTTAGAGTCAAACAGCAGGACAAGTGTGTAATTACAATCCCACATCTACGTCTTTTTTAGCATATATCATCTCTGTAATCAAGACACTCACCTCAACAAGCTTTGCAATTTTTGTATCGGATAAAGAAAAATATAGATAAACTTTTTCCATAGTACTTGGAATTTGGTTAGGCTGCACTGTGCTAATGACCTTGTCAACTGCTTTCTTAACTATCATTTTGTGAGCATCTCTGCTCAGACGACCCTCTTCCCAAGTTGGTTTCAGCAATTCTTTCACAAAATCAATGAGAGAATCACGAAAAAGCTTCAGTGCTTTTGGGTCCTGTTCACTGTTTGCTTCACTCGGATCTACTTTTGATTTTTTATTGTGTCTTGGTCCATCACTTTGAAGTTCAAGATCAATATTATGTTTGTTAGCTTTTGTAACGTCTTTGACATAGGCGGAGCCCAAGAGCTTCTCTTCTATGGGCAAGGCAATTTCGTTATGCTGTTCAGCTCCCACAGTTTCAGCTTCAGTTGTAAACACACTCTTTCCATAAGAGTTACTGTCCAACATATTCTCAAGGAATTTATGATGAGAGTACTTACCTGAGCTATACTCTTGGCATAGAGTCCCCGTTAAAACAGGATCGCCATTTACAGGCAGATGTGGAGTCAGGATGGATGTCCCTTGACTAGATGACAAAATTTTTGAGAACCGATCTCCTAAGTTGGGCTGCTCAATGCTATCATGGATAGGGTCATATTGGCTTCCTGGAGATGACATATTTAGAGAATTAATAAAAAATGATGGCCGAAAAGGTACAGATGGCTCCCAATCATAGAAAATATTTTTTTCTTTATGTCCACCATAGCACAGGGGTTGTCCAGAAGCATTGTGTACAGACAAATTTTCGGTTTCAGAACCAGAGAATGGTGAAGAGCTCCGCAGCAGGGAGGTGGATTTAGAAGAACTACTAAATGATAAAGAGGGCCTTGTATAAGCTGAACAATGGCGAGATGGTAACATGCCGGTAGATGATGGTAGAGAAGTGCTTGAGCTCAAATTCAGAGAACGGCTCAAGTCTGGCGAACTACGAGCATTGAGCATATACTGGCCTCTCTTACTAGCCAATTCTTCCAAACTTATTGCATAAGCAGGAATCATGGTGTTTTGGTCAGTATTTAACATAACTGAGCTACTTGAGAAATATCTTTGCTCAGGAAACAAGCTCTTTCCACGGAAGGGGGACACAGAAAACAAACCTGATATAGGAGAAAGTGCATATTAGAATCGACACAGAAAAGAAGGTCTTGTAAACCTACTCTCCAAGAGAGAATACAAATTACCTTCACCAGCCCAGAGTTCACTTTTCTTATTTGCATCAACTACATTTCTTTCAGGCACCCGGCTAGCACTATCCACACGATCCTTTATGTGGAGGAATCTACATGACTTCCCTTTTATACACCATCCTTTAGCAAAAAAGTCGCATATAACCGCTGGTTGTTTGTTTTGATCCCTAAAGTCAGCACCTGGGGACAAACTTCTGAGCCTTATATGGGTCGTTGCCAATCTGAAAAACCCATCAGTCATCAGGAATTGGTTTGAGTGCGTAGCTAAGGTAAAACAAACTACCACGAAAAAAGATATCGAGATCAGCATAAACCAACACTGAAGTTACATGATAAGTAAAATTCAAGAATACACTGAACTAGTATCACCACACCTTGATTCCTTTTGCTTCATCTCCTCCACAGATTGCATGCTCATTTGCTTAATTTCTTCCTTAGAATATATTACACCACTATCCTCCTCATCAAAGATATCTTTTGTTGAGATTGTAGGAACCACTTCTTCACCAAAAACACTACAGCGCTTTGTGTGGTCATCAGTCATAATCTCACTATTGCACAAATGAGCCTTACAATCATAATGTGCATTATTATCGTCTTTAAGGATTCCCTTTTCTAAAATGGCACCAGAACCATTCTTATCAGCAGTGGTTGCTTGAAATACGTTGTCATCAGAAGCAACCGGGTTCTCCCCTATTTTTGGGAACTTAGAATCCTCACTATTAACGCATGATTCCTCCTTTTCTCTTTTCTCACTTGTACAGGAAAGATTTGAATTTCTCTTACTGTCTTCTACTGCAAGGGTGTCTGATTGTAGATTTTCTACGGATTTATCTAGAGCAGAAGAAACTGAACACAACTGCTCCTCGTGCCCCAGGGACTCCATACCTTGGCTAGCATCTACAAGGAAGAAAGACAAAAAATCATGAAAAGAAACCAAACAAACATCTCGTTCAAACAAATTCCTGCATGCAACATAATAAAGATAGGGTGACTTCCTAAGAAATAGTTCTAAGAAACCAATCTCACAGAACCGAACACGAGATTCCCTAGTCAAGTGATTTCTGATTAAAAAGAAAACCATGAACCAGAATGATTACTGAAATATACAATGAGGTGAATGTCAAATTCCATGACTTCTTAAACCTGATTGCAGGATAAGGGAGCATGCAATGGTAAAAAGGAATTACATTATAGGCGGTTCTATTGGAGGAAAAAATGCATTTCCTTAAGAAATGTACACTATCAAGTATTGGAGAAGCTTAACACTCTAAACGGGTTTAGGTTCTCCAAAAATTTCCAAAGGGTGTTTGACTGACCAATTCTTTTACCACATTAATGCCTATTGAGAAAAGGAAAAGCACTTTGGATAATATTTAGAGTAATCTCCGTATTGTGGCATTAAAATTGTGAATTGTTGAAAAATGTTTGGAGCAATTGGGAACAAAAAAACAAAAGACAAGATGTAAGGATATGAAAAAACTTGTGCAATTGATCCTCAAGAAGATCATGATGGAAGTAATTCTCTTACTTGGGTTAATAACTAAATGGTTCAAGAACATTAAGAAAGAAATGTATAGCATTCTCCCTGGTAATCGAGGACACTGGGAGGGATAGGCTGGTAACAAACTAATTTTTAGCATGTTTGCACAAAAAGGTTATCCTTGAACTTGTACTCACATTCTCACACTTGGCAATCCAAGATTGTATCATTGCACCAAATAATGGTCCTAGTCTATCTGAGATGATGGTATTTTAAATAATTAGTTGCTTAGATATTATTAATAGGCGCCACTGCTTTTAATGCATTAGTAAAAACTTGAGCTATTAGGCGAACATGCACTTTGTGCAAATTATATGAAATGTTAAGTCTGTATTTAATAAATCCCTTCTAGCATCCAGCATTGGTAGGATAATAGTGGGTACGAACCACTTCTTTTATTATACATCATTGATACAATCAATTACCTGTAAAATGGAGTAGCTAATAGCATGAGAACAATTAGAGAGAGAACAAAAGAATTTTCAATGAGAAAAGCTGACCGTCAAGGATCAATATTAAGCGTTCATGAATTTATGAGGCACGACCAAGAGGAAACTTTTGCATTATTTGTTTGTTCTATGGTTAATGAAACTACAATCAGAGTTAATTTTAAGTATAAATTATAGAAAGATGCTTTAGAAATAGGATTTGAAGAGGAGTAATCCAAAAGAAAGCATATGGAACGTAATCTCTGCGAAGGTGGATAGAAGTGATTATATCATCAATTCGATCGCCAAAAGATACCTCAAGGAAAAATAAAGCAAAGAGGAGAGTGAAAAGGACATTGCGCATAAAACAAAGGCGAAATAGTGCTTTAGGACTATAACAAAGGAATAAGAATATCAGCTATATTTGTAATATAATCATAGATTCCACATTTTCAAGACCTTAATAGATCTCAACTCAACAACTATTTTTCCAAACTACATGAATCTCTCTTTTGCCATTTTGATGTATATCCATAACCTTAGTCAAACCACATGCTATCGTAGCTTGCCCTATCATATCAACCATGTTAATTTTGGTCTTTCTTCTCCTAGCAAATGTCACAGCTTTTTTATTTTATACATACTACTACTACTAGTACTATCCTTTTTTTTTTTTTCTTTTTTTCTCAATTACATAGATATTCTTATCTTAAATTTTCAGTTGACCACCCCATTTTTTATTTTTTCCAAAACACTTATATATTGGTCCCAAAATAGAGAGTTTGAAATTAAATTTAGCTTTTGCCCCATTGAAACATATAGAATTTTCAACTTACATCCTTTTAGCTCTACTTTTGAAAGCTCAAATATTGTGAAACAGAAATTTAAATTCATTATTATTGTAGTCCTTACTGCAACAAATCATTATTTCATTTACATATAAATATGTACAATATCTATAACATTAATTCAAGAGAGAGAAAAGGAGAAAATTCACTAATGTTCACTCAACATTAGTTAATAATTGCCACTTGCTAAATGAAAACTTCTATAACTATTTGTATAAGTTACTAAAGTAATAATCATGTTAAGTCTAAATGTGAGACTTTGTTGAGTTAAAAATCATAATTTTTTTTTTTTTTACTAATCTGTCATCTAGTTAATAATGATATATCTTTCCTAAAGTGGAATCAAAGTACTCAATTTTTTTTTCTTTCCAAAAATTAGATTTTTGCAAAAACTGAAACAATTAAGGAAGTACCACTTCTCTTTTTAATTATAACTTGTCATTTCTTCTTCTCTTTATTTTTCTTTCTCATATCAGTTTTTCAACTATTTATTTAAGTTGTATTTTTTTTTTCTTTTCTTTTTTGGGATTTTTTCAAGAAATTTATACTATGACTAATATTTGAACAAAATTATATTACAATTGATTATAAATTTTTCAGATTTTAGTTACACAGTACAAATCTCCCAACCCACCCCCCCCCCCCCCCCCCCCACCCCCACCCCCCCCAAAAAAAAAAAAAAACCCAAATTAGAATTTCTGGCTCCGCCCCTGACTAGTACTATCCCATTGCATGCCATGTGTTCAAAATGGTACATTTTACACTGTGTTATTGCTCCTGTCTAAGCGAGCGAGACTCCACTTTAGATCCTGCGAACTTAATTTCTGAATCAAATCCTGCCCTGTTTTTCATAGGTATGTAAGCTGCCCCTTTTTCAAGATTGTTGTGCATGGCTTTTTTAAGATTTGTTTGTGCTAAATAAGGTTTGTGTTGGGAATTGTCTGAATGTGTCTGACAAGTGTCCAAAATTATGAAATATGTTTTTGGATTATGCACACGTCTAAGAGGTGTTGGATATACGTCTAGTAGTGCTTTGATGTGTCGGTATCCGACAGCATATTTGAAATGGACATAGCACCTTCTAAGAAGTGTTTCAATCAGAAAGCCAAGCATAAGGAAAATAAGCTTGGATTTTGAAATGGGCATAAATATAAGGGTACAAACGAATTAAGGGGAAGCCACGCTAAGTGTATCGCAATTATGAAGAAGTTGGTGAAATTTACTAAGGGTCCAAGCTAAGTTAGTGCAACCCAAAAGTAGAACAATCTTGAACACTCTTGATTTGGTTAGGTCCAATTTTCAAGCATTTTGACTTTGATCTTGTTCAAGATATAGCAAACCAATTAATTTTGGTTTGTTTTGGGGTTAAGGTGTTGATCACTACTCCCTACAACCAAAAAAAAAAGTCTCCTTTCCCTGTTTATGATGTCCCAAAATAAATGTCATCCTTTCAAAAGTCAATATCCAAAAATTATAACTTTCTAAATTATTCTTAGATTTTGAAAACTTTCTCAAACTAACAACGTAAATCTCTATATATTGAAGGGTTAGTTTTGAACTTTCAAACAGAAACATGTATTAATTGTGTGTCCCTTTAAAACCTTAGAATCCCCAAAACAGACATTTAATTTGGGACAGCGGGAGAATACCCAAAACAGGACATTTAATTTGGGGCGGAGGTTGTTTATAATCAAACAACCCAACAATAAAAAATTTACATAAAATATGCATCTTATACTTGTGCACCTTTGCTCAATCCATACACGTTAACTATGTTGACTCAGACATAAACCTTCAACTTCATATTTGCATTCCTTAGAAGTATTCTCACAGTCTATTTGAGTTTTTCAATAGAAAAAGACATAATTAACCATCAAAGGTGGAGGGCAAGAGTACATTTCGGAGAGCTATGAAGTATAAGAATGCTTTTGATGGACAATTTTATCATTTCTTATTTTTTTAAAAAAGTTGAGTGTGAGAATACTTTGGTGAAGTTAGAATATCGCTCCTCTCACAAGAAATACGAAAGATTCTTGTGTTGCTTCTGGCCCTTAAAGACTTTGCAAACCTGCCATAATACTCTAGAAGGAGAATGAAAAGGGGAACCAAGAAAAACAGCAATAATCTTGACTCTCCTTAAAATTTAACAAAAGAATCGGGTGAACAAGAAGACCTTCCATAAGCCAAAAAAAAGGAAACTTAACATCGAGGTTCAGCTTCATAATTGACAACGCAACCTTTTGAAGGAGTGTTTATTATACTCCATTCAAATGACCTAAATCTTGTGCTCATATGCAACCAAATAGCTGTACATTTACTTACATGATTCGTGTTACTTGCTTCTACCTTCACATAACCTATAAATAGTTATAATCTAATAATTGAGATTATACCAAATATCATTGTTATTTAGCTAAAAAAGATCAGCATCATTAATTACCTACAAAATAACTACTGCAAAAAATATATTAAGTTTCCTTCAATAGTAGATGACATAGATAATGATCACAATGACATATAAACCTATCCCTTATTTATATTGGCTATTACCTTCGCGGCTCGTAAAAAAACATGTATGTCTATAGAACCTATAGTTCAACTAGTACTCTCAAGGTACTCTCCCACTAAGATCTTTTACCAGCCACTCTCATACTCTTGCTTCCGCTTTACACTTTAACAACTTATTTCATAGGAAATACCTAACCTGCCAAGTGGACTTCAAATGAATGGTAAATCCAACCATTGTAATAAATCCATCCATTAATTCTCAAACGCTAATTATCGCCTAGATGCCATATTCATAATTTCTATATTGAGCAATCAAAGAATAATATCTGCACTAGAGCTGCATATATTCTTTCCAAGAATTATCAAAAACTTTAGCTGCCTACTTTTTATTGGTTTTATCTCTGGAACAGTCAACAAACCCGCTAAAGCCCCATTTGTCTTCGTATAAAGGAACATTCTTTGAAATGTAATACAGCGTATCTTACCTTACAAATGTGTGGCTAATTAGTATGGTGACAAAAGCGAATGCAAACGCTGTCAAGGAGAGATAATCACGGAAAGCAAATTTTCCATTGCGACGATACTAGTTATTTGATGCATCAACATAAAAGATTTCAACATGCAATATTCAAAAATCAAGAAGCGAATATATATTCCCCTCATGCATCAAAACTATCATGAAACTGAACTCTCACATAACATAGTCCTAACAAAACATAAAGTAAATCAAGATAAAATAGCATGTTCCTTAACCAAACTGCATTAAATAAAAGGTTTATAATTCACATGAATCAAACAGGCTCAAAATTCCATATCAATTGACATCATTGTATTAGCATTATTCTTTTCTCCAAATAAATCATAAATCACATGCATAACAATGACAGAACCCAGAGTACATAAAAATGAGAATTACATGGATTCAAGGAATATTGAACGCATAGATTACAGCTTGAAAAATAACAAAAAGTAATGATAAAATAGATCTAAGCAAGAACAATTTGCAAAATCAAGAGACACGAACACCAATGATAACATATAACAATTCCATAAAACTTGATATATTAAAAAAAAAAAAAAAAAAAAAAGAAAAAGAAAAAAAGGAGGCTTTTTAAAAGCTATAGATTAACTCACTGTTCCGATTCTCATGAATCGGTGCATCTGACAAACCTTTGCGCATATCTTGCTCTTCGTGAACTTCTACCTCCACCTCCTCTTCTACTTCCACTTCCTCTTCTATTTCTTCATGTTCTTCAGAATCTGAGCCGTTGTCCTTTGGATCGGTTGCGGTTGCGGTTGCGGTTGCGACGGCGGGGCGGTGGTCGGAGGAAGGCATTTTGGAGAATCCCTGAATTGAATGCGGCCGTTTCGCACTCTTTTTCCTTTTTTGCGTACACCTACACACACTTCTTCAGCTTTGGCACTCTCAGGCTACGCTGTCTGTTGAGTAATACGTGATATATATATATATATATATTACGTGGCATTGTCTCCATCTTGATCCGGTTTTCGAATCCCTCGGTGAGTTGGGCAACCGTTTGGATATGTGGAAAAAGGAAATGGAAATATGGGGGAAATAAAATAAAAATGAGAAATGATAGGATGTGAAGGATAAATAAAATAAAAAAATCATTTGCATAAGGAAAAAATGTTACAGATTGTGACCTGAAGTACATTATTCACTTCATAGTGGAAGCTACCGAATCTACCAGACCTGGGGAAGCTTCATGCTAGCTATTTAAGTAGAAAAGAAAAGGATAATCACATCTGAAAAAATAAAATAAAAAATACAGTAATTTAATTATTCAAGCTACCTAGGCCTGCAATGGCCGAAACTTTATGCAAGTTCTTTAAAGAAAAAATTGGAAAAAATGAAATTAAAAAAATAATAATTTAACCGGACATAAACTACGAAGGAAAAATGTGATAAAAAAAGAGAATGACTACTATTCTTGTTTGGAGAATGGAGGTTTTGCAATTTCCATTCATAAAAGGAAATTGTACTAATAATTGTCCAAGGTCCCCTGGATAATCCTTTCAATCTTCTTCTTTTTTCTAAATTTTCCTCTCCCCACCCGTATTTTCCTTAACCTGATTAATCAAGAAAAAAGGAATGGAGATGCATTGCATGCAACCTTCTTTTGGGTACACCTAATATTCTTCTTTTATTTCTGTAGTTGATTTTACATATCAACTGCACCCCTCAGGCGACCAGCATCAATTGCACCGTTCAGACGACCAACAAAGAAAATATAAATGAAACTATATTATTAAATTTTTCGTCATGTCCTTTTACATTTGGATTATAAATTAGAACATAGCAAGAAAATCAATTTTTTGCTATTTGTTGGTCACCGGAAGATGATTGCCAGTAAATAAGTTTTTAACATCCAATATTATGGAATACCTATAAGATTTTAATTAGGGGCGGTAAAGTTCAACACGACTAGATCACGACACGAAATAATTAATTATGTTACATTAGGGTTGAAGGGTCCAACATGCCTAATCTATTTATACCTGTTTAATTATAAACAATAAAATTATTTTAACATGAACCCTCACAAAAATATACATTAATTCATTAGCTATATTAATTGGGTTGGGTTTTGTAATAACTATGTAAATTTGAGTCTTTTAAATTACTATCTTGTTTGGCCAAAAATATATATCTTGGAGAACTACAAAGACTATTTTCTAATTTGGTTAGATTGAGACTTACACAATTATTATTTTTTTTTTTATGAGGATTATAAATAACTTAAATAATATAATCTCTAGATTTTACAAATAGTATAACCCATTTAATAAAAAAATAACAATTAAAAAAAAAAAGAGTTAACACGTATAATCCATTTAATAAATAGGTCGGGAGTCAAGTTAGTTAGTATAATAACTATCCATGAACACACAATTGTTATCCCTAATTTTAAAGACTTTAACTAAGTGGACTTATTTATTGCATAATTGACTAATTAAAATAGTAGTTGTAGCAACTCACTGTAACTATTCGATACAATAATTATTATTTTTATTTTTTATTTTCATCTTTACAAAAAACACACTTCCACAGCCACTTCTAAAGAGACTTTAACGATTGACTTTCTATTTTAAGAAAATTAAGGCACCCATTGATATTAGTGGTCCATTTTTCCTTTTTAAGATGTTCCAAATTAATTGCCCCCTTACAAAAGTCAAAGTAAATAAATGCTCATTTTCCGTCATTGCCCTTTAAAATTTTTAAAAATTTCCAACTTGGTAATATACATATTTAAGCTAGAAAGAACAAGTTAATAATTTTCAAAAGGTACAATGAATTAATTACATGTTTGGTATAAAACTTATAATACTAAACATGAAAATCTAAGTGCTTATTTGGGATTGCTACTTCTGTTTTAAATAATTAAGTTTAGATGTGTTTGGTGGCCATTAAAAAAGCTTTTAATGGTTACCAATTTTAACTGTGTAGAACTGTTGAATGAAGTTTTAAAAATAGATTATAAGCAGGAGTTGAATATTTTAGGTATATATATATTTTTTCATAGACAATTTTTTCATTCCTTTATTTTTTTATAAAGACAATTACACTCCTTTCATTATAAAGTTAATATTATTTTAAAATTAACCATACAAGTGTTTTAAAAAATATTGTTATTAGACAAATTAAAAAATAATTTAATTATAAAAAATACTTAATTTAATATGACACCAAATATCTAATATGCTTGCCTTTTTTATTCTAACAGGTTTTAAATACTGGACTCAGCATTGCAAACTTCTGGTATTGAATTATGCACCGAGTGGGCCTCCTATTGGTCCACTCCTATCTTGGTCCAACCGGTTCAAAAGCGACTGCTGATTATCTAGTGATAGACCACATTGCATTTTCACTAATGATTTATTATTATTATTATTTTTCTGACAATGTTAGGAATGTTAGTAGAATAGGTGTTGTTGATAGTAGGCTTTTTTGTAGGATGAGAAATGTATTTCACCTAAGCTAAGAGTTCTGAGATCAGTATCAAAGTAGGGATCCAAGCAATACAAGAGACTCTTTGAAATCAAATATTAAGAAAGGGAAGACATTATCTAATACCTAAGTAAACTCGAGCTCAGTAGTAGTTGGTTGTTAGAGTTTTCTAATTTTGCCTTTAAGACTGATTAATGCTCTCATATTTATAATGCCTGTTACCCTGATCAATGTTTGGGGCAAGCTCCCTCTTGCATGAGGGTTTGAGGATCTCCTCCCCTGATAGATGGGACATTGCCAAGTGGGCTGGGGCGCTTTGCCCCCCGGTCTAAAGGGGAAATTGGCGCTTCCTCTTTAATGCAGGTCTCATCAAATGTCATTCACATTTAATTTACCATTTTAGTCTTACTTAGAGCTCGACCTCGGGTATCAATATCCTCTCCCCCTTACATCTGCTCCTAATAGAGGTAATTCTTTGGATCCCAACCATCTGTCCACATTCCCTCAAATTCTCAAGCCTGGAGATAGGGAATGGAGTCCCCTCGGGGTACTGCCTTCTCGACCCTGCGAGACTTTATTCCAATCCTGATCCTCGAGACCCTTTCAGTTTGGGGGGGGGGGGGGGGGGGGGGGGGGGGGATGGGGGCAATGTCCAAGGTTCCATTTATAAGAGGGAACTTGGAAAGTGATAGAGGAGGAGGGACTCACCCGACTGGAGAGGGGTACGTCCACAGAAAAGCGAAGGGTAGCGACCCCTTTCTCGTTCAGCAAGTTAAGTCATAGGACAAGTAACTCGAGATCACTTGGTCATTTTCAGGGACACACCAGATAAATTATAGCTAGGTGTGTCTTTTCAGTAAATAGTATCACGCAAGCAAGTGTCGTGACACCTTTATTAACGGGTGGTGAGGATCGAAAGCCAGACTCTCCCATGCCCACGAAAAGTCACTTACCACTTACCAATGGCCGTCAAAATATCTGCAAACCATCAAATGATGGACATCTAAACAAATGACTGATGGTGTATATCAATATTTCTATTACGCAGTACTTTGATAGTTATGGCCCTCTGTTTTAAGGTTTAGGTTCTAAACCCTCAAACATTGGTCAAATTAATTGTTAGTTAGTCAAAGAATACAAGGGAAAAGCTTGTGCATGTTGATTTGTTATTGGGCTGACATTGGGGCAGCCCAACTAAAAGTCTAGTTGAACTTTCAGAACTACGAATAACTAAAAACATGCAAAGCTTCTCATCAGCCATTAACTACATTTCTTTTGATTTTAAGTGTAAATCAACAATTCGGAGCTCCCAAATACAACATTATTATATCTGGTGCACAAAATAGTAAATAATTGAAATTTCTTCCTTTATTTACTGAAAAAAAATAGTAAATAGCACCTTAAATCTAGAAATAAAATAATTTTTTTCTAAAGTTTAATTTTAAGACATTGATTCAATGCTCAAAATGCAACATTAGTGTACGTGGATTTTGATGTTCAATTAATGTACTGGTTGGCAAATGGTTGGATTTTAAATTGCCTATTAATGGCACTTAATTTGTAGCTCAGTGGGCTGTGTGCAATTGGGAAAAACAAACCTGTTAAAGAAACATAATAAGCATTAATAAAAGATTGTTGAGATTAAATTTTTGGCTCCACTTGAATAAAAGAGTGGACATGAAACAATTGAAAAGCTATAGTGGTTGAGGGATTGGATTGTTTTGTTGGGCCTATACGGCCCATAGTTGTGCTCATCCAATCCATTCTTAAAAGCTTGCCCTTGACCCTAATGACAGGAACAAGAACTGTCCGACAATTGCGCCCTAAGTCGAGCACGATTCGCAATTTGACCTAAATTAAAGCATCAAACGACTCCAAAGTCCAAACCACTCCACCAGTTTCGTTGACCGCCCAATTGAAATAATATACAGGGGGCTCCACAGATGTCCTTATCAAGGGCATTCATGTAATTTCATTTCTTCATCGTCCGTTTTTACCTACCTTTCCTCACTTCTTTTTTTTTTTTGTTTCTCTTCACGAAAGTCACATTTATTTATTTATTTATTTTTATCAGTATTATCCTTCATAAAAAGAAACTGTACCAATTTTTGGCCCCCATCAAAGCAGGTTCTTAATCTCTCTATATTTTTATATGAATTATTTAATGCAGTACAAAATTAGAATCAAACTATAAAATTAAACATCAAAATGTAATTAAATCGAACTAGTTGTTTGTTATCTTATTTTAATGTGTTTCTATTATTTTAACACAAGGCTATGATTACGTTAATGCATGCATTATTTTCTGTATTTTAAAAAGAGGAGCTTTTATTACAATTCCCATGCCTGTCCTCACTCGCAAATGTCGTGAAATATCTGTCTGAGGGCATATTAGGGGGAAGTAGACAAACCTTGAAGTGGAAGTAGCAATTACTTTTATTGAAAAGGAAGAAGATCAGCATCTAATGCGACACAGGCTCGTTCTCTTATCACGCACCCTCATTTTCCACCTTACACGTGTCCCGTCTTCTCATATTCACCAAAAATTTACCTTGGGGGTTCACCATATAGTTTATTTATTATTTTATTTTATTTTATTTTTTGTAAAAAAGAAAATCAAACAAACCGAGTAATTACTCTACTCCCTCCAAATGAAAATTCTCTATATTTAATTTCCAATTTTTTTCTTAAAACAACTAACATTAATTTAAAACTTGAAGAATTATATATTCTTGATACAAATACTTTTTACTTATTATCTTTTGAGTTTCCATTTTCTCTCTCAAAAAAAAAAAAAAAAAAAAAAAATTCATATCGAGCAATAGTCATCACACATAATTGTGAAGTGTATATATATATATATATTGTAAAGAAGTTCAAGCAAAAGCTAAGATGGCCATATATACAATATGAGGTAAAGCGAGAAAAACAAACTTAATATTTTAAATTTGAGCAAATAACACATTTAATCTTTAGTTTTGGTGTATAAGTCCGTTAAGTTTTTAAAAATAGACAAATAAAGACTTAATTCATATAATATGTCAGAAAATAACATTTAAATAGCTATAAACTGCCCCTTTTAGTCTACAAAAAATGACCTTGTACCATTTTACATATAAACATTTCATTTGTTTTTAGTTATGGTACTTTGATCATTTTAAATTTATTTTTTCTTTCACCATTTTTTTTTACAAATACATAAGTGCACTTTATTCTTTTAATCACTCCAAAGGGCATTCTTCGTGCAAAAAAAAAAAAAATATATTTATGAACTTTTAAAAACTTATAGGAGTTACATACCCTATTTGTGAATTTTTATTTTTATTTTTTCTAGGTTTGTAAATCACATTGTATAATCGTGCTAAAAAAAAAAAAAATTCACATTGTATAACCATATTTTTAGTTTCATTACACGTTTGATTAAAGTCAACACGATGGTATACAAGTGAAGGTGCATTGGCTTTAAAGAACCTCCCCAGTATGTTGATACTGCTTCTTCACGGGTCAAACTAAATGAGAATAATTAACTTAAACTGTCTACTAGTAGCATTCACGTCCGAAACACTACCCACAGTGCCCTCATCCATCTCTCTCTAGATTCTCTCTCTAAAAAGCCAGAAAACAAAAAGAACGGAGAGAATGTGAGCTTGACTAGGCGTTGGAGAGAGAGACAGATAAGAGTGCGTCTGTGTGAAGTGCAAAGCATTTCGAAGAAGCCACAATGCTCAAACACATTGTACTGCTCCTCACGTTCTTCTTAGCTCTCCGACCTTCGTATCCTCGACCTGGTCAGCAATCCCTACTCTATCTCTCTATGTATCTATGTATACTTATTTATACACATTTGTTCTTCAATTTAGGTGATGATTTATTAGTTGATACTTCCAAATTCAATTAGGGTTTGGAAGCAAAGTTCACTTGCATTTTGATCGATTTAATGTAGTTGTCGATATTGCTAAATTTTATGTACTGAACTGCTCTTGTTTATGAATCGATGCTCAGATAATAGGATTAGTTTATTCATTCTCTCTTGATTGAGTTTCATCCAAGTTTTCTTTGGAGCTCTAGTTTTTTTTTTTTTTTTTTTTTTTTTTTTTTTTTTTTTTATGATGGACTATCAGTGTTGAGACTTGGGTGGGAAAGTGCACAATTGGGATTTTTTTTGTGTATTTTGCTTTTGTAAATTAGAGGACAAAACGGGAAAATGATCTATTATGATTTGTTTGGATTCGGAGAAAATGCAGGAGAAAAAATAACAAGTGAAATCTCTAATTTTTTTTTTTTTTTTTTCGTATATAGCACCTGGTAAGAGAGGAAAAAATAAATTTAAACAGAGAACTCTACCAACCACGCCTAGAACATCTGATTCTCATTTTTATTTTCATTGTTTTTTGGGAATGTAAGCGTTAGGGGAAAAAAAGAAACTAAACTCTAAAATTTTTATCTTCCCTATTTTGTTTGCTTCGTTTATCTGAGAGACCCAACAGAATTTAAAGGAACCCCCTCAACTATAGCAAATTCAGCCGGTAAATTTTGACAAATTCTTTACACTTTTAAGGGCAATATGGTTTCCTTCAACGAGCTATTAAAGAAAAGGCAGTGACTCGATCCTTTTCTGAATTTTGAAGTGACTATGTTTAGGGATGTGTATCAAAAGGAATTTTTTTATTATGTCAAACGACCAGCAGATTTACCTAATCATAGAAAAATCAGGGATTTCATGAACATGTAATGTCAATTTGAGAATGCAACCTGCATGCTGAGATTTTTTAGATGACATTGCTCAAATTCTTGTCTTTGGTGTTAATGAATCATTAATTGATACTGCATTTATTTTATTGCTAAGGCAGCCATATCTGAGGATTACAGAATTTGACATAAATTCTCACCTGGTGTTCTATTTCTTAAATATGTTCTGTCATTGCAGCACCATATGCTATGCGAATAAGCTGTGGAGCTCGCGACAATATCCATTCTCCTCCAACCAATACACTCTGGTTCAAAGACTTTGCATATACAGGAGGAATACCTGTTAATGCAACACGCCCAAGTTTTATCACTCCTGCGCTTCCTACGCTTCGCTATTTTCCTCTGTCTGAGGGTCCTGAAAATTGCTATATTATTAACAGAGTGCCCCATGGCCATTATTTAGTTAGAATCTTTCTTGGATTGGTTGCAGAACCTAATTTTGACAATGAACCTCTATTTGATGTTTCCATTGAAGGAACTCAGATATATTCTTTGAGATCAGGTTGGAGCAACCATGATGATGAACAAGCGTTTGTTGAAGCTTTTGTGTTTCTTACAGATGGCTCCGCCTCTCTTTGCTTTCATAGCACTGGTCATGGAGATCCAGCCATAATTGCTATTGAGATTCTCGAGGTTGATGAAAGAGCATACTATTACGGTCCAGATTGGGGTCAAGGGATAATCTTAAGAACAGACAGAAGACTGAGTTGTGGTGCTGAGAAAGCAAAATTTGGTGAAGACTATAGCGGGGACCGCTGGGGTGGGGATAGATTCTGGAATTCCATGACAACTTTTGGTCAAAGTTCTGATCGTACCACATCTACCAAAAATAGCATCAAGAAGGCCTCAAATTCACCAAATTTTTATCCTGAAGCTCTTTATCAGACTGCTCTTATCAGTACTGATCATCAACCAGATTTAGAATACACTATGGATGTGGATCCCAATAGAAACTACTCCATTTGGTTGCACTTTGCAGAGATTGATCCTTCAGTCACTGGAGTAGGACAGAGAGTATTTGACATCGTAATAAATGGTGATGTTGCATTTCAAGATGTTGACATTGTGAAATTGAGTGGAGATATTTACAGTGCTCTTGTACTGAACAAGACTATTGCTGTTAATGGGAGGACTTTAACAATAACTATGCACCCTACAAAAGGTGGCCATGCGATAATCAATGCAATTGAAATATTTGAGGTTGTTTTGGCTGAATCTAAAACTTTACCAGATGAAGGTACATAAATCAAACTGCTCATGTATTCTTTGTTTATTTAATTATTTGTTGACAATTGTTTAACTCTTGTATGACAATTATAAGCCTTTCTATAAATACAACAACAGTAGCATTCTCATAGGAGTAAAAGAAAGTAGGCAAAAGTGTGGGTCGGAAGGACCCTAAGATGTAATCCAGCTGGTGAGCAGCAGCAGCCTTAAAAAATTGGATTTTGATCAATTTCCGAGGCAGAAGTAGCAATTATCATATGGAGACTTCTTGTGTCTGAACTGGTTTCTTGTTGCATCTCGTCTCCTTATCGTTTACCTTGCTTTCCAAAATGTTCTATAATAATTAAATGCAAGGTTACATATGTGGCTTGTGGACGAAAGTATTTTATCTCTCTCTGAGTTGATGTAATTGGTAACTCTGGTGTTAGAGGTGTTTTTCTTTTTTGCTTCTTATTTACTTTTCAGTGTGTGGTTCATGTTGTCACCTTTCAAATGTTTAGTGAACTGTTACCAATATGATTTCCCTCTTTTATTCCAGTTAAAGCTATGCAGACATTGAAGAAAGCATTGGGGCTTCCTCTTCGTTTTGGGTGGAATGGTGATCCATGTGTTCCTCAACAACATCCCTGGAGTGGAGCAGATTGTCAATTTGACAGTACTCGTAGTAAATGGTTCATTGAAGGGCTGTACGTTATTCATTTTGTGCTTCATATTCCATTTTCTCAACCCCTTCTGAGTTCTGACATTTTTAGACTATTTACTGCTTTATATAATATATTTCTTATTATCTGTTTCAACTGCTGTTTTCTTTATCACTACTTGAGGAAAGAATATACATAGTGAACTTGTAGAACAGTTTACCCTTCCACTCTTGCATGAGATCTGTTGCAAAAATAGTGATAACGAAATTAAGATTAACACCATCAAATGGATATGTCCAAAGATATTTCTGTTTGACTGTGCCATTGAGCTCCTTTCATTTCAGTTGTACAGTTTAAGTATCAGTTGGTTTAAAAGTACACTAATATGAGCTCCAGATATTTATCTATAATCTAAAATTTGCAATAAGGGCAACAGAATTCATTTTATTATTAATGAAGCAATTCTTTATCAACAATTTTCTTATAGGCAATTCGCGTTATATTGATGTTTCTCGTTTCTAAGCCAAGAAATAGGATGGTTGTGTTAGATAGCTGGTAGACAGCATACAACCTTTCAGTTTGTTTGGATTGGTTAGCAGGGAAAGGAATGAATAGCATCTCCTCTCATTTCCTAAAAATGCACTGTTTGTCAACTGTCAAGCCCCTATAAACATGGATTATGAGAATATTTGAAATGATGGAAAAAAGGTTTGTTGAGTTCAGATGTTTCTAAGTCAAAAATAATTTCATGGAAAGTAACTATTTTTCAATAGGTTTTTGACCACAGAAAGGTCCATCTGGTGCCTGGTATATTAAAACGTTAAGTGTTTTCTGTTACTTTTGTCTGCACAGTTTTAACTAATCATGCTTTTTCTTTGCAAGGTTAGTGGTCTTGACAATCAAGGTCTGAGGGGCTTCTTGCCAAATGAGATATCTGGACTGCACCAGCTGCAGAGCATGTAAGTATATTAATAGAGGTCCTCCTTAATTTGGACATTGTAAGGTTTTCTTTTTCCTTGATAAAGAACAAAAGAATTACTCTATATTGTTACCTTATATCTGTCATATCAAAATTTGGTCAAAGGATTTATCACCCTCTGCTTGCCAACTTCCTTTGATCTAAATGAAGTGATTTACAAGAAGTCGTTATCAACCATTAATTGAGGGTGCTAGGAGGGACATACTTGTTAACTAACCTTTTGGCATTATCTGCACAAAGTAGCTGCCATCAAAGATTCAAACTTGGTTCCACATTTTCACGGTTGGCTGCCCGAGCTTTTACCACTTCACTACGTCATAGGCCCTACCTTAATGAATTGATGATATATACTAGTAATGATAAAAACATCTCTTAACTTTGGTATTATTGTCTCTTACCTTTATTTTGTACATTTACAGAAACTTGAGTGGAAACAGCATTCAAGGGACCATTCCGTCTTCTCTCGGAACAATAACTAGCTTAGTGATACTGTGAGTATAATTTGTATATTTTTATCATCTACTTCGGACACGATTGGTTGCTTTGGTTTATGTTATGTAATTACCAATATTGTTTTGTGCAGTGAATAGGAGGTTCTCTAATTTGTGTCTTTTAACAGTTATTAAAGAGTGTAACATAGTACTTTGACTCATTTCTCAAGTGATATTTTAAACATCTCCAATAAACCATCGTGCCGGTGCCTTGTTTGTTTCGTTTTGGTACCTTGTTTCTGTCATACAGTTAATATTTTCAGCTGGACTGCAATTGAAAGCCTTGCTCTTCCAAAAATTTAATCTCCAAATTTTAATAACAAAAATCCTTCAGCTATAATCTCTCTTCTGCAAGTGACCTGTATGACTTCTTCAACGGTAAAATGCAATTATCTTATTAGATCCATAACACACTAGTTGAGCTCAAATATTTCAGACTCACTAGACACCAAGTGTTATAAACAATTTTGTGTTCCTGGGAAATTCCAGATGCAATTATTCTAGGAGATGAGATTGATAATATTGGTCTAACCGTTTCTATTTTTCCTATATAGATTACTAACGCAATTGTTTGGCGTGATCAAGTTAATATTTTAGATATGGCTGTGGAAAAGAGGCATGTTGCCCTTCTATATATTTCTTTCTTTCTTGCATCATACAATTACATGGCCTATTTAGTGCGAAAAGAATGCAAGAGTTCCAAGTGATGCTCAAGAATCTTATTGATGTGCAGAAGTAAACCAAGTGACAAAAAATTGTGCATGTTGGCACTATGGACGTATGTTCCTCATTCTCCATGTCTTGGTGTATCTTAGCTTGTCTGTGTTTTCAAGATATTACGATAATTGGACTGGAGGATAGGATGTGTGTTCAATATTTTGTGGATCAGTTGAAGGCTCAAAGTGATGCTTATACAAAATATTAGTTCATTTTGTATGAATTTGCAGAATTAGAAAAAAAGAAGAAGAAGTAGAAATGATAAAAGTCAAGGTTTGATGACCATAAAACAATAATTTTAGGCTTTGCAATAAAACTCTGTTGGGATTGTTAAAGTTCCTATCTTTAATGCTCTTTGAAAGAGCAACGTGAGCGTAATTTGTTCAAGAATGATGCTGAAGAAAAAAAAAAAAAAAAAACAACAGGCCAGTGGCCTAGCGGTATCAGCCTCTTACTTCCCAAAGGGAGGTTAGGGGTTCAAGTCTCAGAAGAGACAAGTGTGTATGAGTGCCACCTAAGAAAAAAAAAAAAAATCTCTTAGCTATGAACTGGTGCAGTTCCAAGAAAAATTGGTATTTGATAACTAGATTGCTCGTGCCCATGTGTATTTTTATTCCATGCTTGATGGTTCTCTTTGTTTTTAGCTACTCTGTTCATGTAATGTCTGAACTCATATATATATACATATACGAATACAGGGACCTCTCCTACAATTTTTTCAATGGATCAATTCCTGAAAGCCTTGGACAGTTAACATCTTTACAGAGACTGTAAGATCTTTCAAGCATCTGATTAGTCCGTGAAATGAGACTATGCAAAATAGAACTCTCATCTATGTTGCTCTGTTTTAGGAATCTCAACGGCAATTCCCTCCACGGAAGAGTCCCAGCAGCACTAGGAGGAAGGCTTTTACACAGGGCAAGCTTCAAGTATGTTCTCACTATTATCAATCAAAAAATATTAGGCGTTGATACAACTTGTATACATGCTATGGAAAGTGTAAGTTATTTGTGATGTATTTTACATTGGATACTTACTGTGGGTGCATCCAGTTTTACTGACAATTCAGGTCTTTGTGGAATTCCTGGACTACCAACATGTGGGCCCCACCTTTCCTCTGGTGCAAAAATTGGCATTGGGTTAGGCGCAAGTGTGGCATTGCTCCTCATTTGTACCTGCTTAACGTGTTGGTGGAAAAGGCGGCAGAATATTCTCCGAGCTCAGAGAATTGCAGGTATGGACATCCATTTTAAAGCTTATGGAGTTAAGAATACATGGTATCTTGTTTACTGTGGTTAACAGTAAACACCTCATAACAATTTGTCACATGAAATGTAACATGATAAAATAATCGTTGTTAATACCGCAAGTTTGCTTATGAGCAGTGAGCACCACCACTATACGAAGATAGTGCAAAAAATTTGTGGAAATAGTCCCAGAGGTTTAGTCTGTACCTAGCTTATCCTGGCAGTATCATCAGTTAATGGGGCCACACTGGGGATGGCCTTTCCATAGAGAAATTATTCAGTATGAAGTGCCTTGACACCCCCACCCATCTCCTCAGTCTCAGGACCACCATTGCCATCATTACCACCACCATTACACACACAAACTAACACAAAGCATGCGTTTGTTCAGTACTGAGCTGCTCTGTTGTTTAAGTTCATGCTTTCTGTTCTTTTGTTTTTGGTACAGCGAGAGATGCTCCGTATGCAAAAGCAAGGACCCAGTTCTCCCGTGATGTGCAAATGGCCAGGCATCATGGTCATGAAAATGCTCGAACTGCTGCAGAAAATGGGCCGAGCTTGCTTGCTTAAAAACTTGATCATAACTGTGAGATATGATGCAATTAAAATTCAGTCCCGTTTTGGTGGCTGCATCATGAGTATGTTGCAGAACACGAAGAGCCATAGCAGTTTGTTTCATTTGGCTCTGTAGTTCACATTCATCTTGTTTTATTACCTAGGAATGTGCTTCCGTTTGCTTCAAAGTCTTGTTTGTCAATCCCAAACCCAGAATCACTTCTAAAAGGTCAGATCCCTCTTCGACAGGCTATGTAGGACTAATGTAGAATCTTGTATATCACTCCCATTCTTCTCTCAGTTTTGGCAAAATGTGTGATAACTTATGAAAAACTTAATTTATATATACAAAGGAACTAAGCAGATTATGTCTTGGTATCTTGTCCATAGCAAAGGTCATTTGGGAGGATCATGGCTCATGGGGAAGGAGTATATTCTCATTGTTATGATCTCAGTTTCTTGTTTGGCATTCCCATTGACTTCTCTTTATTTCACGCAAGAAAAATGCATTTATTTCAGTGTGATGATACCATGTCATTGGTATGCCAGGTGTGTTAAAGTTCTTTTTCGTCCTCTACCACTATCAACATACCAATACTCAAAAAACACCAGTGAGAAGTTGATGCATATATGTCAGAAATACCATAGAGGATAGCCCAAAAAACACCAGCGCTTATTGTAGCTGAGGGACAACCCAAATAGGGAACGGTTTTACCTTCTTCAAGTTACACCGATGGATGCTGTGATCTTCCAAGTTAAAGACACTCAAATCAGTACATCCATAATCATAATATTCCATGCATTCAGGTGTAAAGTGAATAGAATTCTTTCTCAAACCGGGGAAATTGTTAGTACACAAAGAAACAGAGTGACTAATACCAACAAACAGTTAAATTGTCAACGCAGAAAGACACAGAGTGACTAATACCAACAAACAGTGCACGATCACGGTACATATATCCACTTCTTCTGATCAAAATCTAGCTTATACACATCAAATCGAGAGGTCTTATGGTTGTCTTTGTATTTGCCATCCGAAGGGAGAGTATGGTACCTAAGAACAATCAATAGATCCCCCTGAAGATTCCACTAATTATCTAGTGCTAGGATAAAGCCTCAAACTCCTTTCTTGTTGGTTCAATGCCCGAGATTTGAGATTTGTTATACAGGGGTGGAATATCTAGTGGAATCAGCGGGGATCTTTTGCGCGTTTACAGGGTTATTTCTAGAGATGCTGCTGAGAATGCACAAAATTTTATCCGACTGCCAGATTTCACGTTTTTAAGTTGGCATATGATCAAAATAAGTGGATACCTGTGCAATGCTTAGGTGAAAGGGCAGTGTTTGTGGGTCTGGATCATTCATTTTCTCTTTCAACTCCCGACTATCCAGAGCTGAAGAAGAATTCTATTTACTTCACAGACCAAATGGATGAACATGATACCAACCCATATGTAGGTCACGATAATGGCGTATTTCACTTGAAAGATAACTCCACCACACCTTTTTTCCGGGCACAGATTTGAAGAAGATTCAACCACCACCCGTTTCGATTGCCATCCTAGTTGCAGTTAAGTACCCTTTTTTTTTTACTTTTTTTTCCTTACCCTTTGCTGAGTTTTTTTTCCTTCTCTCTCTTTCCTTTTCTCTCTATCCTGTCCTTTGGTGAGTTCTCTCTCTTCTCTCTCTCTCTACATAACTACTGTTACGGTACTCTTCCGTGTTAATTGATTCGTGCTTGTCATGATTTTTCATTTAAAATTTTCATGGCCAGTGTTAAAGTAGTAGTGTATATTTGGTGTGATTACAGTTTCCACATAAAGAGTGAATGTGAATGTCAATATCAGACATTTTGTGATATAATCAAAACTGAAGGTGCTTTTATTAGAGCATGCTTTATTGTTAATGATATTCACTATTCATCAAATTAGTACCATGTTCTCATAGTCCCTGAAAGGTGCCAACTCAAAATCCGAATATGAAAGTTGTTTGCAATACTGCAAATAGACAATTACATATATGTGTCATAGCAATTATCAGAAATGAAGCATTTCGCATGAAAAATGAAACAATTAATATGAAACAAATTACAATGATTTATAGAATGCAAAGAACAATTTATACATCACCATCCGATAACAATCCAGACACAGAAGGAAGGAGCTAAAGGGAAAAAAGAAGTCAACAACGAAATAAAGAAAATCAAACATATTGTTTAGAATTAGAGGAAAATGAGAAGTTGATGCATATATGTCGGGAATAGCATTGATATGATTCTGGATAACCCAAACAACACAAGGGCTTAATCGAATTTTGGCCTTTGTAGCTGAGAGAGAGGGATAACCCGAATCGGATACGGTTGAATCTTCTTCTTCAACTGGCACCGATGAATGGTGTTATCTTCTAAGTTACAGACACCCAAATCATTACATCCATAAGAGGAGTATCCCATATCTTGGGGGGTGAAGTAAATAGAATTGTTTCTCAACTCCGGAAAATCGTTGGCACAGAGACACAGAGTGATTAATACCAAGGAACAGTGCACCATCACCTAAGCTTGGTACATATACCAACTTCTTCTGATCAGAATCTAGCTTAAACACAGCGAATCCATAGGTCTTCTTACCGTTGTCTTTTTTCATAAATTTTGTACCTAACAACCAACAACAGATCCCCCGAAGACTCCACTAAATATCTTGGAAAATGACAAGACACATGAGAAATAAAAAGAGTGCATTTTGGAGAGGCAGGGTTACTGAGATCCCATGCATCTATATGTCCAGAAGTGGACACAGCATAAAAACGTTGGTCCTTGCTGAAATATGCAATTTCCTCATATCCCTCTTGATCCAGCCGTGGTGAATCTAGGGCAGTCCATGACGTGTCACCAGGCCATTTCTGCAGAAGGCAAGATCGGCTTTTTTATTATGTCCTTGGATGACCATTACTGTGCAGTTCTCGGAAGAATTGATTGGAATAATAATGAGGGAATGAGTTTGGGGCTGAGGACATGACAAGCTTCTTAAAGAATTTATGACTTAATTCTTTAGATGATATGGCTGTCATTTGCTTCCAAATCATGTATTCTGTAACAACGGAGGCGGCAGCAGCACGGTTGTCCTCGTCATCATCCTGGTGGTCAAGGGTAGTGGAATTAGATAGCAGAAGGGAGGAGGGGGATGTAGGGGGAGAGGAATGGATAAAAGGATTGTGGAGATAGATGGAACAATTGCGTGGGTGGATAAAGGTGAGCCAGCCATGAGAGGAACCAAAGCAGATGGTGTCGTGGAGCGAAAGGATTTCCCTTTGCCATGGCAGCCAAAGATTCTTCCTTTTTTGCAACTCCACCTTCTTCTCTGCAACATCCAAGAAGTGATAGTATTCCACATGGTCGACCTCTGTCTCCTCCTCCTCCTCCGTTGTAAAGTCAAAGCATTCAACGTTCAACCCAGGAGGTACCATCAGCCATGGTGGAGATGCGGCTGCCAAAGGATCAGTACATGTTGTTTCTTCTTCTTTGACATCTACTACTGCAGACGAAAAACAAGATTGTTTATTGAAGGCTAATCTGCATATTTTAGCGAGGACCAACGCTTGAGGATGAGAGATGGACAGACTTGGGGCACGTGGATGGATCAGTTATTGACGATTACGACGAAGTTGCATATTTTAGCAAGGACCAACGCTTTTATGCCACGAGCCATGGCACAAAATTGATTGAAGCTTGGGATCTCAGCGATCCTTCTTCTCCCAAGTGTGCAGTGATCCGTCATTCCATTCCTCAGATCAAGACTTTTCATATTGTAATGCAATATCTAGTAGAATCAGCAGAAGATCTTTTGCTGGTATACAAGGTTGTTTCTAGTGATGCTGATGAGAACGGCAATCCCTACAGAGGGATCGAAAGTGATGAAGATGACTATTGTTTGGACGAACAAGGAAATTACATGGCACCATTTTATCGGACTGTGGGATTTCACGTTTTCAGGTTGGATTTTGATCCAAATAAGTGTGTACATGTGGAATGCTTAGATGAAAGGGCAGTGTTTGTAGGTTCGAATCACTCATTTTCTCTTTCAACTCGTGACTATCCGGAATTGAGAGAGAATTCTATCTACTTCACAGATCATATGAGGGAACGTTGTATGAACAGCAACACATATGCAGGTCACGATAATGGCGTCTTTCACTTGGAAGATAATTCCATCACCCTCTTTATCCAGGCACAACTTTGAAGAGGATTCAACACCATCCATTTGGGTTGCCGGTTGCCCCTCCTACCACTACCTATTAGTTGCAGTACCCTCTTCTATTAATTTGTTTCACTTCCATGAGGTGAGTTATTTTTTCCTTCTCTCTGTACTGGCACTTGTTAGTTTGTGATACATGTATATAATATATATCTATTTTGTGATAGAATCTTTATCACTAGTTTCAAGGTTCTTGTTTACTGAATGACAGGTAACTGTTATGATACTCTTCCATGTTAATTGATCCATGTAGTATTAAATTGGTAATAAATAGAGCATAGACAAAGATGTGAAGATTTGAGGACTAATTGTTTGTATGGATTGCAATTTGTTATTGTATTGGGGATATTGAATATGAAACCTGATATGTAGCTACTGGGAATCTTCCTTGCTTCAATATTTAATCTATATATATATATATATTTTTCAAGATGTTATTTAATTACTGATTCAAATCTCTCTCTCAAATACAGGGTCTTCAATTTAACAGATGATAAGGCCTAGAGAGGTCTGGACATCATAGAAGGAAGGGTTTATGGGGAACATTGCTAAGCATTGGAAATTTGATATGCTACTATTTGCTGTTCGGAAATTTTATAGTTTATAGAGATCACCGACACAAAATTGTTGTGTGTTTGCTTTGTAAAGTTATTTTATTTTTATTTCTTTTTATCACTTAGGTTCCATTGAAAATTATAAGTTTACCATCTTTCTTGTGGTTTATTAGCATGCTTGTTAATGATATTAACTATTCATCAAATGATTACCATGTTCGTAATACTAGATTAATATATTCCTTAATTGTAATAATACATCAAGAAAATGTTTTTATTTCATTCCACCTAAGAGAGACCAGTTCTTGAAACAAAATCACCGCTTCTTTACAAAATTTACTCTGCTAATGACTAGAACAAAGTGCATTCCTAGATACAGAGCACTCTATTTCAGAAATTCTCATTAAACAACCTTTTCAAATCCACATATTCAGCACTCTGCTTGATTCAAATCCTTTCTAATCTAAGCAAGCCTTTAAGCACACTCATTTCAAAAGACAACATACACTCTAATCCTTGCCCTCTTTTCTTTCATTTCTTACTTTGAAAATTTTCTCTTCTTACTTTTGCTTCAAACTGTCCTTAGCAACACGAACTAACAAAACCTAATTTGATAAAGATTGCGAGAATGATACCAAAAAAATTTGTCTTGACCATTATTATGGATGTTTTGTATGTATAACACTTCTCTCACGCATAACTAAGCCCTTCCATTTTCTGAAAAATCACTCCACCAAACACGCATCCTTTACTCCAATACAGCGGGCCATACCCATACATTCTCCCATCATTAAAAATTGGAAACAAAACCTTCACCAAATTCATGGATGGTAGTGAGGTTATGCTATAATGTCAAACAGATACATGTGGTGACAAGTCATCAATAACTTCAAACCTAAAATTTCCGATATCCTGAAACCACCAAATATTAACTTAAATACCCGTGCAATCCTTAAAGAAGAAGGTACAATATATATATATACACACACACACACACAGTTACTTTTACGCATATATCAATATTTAATTCACAATTAATGAAATGCAAGAATTTTGTGACAAGAAAGAAACAAAATTTCAACAGAGCCTCCCATTTATTCCAATTTTCTAATTTCTTAAATAATATGGAGTACTATAATTTGCTCAAAAACAGGATAAATATTTACAAAGCGTGCCGGCAAGAACAAGCTCTCTGTGCCATCTCCATCATCACTTGAGTGAACAGATCATGACATCATTCATGGCTACACTTTTCCCCCAATCTACCATCCAGTAAATCCCAAGAAACTGAAGCCAAAAACAAACCCACAAGTCCCAAAGTTACAGTTCAATAAGTAAACATATCAACAAACAATCATCCAACACAATTCTAAACCATAAAACCAATATATATATATATATATATATATATATATTATTATTATTAATCTTGTCGAATGAGAAATCATTAATGAATTTTATTAATTCATCATAAAAGTTGTAGCTTTATGTATAATTTATATGCTGATGTTAGATGAAAGAAGGTATAAAATTAAAATGGACATAATTCAAGAAAAACGAACAGAGAGAGAGAGGGGGTACCTGAGAGATCGAATGGCGATGTGATGAGTGAGAACGTGAAAGAAGAAATTGGCTCCGTGAAGGAAGACGACGACTCCAGTGCAGCCCAAGAGAAAGAATTCGACCATCATCCTCCTCGTTTTTTCAATTCGATTCAGAATGAAAACAAAAGAAAAACCCTAATAAAAAAATTCAGACGAATTTGAGAGAAAATAATAGGGTTTGCTTGCGAGTTTTGATTGAACCGACCACAACGGCTCTTGAGTCCGTCCCTCGCTCTGGTTTGGTTATATATATATATATATATAGCGGTAGAAGAACTGAGTAGGTAGTATACGAGAGGATAGAACAAATAAATTAATATAATTATTTACGAAAACAAATTAATTAAATAAGTGGGTGATTATGTCAACGACCATATCCATTCCAACTAGGTAATCCGTACTATACTAAAATTTATATTTTTTTAATTTTATCACTAAATTTTGGAATTTAACTTTTTGTCCTCTATTCATTTTTTAATAAATAAAATGACTTCATTATAACATTATTGTTTCCAAAAGTGTGATAATATATATATTTTTAGAATAGTTAATCATTTCATACTTTTTGAAGGATTATTAATCATATTGACGTGAAAAAGAAAAAGAAAAAGAAATTATGTTAGGTAATAATAAATATATTATGTAATAGTTATATAGAAGGAGTAAATTTTGTTGGTATAACTCACACAAGTTAGAAAAGAAAAAAAAAAAAAAAAAATAGAATTCAAGTTCAAGTTGTTACCATAACTATGTAGGGTAATCATATCCATTAAAATAGCCAATATCTTTGTTATCAAATAATTGTGTATAATTCAATTCAGTACAATACCCAAAAATATATAATTGCATACAAATGTTTAAAACTAAAAACATAGAATAAAATCACTTGATTTCTCTTCAATATTACAATTTTTTTTTAGTGTACAATATGATTATTTATCAATCATCGTCACCATCAACTTTGAGGAACACTGTCTAATTTATTTAGTAGTAATTTTTTTTTTTTTTTGTAAGGTGATAGTAGTATTATATTGGAAAAACTACACTTATATAATCTGTTCCTCATAAATAAATTTATTGCTCTTAATCATACTGCTCAATATTAATTTTCTATTAATTAACATAATACATATATATATATATATATATATTTTCCCCACCGAATTTGTTGGCTTCTCTTTTTACTTAGTGATAGTAGATAAGAGGAGTGTGGTCAGTGATGACATATTGAACAACTAATTGGGATCTTTTCTTTTTTCCCCCACTGAATTTGTTGGCATCTGATTTTTTTTCCCCACACATTTGTTGGTGAAACTGAGAGATAGAGAGTGATGCATCAGGCGCTCCACGAATCCTAATTTTCAATCTTCCTAATCATAGCGGTCGAAGTGATCACTCTTTTCTGATTCCATTACCATCCAATTGTGTTTTCATAATCGATAGCGTTGTAGTTGACAGAGCGTCTGGTTACTAATGTTTTAGTGTCCGTGTTCGAGTCCCAATAAATTGCCCAAACATATTATACGTAAATATTTATCCTAGATCAGAATTGATGCAAAATATTCCTAACTTTCTTAAAAATAAAAAAATCTAAGCATGCGAAGAGTAAAACGCAAAGTTGAAATTAATACCAGTTCATTTAAGATGAAGACGTAGACACATGATATAGTGTCGAATGAATTTGCTCCACGAGACACCATTAATCCACTGTAAACTTATCAACAGAAAAAGCTGATTAATCCCCTGCATTGACCCTCTCTTCCACTAAAGATGTGGTTGACAAAGGGCAGAGAATTCATGGAACGATGGTCACAACATCATGCATTCTTTGAAAATTCCCAATTTTCTTTTTTATGTTCTCTCCCATTCAGATTTCTATTTCCTCCTAGCTTGCTGGCATTTTTGTGTTTGTATAAAGCCTTGTTACTTTGATTTGATGCAAGCAATTGTATTTACAATTCGGGGGTCAATTGAAAAAATAAGTTCTATTTAAAAATGAGCCAAATTTTGAGTAAACCAAATTTTAGGGTAATCATATCCATTAAAATAGTCAATATCTTTGTTATCAAATAATTGTGTGTAATTCAATTCAGTACAATACCCAAAAATATATAATTGCATACAAATGTTTAAAACTAAAAACATAGAATAAAATCACTTGATTTCTCTTCAATATTACAATTTTTTTTTAGTGTACAATATGATTATTTATCAATCATCGTCACCATCAACTTTGAGGAACACTGTCTAATTTATTTAGTAGTAATTTTTTTTTTTTTTTGTAAGGTGATAGTAGTATTATATTGGAAAAACTACACTTATATAATCTGTTCCTCATAAATAAATTTATTGCTCTTAATCATACTGCTCAATATTAATTTTCTATTAATTAACATAATACATATATATATATATATATATATATATATATATATATATTTTCCCCACCGAATTTGTTGGCTTCTCTTTTTACTTAGTGATAGTAGATAAGAGGAGTGTGGTCAGTGATGACATATTGAACAACTAATTGGGATCTTTTCTTTTTTCCCCCACTGAATTTGTTGGCATCTGATTTTTTTTCCCCACACATTTGTTGGTGAAACTGAGAGATAGAGAGTGATGCATCAGGCGCTCCACGAATCCTAATTTTCAATCTTCCTAATCATAGCGGTCGAAGTGATCACTCTTTTCTGATTCCATTACCATCCAATTGTGTTTTCATAATCGATAGCGTTGTAGTTGACAGAGCGTCTGGTTACTAATGTTTTAGTGTCCGTGTTCGAGTCCCAATAAATTGCCCAAACATATTATACGTAAATATTTATCCTAGATCAGAATTGATGCAAAATATTCCTAACTTTCTTAAAAATAAAAAAATCTAAGCATGCGAAGAGTAAAACGCAAAGTTGAAATTAATACCAGTTCATTTAAGATGAAGACGTAGACACATGATATAGTGTCGAATGAATTTGCTCCACGAGACACCATTAATCCACTGTAAACTTATCAACAGAAAAAGCTGATTAATCCCCTGCATTGACCCTCTCTTCCACTAAAGATGTGGTTGACAAAGGGCAGAGAATTCATGGAACGATGGTCACAACATCATGCATTCTTTGAAAATTCCCAATTTTCTTTTTTATGTTCTCTCCCATTCAGATTTCTATTTCCTCCTAGCTTGCTGGCATTTTTGTGTTTGTATAAAGCCTTGTTACTTTGATTTGATGCAAGCAATTGTATTTACAATTCGGGGGTCAATTGAAAAAATAAGTTCTATTTAAAAATGAGCCAAATTTTGAGTAAACCAAATTTTAGGGTAATCATATCCATTAAAATAGTCAATATCTTTGTTATCAAATAATTGTGTGTAATTCAATTCAGTACAATACCCAAAAATATATAATTGCATACAAATGTTTAAAACTAAAAAAGTAGAATAAAATCGCTTGATTTCTCTTCAATATTAGAATTTTTTTTAGTGTACAGTATAATTCTCCATCAATCATAGTCACCATCAACTTTTGAAAACACCATCTAATTTAATTTATTTAGTAGTACTTTTTTTTAAGGTGGTAGTAGTATTATATTTCACTTCGTTGCAGTTGAGTAGAATATATCTCTCATGTATGACACGCCTACAAAATGAGTGGTGATATGTTTAAGTACTGGACCGACTTTAAAAAATACACGCACTAACAGACACACTCTCTCTCTCTAGTTACTGCGTCAGCTGCACCGACCCGCCAATCATCCACCCACGCTATTATTTTGGACTTGTGGATTCTTTTGTTTGGCACATGGAAATAATAGAGGAAGGTCTTCACTTCACATGTAGCTACCTACCCATTATTCCATGCCACGTCAATTCAAAAGCAAGACTCCAAACAAGACCTAAAAGCTAGGTTTGACACACGTAAGCCTGTATGCCCATTCTTTTCTTCGACACAAAATACGTACAATTGAAGTTAAGAATACAATTTAAAAATAAAATCTCAAAAATTTATTTTTCGAATTTTTGTCAACCTTGCTATGCTCCTAGAGACCAGTCTGTCCATCCTATTAGGGTCCATTTTCACATAAACATTTACACATATTCTACAATATACTCATCAAATTGAAGTCAAGAGGAAATTTTTGAACTTATTTGAAATTTTGAGTGTTGTTATTATTATTATTCAGCTTTTTATTTGCGTTATTGTTTGTGACTGATTGGAACCACGTAATCTCGTTCTACCTATTAATTTTTTGACTACAACTAAATGCGTAGCTTTTTAATTGTATTATTGTTAGTGACATTAAAACTGATGATCTCAAATTACTTAATAATTTTTTTTTTTGCCTAACATTAATTACATGCAAACGAAAATTTCTCTTAATTAGGGTTTCATATTAACGTGTCCTCATAATTTCAGTCAAAAAATTATGAGGCATGATTTTGATCTAAATACTTATTAGGATCATTTATTCCATGGTCCGGGTATTGTCTAGTGACAACTATTGCGGTAAGAAATATATCGGAAATGACAAGTTTCTCCAACATTAAGGCTACGTTTCATTTTTAGGTAAAATATTTTTTTATTTTAATTTTTTCGGTGTTTGACAAAAGTTTACATCAGATAGTACATGTAAAATAACTTGTTAAAAATTAATAGATAAATTATTTTTTTCTTCATAAATATTTTAATACAACTAAATACCAAAAAATAAAAATATTTTACATCCAAACAAACGGAACCCAAATACTCCTGTATATTTCAACACAGATAATGTATTCTTTGGCAATTTTATGATTGGAGACATCCGATGGTCCTCATCACATGTGCGAGTGATAAGAATCCTCGGATACAATATAACACTTCTACTATACTACACCTCATCCAAACTCAGGATTGAGATATAATAAATACCCAAAACACATCAATCTCAAGTCAATTCAGAAACACAATTGAGACATGTATATATATTTTCCCGACAAGGATCTCAATCATGACTAAAGTATAAATAAAACCAACAGATATTACGAGACAACTTTTAACAACAGTTGAAATAGTGCCTTGAATAATTGTACTAACCATTTTCACGGTTGTACATTAGTGTGACAAGTGACATAAAACCTATTAATACAATTCAGTGTAGTTCATTATTCTATGCATCTCAACAATCAAACATCAATATTAGGTCCATCTCTTATATTTGTTAAAGGATAATATTTCAATCCTAGTCTATCAAGACAATTTGTATTATGATAGATTATACCCATTTTTTCAAATTAAACTGATAGATCTATTTTTTTCCTCTCTTTGTTCCCATCTGTGTATTTCACTCACATATTCATTTACATTTTTTTTTTCTTAGCTCGTTGTAGAATTGAGTGAAAAAAAGAATAACTTTAATATATAGTATGCATAAAAAATAATTAAAGTAGATTTAAAAAAAGGAGAATAGAAATGATTAGTTCAATTTTGTTAAGAATAGTTTTCTATCTTAAGAAAATTAAAAATAATAAAAAAAGGTAAGGAAGACAAATTTGCATGAGTTGTTCTCTAGAAACAGAATTAGAAAATACATTCTTGAGTAATTTTAAAACTATTTCAGATTTATATATATATATTTTTATATGATTCTAAAAAACTGCCTGGAACTATTTTAGAATTAAAATAATTTTTGTTATTCTAAAAACTGGAGGGCTAGTAGGAAATATTAAAATTTGAAATTATTGGCTAAGGGAAAAGAAAGCTGTTGATGACTCTGTGAGCTAAGGGAAAAGAAAGCTGTGGATGACTCTGTGAGTGAGATACATAAGTGGGAGAAAAAAAACAAATTGTCGAGTTTAAACATAAAAAATGAGTATAACCCATGTTTTGTATTTTTTAAAATTTAAAAAATATATCAACCTCTTATTAAGACACGTTAGTGTGCACCTCTTATTAAGACACGTTAGTGTGCAAGACACATGATTGAAGCATTATCCTTTGTTAAAACAATAAGACACTACCAATCCCCCCACCACCCCCCAACACACACACCCCCCACCACCCCCCAACACACACACACACAGACATCCTTAATTACGCATGTGAATTTTGAAGTTAGACCTTTTTTAGACTTCGTTTGCTTTCCACATTCAAATATACACATACATTTATATACCAATAATTAAAAGAAAGGAAGAAAATAATAATAATAGTAATAAGAACTCACACTTTAATTCTACACATACATAGCGGAAACAGTCTACCTTAATGCCACTCCAACAAAAGAATTTCTATTTCTAAATCAAAATCCGTTTGAAGTTATTGAATCCGTGCAGGCTTCCAAATGTTATCTTCTTCTCCTTGGCAACCCACTCTGCTAATGCTACCCCGACAAGGTTGCTTTTTGCTTCCGAATGATATAGTTGGAAATGCAAAATATCTCGAAAGTGGAATTACAAGACACAAGAAAAGATTATATTTTATTTGAGAAAGCACTACGGCTCTAATTGAGAGAGATGGATTTTATGATTAGGAACTCAATAATGCTGCATCAATAGAACATCCACATGAGGCATGTATTGGGTCGTACAACAATGTGATACCATTCAATTCCCACCCAAAATTACCCCCTATCAGAATTACTGAATAACACAACTAAAATTATTTTGTAATAACTTACTGCATCAACTAGTCACCGAACAGAGTTGAGACAAGTAGGTCTTGCATAAAAACCGATCTTCCAGCAGCTTGTCTCATCTTTTCTTCCCGCTCTTCGGAACTTAATGATGCATCAAAACTGTAAGAGAGAGATATGTCGAGAGTGAGCTTTTAAGGAGCCTTTACTGCTCAGGCACGTCATATATGAAAGGTTTAAGTAACCAAGTGCTGCAAAATCAGTAACGACTCAATTGGCTCTTAGGCTTATTGATTGTTTATGAACTTGAACATGAGAACAACATGAATTAATTTGATTAAAAAAACATATTATAAACGAATCATGCAAAGGATATGGATGACCATGAATCAGAAACCTAAACATGATTTAAATCACGTCTTCCAGTTGATCAGTCCTTCGTTACAGGCATTATATTCATATTACCATGACCCAAAATGCAGCCTATTATTTAGTACTTGGTCAGTGATGAAGGTGGTCTATAAAAACTATCGCAAGAACTGCATGAAAGTATCATGACATGCCGGCTGGAGGAAACTGTGTTGTGTTCAAGTGGCAACTAAATATGCCATAGCAAACAAGCGGATGCGTTAATCAGGCACTGAAAACTGGATGAGAAATGAAGAAAAATAGTTTGGTCTACTACCTTGATTTCCATATATGTGCGGATGGCACGCTCTTTGTAGAAGTGTCCTCGGCACTGGATAACAAAGATTTTGAAATTTCTTCTGCTTCAGATGCAGGGAAGTTCAAGACAAGAGATGAAAGGAATGGATCGGTAACTGCATTAGATGAACTTGTATTGCTTGAACGATATCCACCACCTCCTAGAAGCACCTGCAGATGGGTCTCACGAAGATCCCTTCCCAGAAGCGACAGTGCCTGACCGTTGGGAATTGCAACTCTACGTAATCTACGTCGTCTCTGCAAGTAATTTTCAGTTAAGGTAAACTTCAAAGGAGATCACACCAACCACACACCTAGAGGTGCATGCAGTTGAAAATTATATAAGGAGATTAGACATATTAACTACATTTCCAATTTAAAGGATATCTTGAACAAGTGTCCATGTTGCAGGGTGATATGACTTAACATGTCCCTTGCAACCTTGACAGAGCAAATAGGACAGACCTGCAAGAAAAAATATATGCAGTATGAGATTCATGTCACTGGAACCTGGTTAATACATGACATAAGTAATTTCAGGGGTAAGGATTACAGATAAAATGAAGCAATGAGGACGATCAAGACAACATTCACTTCTCTGTTCTTCATCCACTCTTTCCCCTTCTTTTTGGTAATGACTTATTTTTTAGCCCTCAGGAATTATAAACTATATTCAGAAAACCAAAATCCATTTCCTGTTGACTAATAATAATATGAAATAAAGTTTGACTTGACCAAGTCTACAAACAACATACAGCATGACTCATCTTAATCAATATTTCATCATTTTAATAACGAAAAGAGAAGTAGGAACATTTAAAATTTATCAATAATATAAACTATAAAGAAGTTTTGCTTTGGAGGGGTTGAAGATGTGACCTCAAGTGCCACATCCATTTTTCATTCATGTTCATTTGCCCGTTTCTTAAGGTAAAGAAGTGATCACAACCATCAAAGGACTATGGTACACTTGGGGAGCCAAGAGCGAATGCATCACATGAACTTAGAGTAGTTGCATTAGAAGAGTTTCATATCAAACAAGCACACGTCAAAAAACTCAAGCCATCATCACCTAAAGTGAAGGCTACACACTGTTACATGTCCAACACCAGCAAAGACCTTGCTGGGTCATATGTGTGAGTTTCCCTCTGTGTAGAGAGACTGGAGCCTCATAGCACATGTTTCAGCTTCTTGTGCTCCGATAATTCAATCACTACCTATGTCTATCCTCATATCTTACCTTGAGTAGTGTAATTAAACAAAATATCCTAGTCAGACGTGTTCCTATGCTGCATCAAACTTTCTCAGTGTCTCCCTTACTCCTCCAGTTTTCATTGCAAGGGCAGTTGCACAGCCATCAACTTGATGTGTGCTGAATTCCATATAAACTTAACTTCTCACCTTAATCACCCTTCAGCACTCCTGTCAACAGGAAGAGACAATTGTATTTAACCCTTCTCATCTGCAGCAAGGCATGTTTTGAGGTACATCCATCAACAGACATGAAAACTAGAATTATATATACATGCAACACACATTACAATATAGTGTCAAGTTAGTGTCCTTAACACATAAGAAAGCACTCTAAATTTATCTACTATTTGCTTGAATAGTGAATACTTTCCCTACAACCTTCTCTATAATAATTAGTACTTCACAAAGCCCCAAAAACCTTAACACTACGCCTTGAATGAGGATGGTTTACTGGTGACTAGATGCATCTTCTAGCTAAAATTTCATCTGATGGTTGAGTTAACACAGGTCATTACTCAATACTGCTCCTGCCTATGCAGGGCGCCGGAAAAGAAAGACTAGAGACAAACCTAACCGTCTTTTACATTAGTTTGCCCATAATGGTTGCTCTCAAGCTCGAACCTGCATCCTCACATCTGTTAGCTCAAGCTTTACCATCCCTAACCTGTGTCTATTTAGTTGGTAATAATGTACACAATCTAAAAGTTGGACACAACCAACTACTGTATTTTTGGATTAACAAGTTCATATTCATGCAAAAATTCAAAAGAAGTTGATATGGACTCAATATATGAAGCAATGCAACTAAAAAACATGGACGCGATACATTTATATTCATTGGCACGTGGATAATTACACTATCAGATTTTGGCTGACAAGATAAACCCTCATTATACCAAAAAAAAAAAGCAAAAAACATTTGGAGTGAGATAACAAAATAAACTGTTTTCTGTTCAATTAAATGTAAAACATAATAAATTGTTAACTATTTAATCAAATGTAAATTATTATTATTTTTTAAAATAAAAAAATGCAGTGTCACAGTCTGTGGCATGCACTCATTTTAAAGGCTTCCAAATAAAAATATCTCCTAACATGCTTAGTGGAAACTGACTTAACTTAAAGATGGAATCAGCATTTGAAACAACACAATAGTCTGTTCTGTCCTCTCCAAAAGGAGAAATTCCAACAGAGAATCAGATCTCTACTACTTTTATTTATTATTTTTTCTTTCGGAAGTTCAGATCTCTATTATCTCTCAGAATAATCTAGTTGATGACCACTTTTAACTTGTGCAATTTTGCCTGACAACTTGAAACATGGTTGTTCAAGTACCCAACTTTGATGTCTTTAAGAGAAATATATCTATATATACAGAGAGAGAGAGAGAGAGAGAGAGAAAGAGAGAGAGAGAAAGAGAGAGAGAGAGTGCTACATGGAAAGCTTAGAGAACAATATCACTGAAAAATACAGGTCTCTTACACAAAGGAGGGAACGCTAGAAACAAACCTGACCTTTTGACATTATTTTGCACAAATTAACTGCTCTTACGAACTTGCATTCTCACACTTTCAGCACAAGCTTTGACAATTGTACCAAGCAATAGCCTTAACTTTGCAATAAAGTCTTATGCATTGTAATAATGCTGCCAACTGGTAGGTTTCTGCAATAATACATTGTCATTGCTGTGCCACAACGTAAACTCAACTCAATAAACCCTTTTCCCATTTATTGAGCTTGTCTACATGAAATCTCCTTTATGGTCATCTCATTCTTGAAAGATTCAACAAACTCAAAATTACAATTTCACGTCACTTATGATGTTGTTCCAACCAAATTTCCTATGTAGCCAGCTATAAATAAGTCATCATATACATACCCGTTACAGGTTCACCGCATACAAATAATTACCTGAATTTCGAGTTGCTTCACTGATAATGGCATAATGCCACTGTATTATTACATTGCAAGTTAGGATGAAGCAGGATTTTGCTTTCAATATAAGTAAGGTCAAGGGGAATTTTGGAAAAAGCAGTTCTATAGACACCAAAAGTTTAGACCAATTAAACAATGTGAACTCAAACTAAACAATAGGTATTTTCATGTGGGGTTCACATGATATCATCCTCCTTTATTTTTATTTTTTTATTTTATTTTATTTAAAATTCACATTCCTTCGTCAATTGGGTATTTCGCTTTAAAAAGAATTTTTCCTTTTGGAAAGTAGGTAAGTCATCTAAATTGGAAAAGGGATGTTAGAACCTCCTTTGGGCTAATGAACTCAACAATAAGCTATGCTGCATCCACATTTTCCCAAAATTTTTTATCTTTCCATACAAAAAAAATAACCTATCTCTTCAAACTATAACAGGAGGCTAGTGGAACTACCTAATTATCTGTCCATTCTAAAGGCCCCAACATCCCATGTTAAAGGCACGCATTACTGATTCAATATCCTCCACGATAGTTGAATCAAACAGCATACAGTATTACAAATCTCCTCAGATCCTCGGGTGAAATATACTCCTGTGAATATAAAGTTAACCAGCACCTTCAGTTTGAAACTTTTGGGCAGAACAAATGGTTCACAAATCTACCTAGTCAAATCTGCTCTTTCAACATTACTTGCAATCTTAAGAAGCCTTTATTATTCAATCAAAAAGACGAGCTGCTATGTTTATGCGGTTGTCTATGTAAATGAATTTAAAATCCATTGATAATGTCTGAGGTTGTTTCCTATGAATTTGTGACATCCTTCCCATATCCAAGATACTGTCATCCAACCGCAGAGCCTCATCCTACTCCTCTTCCATGACAAGTTACCATAAAATTTCAGGCTATAACATTCATAAATTTTCATTCTAGTCCAACACATGAGAGCCTTCATATGAACAACCAAACAAAAAGACTGTGACCTCTCAACATACCCATCAAGGTAATTTATTTTTTATTTTTACCTGTTTATCACACACTTGTGCATAAGTGGAAAAGGAATCGGAAAACATAGAACCGAAACAACATGAATTTGCATATCCCCGAAAAATCATAATTTTCAATAAAATCAATGGTGTGAACCATTTTGAAGAAGAAATGCAACAAAGACCATAGTTATAGTAAATTTTCAAAAAGAAGGAAAAAAAAAAAAATCAAAACATGAGCAGAGAAGGATATATAATAAGGTAAGGATAAATGAACAAATTACATGTGGATGGATTTATATACATACACAATTACACACACATATACACGCTTACATACATAAATCGGTCAAAATAGATACTCACGGTGACTTTGGACTCGAATGAGTGCTCATCTTCGAGGTGGGAGCACAGAGAAGCTATATCGAAGTCCTCAAAACAATAAGGGCATGGAAAATCGGGGCGAACCTCATCTTCCACCTCGAAATCATCGATGTTCAATCGATCTGGAAACAAAAACACCAAAACCATATGATTTTCGTTAAACAAAGAAAAAGAGAACATTTTTTTTAGATAGATCACAAGCAAGATATAAAGAAAATAAAAACAAACAAACCCAATTGAGAGCTATGATGATGGTTGTGGTGGTGGTGGTGGTGCTGCTGCAAAGTCAACTGGCGTTTGGCGGCCGCAAGGCGAGAGGTCCAGAAATCTGAATCCATGGGGAAAGAGAGACAGGGGTATTGAACTGAGAATGAAAAGGAAAACAGAAATGAAAAGTGGTAAATTTTTTTTTTTTTTTAAATGTTTAAATTGAATATTTGAGAATAATGAGAGAAATTTGACTTTTTCTTGGTGTTGTTGGAATGTTGATCTGAGTGAGTAAGGTTCAGATACGACGATTGTACTCAAAGAGAGATAGAGAGAGGAGCTGAATGGAGGAGGTTATGTGGTCATGACAACAGGTGACGTATGAGATCTAGCATGCGAGAACATGTCGGATTTCTGCTCATTTTTTCTTTTGAATATTTATTTTTTCTTTTATGGTCTAAATTTGAAGGCTAACATTAATTTGTCCGTTGGTTTGTTTTTAGTTCATCATTGTTTGAGAACTGATTATATCAAGAGTGAACAATCGAGGCCTAAACTAAGATTATATGATCGACAACGAAAATTTGGTCAAAGTTTATCAACAAGCAGCAAGAGTGAAAAAGTCAAACAAACTTTTTTTTCTTTAAAAACATCTTTAAAACATTATCTATTTATATTTTTGCTGTACTTTTATTTCTTAAAAAAACCAAAGAAGTATTAATAAGAGATAAATCTGTTTTCTTTGATATAAATAAGAACAATTAGATAAATCATAATATATATATATACATTTAGTAACCTTCATGTTATTCAAATCATGAAAATGTTATATATATATTTTTTCTACAAAATTTTAATTCTAATCAAATACAGCTTCCATTTGTTTTTTTTTTTTTTTTCATGCTTCTTCTTCCTTTCACTTCTTTCCTTCCCCCTTTTTTTTTTCCCCCCAAAGTGTATATATATATATATATATATATATATATATATATATATATATTCTTCTTTCTAACCAAACATGCAACCATCTGTGAATATATTTAGTTCTTGTAAATAATAATGGCTAACTCAAAAGTATGTTTGCTAGTTGGGCTAAAGACTTTAATTTTTACTTGGTATATATTTTTTCTCAATATTAAAATTTTAAAAATCGTGAAATGGAAATGTATCAACTTTAATATTCCTTGCCTTGTTTAAAAAATAAAAAAGACAAAAAGAAATAGATTTTTTTTTTTTCATAATAAGAAATTGGATACTTCCACCTTTTGGAAAAATTAATCCCATATTCTTCACCCAAAAAAAAAAAAAAAAATGCTGGCATAACGGTGTCGTTAAAGGCTGTTTCTTTTTCATCTAAGATCTCAAAAAGTTTATGCGCAAACTAGGGTTAGGGTTTGTGTAGTGAGAGACAAAGAGGAAAACCCAAGAAAAACTCTAGTATTCCATGGAGGCGACGGCGACGACGACGACGACAACGACTGAGCAAAAGCAAGTAGCTGGTGGTTCGAAACCGGGGATGAGGAAGCCGGTGTTCGTAAAGGTGGATCAGCTGAAGCCAGGGACGACCGGACACACTCTGATAGTGAAGGTATTGAGCTCCAACACTGTTTTGCAAAAGAAAGGCCGCAACGCCGCTTCTTCTCAGCCCCTCCACCGTGGTGGTGCTGCTAACACTCGCATCGCCGAGTGTCTCATTGGAGACGAAACGGGTACCATTCTCTTCACCGCCCGTAACGACCAAGGTCTCCTCTCTCTCTCTCTCATTCTCTCCCTCTCCCCCTCCGTGCTTTCGTACTATTTGCAGGTTTTTTTTTTTTTTTTTTTGCTTAATTTAAAAAAGCACATGTTCACACAAACACATACATTTTTGTTCGTACGAGAAAATTGATCTTTGACCAAACAGAGCATAATGTTACTATATAATTTTATAATCGAAAGTTTCTGATCGCATTTCAACGTAGATTGGGTCTCGTGGGTCTGAATTGAAATTTCCAGAAAATGAAAGATACAATGAGTAATGTTCAATTTTCTTGAGGATGTTGTTTTGGAGTCAAACTTAAGTTCAAAATCTAAAATTTAAGCCATTTAAGCGGAAAGGCGACCAAATCTAAAATTTTGTCAGCACCTCCAGAGTTTGTACGCTTATATATGTAAATACCTTCAATATATGTGTGTGTTTGTGTAAATATATAAAATGTTTTCAATAGTTGTAATGTTAAAAGACCATTATGTGGAATAATAAATTTGTAATTTGATTAGCACGAGAGAAATGTGTAGAGTTAATATTAATCTTATTTCTTCTACGTTAGGAGATATATTATTAGTAATGCTTAAAGTACAAAAATTATAGTATATATTTAATTTTTTAAAAATTGTGACATGAGAAATCGCTATGAATTCGAAAATTTGTTAATTGAATTTGCGAATTACGGAACGATTTGCTCTTAGAGTTAGAGTGCCAATTCATGAGCAGAGTGTGAGAGTGGCACTCCTTCAGAAGGATTGTATAATGCGAGGTTGTGATAAACTTTTAAGCTGCTAGTGTTGCATACGTAGCCATATAGATGTACAGAATATCACACCTTAATGTTTGAATAGAAGGATTGAGTGCATCACTACATGTGCTTCGTTTTTGCTATTATTATAGCTCATCGTTGCTTTTCTAGCTGTTTTTATCATGGTCCTTGACAGAACTTGTCGCTGTTAAATAGCATCAATTAAGATGTTAATAACTCGTTTTTGCTTGATAAATGAGAGAAAGAAATTAAATTGGTTAGAAAAGTTAATCATTAGAAATTTTCCTTCTTTCCCATGGTTCAAATGGAATTCGATCTAGTCTATTTGTTGAAAATCATATTTAAATGTTAAAGTGTTTTAATATACCTTTTTTTTTTTCCACCTAAGTGAAAGACACGATGAAATAAAACTTCTCTGAAATATTTTAAACTTTATAGATTTATGATTCATTTGTAGTGCTACGTAAAGGATCAAACATTAATTAATTTGCTGTTGAAATTTTTGATGTGTTATTTCGTGCAAGTATGGAATGCAAATTGCATTTTGTATTATAGATTTGGTGAACACATTTGATGTTTTCTTTTCTACCTTACAATATATATATATATATATATATATATATATATATATATATATGGGATATTGCATGTGCTTCCATTCAGATATTTAATAGTTACATCACTCCACCCACTTCTTTTTCACTAGCATGTAACAGAACCTTCCTTTGGTTGGTCCTTTATTAATTAATGATGCATTTTATTTAAATTATCACACAGTTTTGTTAAACAATATATATAACATCAAATTTGTCCTCAATGAGAAAATAAAAGTGTTTGGAATATCCCCTAATTTTTTTTTATTTTTTTATTTTTTATAATTATTTTCTGAACTTCTCAATAACCTCTCTCTCTCCACACATTTTGTGTCTCTGCACTGTCTCTATATCTCTCTCCATTCTTTCTGACTAAATATTCTGGCATAACCGGCCACTTCTTAATAGAATCTGGTTTTTAGTTAATCCTTTATTTGTCTCACTGCCCACCTCTCCCTACTTTTTCTGTCAAGCTTAGACCCAATTGAACCACTAATTTAGTGGTCTCATTGGTAAATTGAAGAATGCCAGTTTTGTCAACTCCAATATTGGTGTCAACTCCATTATTCCACTATAGAAGAATGCCAGTTTGGGTTGGCGAAGCAAGTAGGTTGCTAAAGATTTGTGAAAATGTTGTTTTTGCTGTTCACCATGCAATATATTTTATCATTATTTTTTTCTGTGTGTTATTTATGCAATTTGTGATAGTTGAGTTTAATACATTCATGAGTCTCTGCACCTTAGATCTTCCAATACACTTTGGTATGCGCTCTTACAAGTAGCTTTCGTTATAATGCTTTGCATCTTAGCTTCTTGAACCACATAGCTTTCTATATAGATCTTTCGCTTTCTCCTCTCTGTTGATTATAGTTCGTAACTTAGATGTGATCATTTTTCTGTTTGCTTGTTTTGCCTGCCTTGCTTCTTAAGGGAAAAAAAAATTTAGTAGGGCTACTTTGCAAGGTGGGTTGACCTGTTGCTATATTGCATTTTTGTGATAATGGATTTATCTCTCTACAGTTGACCTGATGAAACCGGATACCACTGTCGTTATTCGCAATGCAAAGATTGACATGTTCAAGGGGTCTATGAGGCTTGCTGTGGACAAATGGGGCCGCATCGAGGTCACTGAGCCGGAAAATTTTGTGGTTAAAGAGGACAACAATCTGTCTCTTGTTGAGTATGAACTGGTTAATGTTGTTGAAGAATGACCAGAATCTTAGTGTTCAGGGTCTTTGATGTCTGAAGTAATTGTGAAGTTTGGAAGCCTGATGATTTTACTGTCTTTTGTTGCCGTAAGATGGTATTGAGGTGCATTTTCTTTGTGACAGATGGGTTTGGTATACACATCTCACTAGAATCGGTTAGTTGGTCTATTATACACTATAACATATACTAGGACTGGTACAATGTTAGTTTGTGTATTTGGTATGTAAAAGGAACTGTCTTCTTTTTTCCACATTCAAAAGCTCATCCAGTTTTTGGACATGGAATGGTGACATATCCATGTGAATGGAATCTTTGTATCTCTAGTTTTAGATTTCAGTCGTTTTTCGATTCCAAATGTTCGCCAAGGCTTTGCTCTACTTCTGGGTTTGTTCATCCCCACTGAGGTGTGGTTTTATAAGAGATTTGATGTCAGCTCGTTATCAGTCGCAATTCCTAACGTTAACCTTTTTAGTTTATTATAATTAAACACTGACGTTTTTATGGTTTGATATTCTGTCTTCATGATACTTTTATGTCTCCAGGTGTTCTTATTTTATTGTCAAATTCGCAGATGATCCCAAGTAAACTGTTACCAAAATATTCTTCATACCATATAATTGAGGTGGTGATTTCTCTCAAAAAAGAGAAAATAATGTCGTTTATGTGGAACCTATTTGTGGTTTAAGAATTTGCTTAACTGGTTATTTGTAAATCCTTGTTTACACAATACTATCAGTTCAACGTCCGATCAAAAACATTTTTAAGCGTAGCATGATTTAATCAAAATAACACTCACCAAGCCATGAACAAGCAATAATGAATATGCAATGAATCATCCATTTTGCAAACAAATAACAACAGAGTTGATACATGTCAAATATGATTTGCTCTTCTGTTGTACCTTGAACAAACTTGTGATTGCCCTTAACGGTCAAACTTCACCTTCTTGAGCTGCTTTTGCTTCGGCTCAACTTTTCTATAATGCCAAACAGAAGTGGAATGCACAACCCTAGAGAGATTTCTGCTCCGCGTCTCCTGGGGACATCCAAGTGTGACCCCCTTACGGATATGTTCTCGTGTCCTGCAAAGCGACTTGTGTTTGGGAAGTTCAGAGCTCCTCTGTCCCCTGATCTAATTCCAATTAGCCGGCCTAGCGGCACACTATGGTCTTGAAAGAAGGATGCTGTGGACTGGTTGATATCAACAAGACACCAACATATTCAAGTAAGTGGGAATGGCGAAGCTTACATTTAGAAAAATGTTTGGAAGTGACTCCATGAATGAAAATGAAGAGGACTTCTAATTGCAAAATTTCATGAGAAAATTTTCATTAGGTTTATTCACGTGTTTCAACAGAATACATTTACTTCCATCTCTATATGCGGGCTTAACTATTAATTCTTAAGGTTGGGTGGAGCATGCTTATTATAGACACCGTGCTCATAAATACAATAATTTTTTATTTTCCAAGAAGGTGAAGCTGTGAAGCAAAAACCTATATTGCGAAGGTGAAGCTGTGAAGCAAAAAGCTATATTGCGAAGCTATATTGCGAAGGTGAAGCTGTGAAGCAAAAAGCTATATTGCGAAGCTTACTTAAGGTAAGGTTGCCAGTTAGCTTGTAGTTGAAGTTTTATGAAATTTTCAATTTTTGGCATTTAGACGAAATTAATTAAAAACAAGAAGAGAAGATCACCAATCCAACAGATTACACAGGTGCTGTGTACTATATTTGTTGTGACTCACTCTCACTCTAGAACTGGTTGCTTACAAATAACACACTCTCCTTATATAATCATCCTATCTAACTTCTAAAACTCTCTACACAAATGCCCACACATTTACACTTCATAAAACTCTCTACTCCTCCAGAAGATTATACAATCTAGGTTTCTACAAATTCAAATATCAGTTGGCAATTGATTAACTTTTCTTTTGATATACAATAGCAAGATTCCTTAGGAATCACTTTTTTGACATGAAACTTGCTTTTGTCTGGACTATAATCTAAAATCTATGAACAAGTTTGTCTACAGCAACTTCAAGATTGACCCACTCCTATATGGAAAAATAAATCTGGACATATACAAGAAATCCTGGAAAAAAAGAAAAGTGAATCTATGAATAAAAAAATAAATTCTACACATATATAGAGAAACCGAAAGAGGAATCACCTCAGTATCAAGGTTGGAGGATGAGAATGAGGAGAAACTGGTTGAGGGCATGTGTGCGGAGTATGAATCTTCAGCTGCAGATGCCTGTGAGTTCTCCACCACTCCAAGTCTCATGTTCATGTTTCCGAGCCCAAGTGGCCACCCAATCGGCATCTCATGGTTCTGATAGACATCCAAAATCAATGAGCAATCAAACATTTATGTTTGTTCAATAAAATGGTATCTCAACAGCTGCTGTGCCTCTAATTACTTTAACTGCTTTAAACAAGGATTCTTGTCAAATCACAATTTTAAGCTACTTTGTATATTATGTGAAAACTAAACATCTATTTTTTTTTTTTTCCCACATACTTTTCTTATTAAATTAGACGCAACACTGAGCTTTTGATGATTGATGATATATCTGCAACCCTAGATGTACAGCCGTTAGATTCACTTTATATTTATATACATAACTGTCAATCTAAAATATAGATCAGACTTGGGTAGTTCTAGTTAGAAATTTTCCCATTTTCAACGAGAACTTGTAGTCAACTATCTTCAATATCAGTATAGAAATCTGAGAATTTAGAGCCTATTTTGAAATAAATCTTCCTAAATAATGAATCCAAAAGATAGAAAATGATTTCCCTCTTCCCCGTCTTCACCAACTAACAAAATCTACAATATAAAAAGAAAAAAGAAAAAAAGAAAATGTTACGGCGTCTTTTTAATTGAAATTCCCTTTCATAATGAATTCAGAGAATACCATAATCAATATTAGTCAACCATTTAAATTTTTAAAAACTAATAAAATTAGAAAGTTCTATGAGTCTATTAATGAGCCTCTTTCAACTAAGTTCTCAAAAAATGAATTCAAGGAATTCCCAAAAGCCATTAAACAGGAAACCAAGAATTAAACCAACTTCTCTCAAAGAAAAAAAAAAAGAATTCAAGTTCTCAAAACCATCTTCTTACAAATGAAGAACCAAGTAGTAGTAGTTTAATAGCTTCAGATTTTGAACGAACGAATCAAAACCAAAAGATGAAGAGGTATGCGAGAGTGACATATTACCTCTGTAAACATGGTGTGAAGTCCGTCCTTCAAGACAGAAAGGGGTTGACGATGATGAATTTGATGATATCAATGAATAATCCAAAATAGGATGAGATGGATTTTGGTAAGACCACTGAAGACTAATGGCTCTCCAAAATCCGAGTTCTTCTTTAATACTACTACAATGAAACGTCCAGCCTTTTGGGTCCCACCTAGGAGTTAATACTTCAAATCACCATGCCCACGTGTTCCTTCTCTCTCTCCCCTCTTCTCAAGTTTCAAAATATTGAAGCTGTAACTGTTAATTTACCGCCATATTTACAACAACTGTTCCTATAAGTCAGTTTTATTCTGTCTGTGTTTTTATATTGCTTATGTAACAATTTATATCATTTATATAATAATTTTATCTCTCTTTATGTAATAATTTAATATAAGTACATTACATGGTTATTTTACGGTATTACACTTTGTCATGAGACTGTTACACTAGCAAAACAAGACTAGACACTCTATCCCTCCAAATTCGCCGTGAAACAGAGTTACTGTATGCTCTGCTTTGTGACAATGGTTGAGTGTGGTACTTCATCTGCTCTATGCTCTGATATGTCATTTTCTTTTCTATGTTAAAAAGTTTTTTTTTTTTAGCAATGAATGTCACTATTGTGGTGGTTGAGAAACTCATAGTTGCTTTGTGTGCTATTTAACCTGTGATTTTGAACAACATTACAACACATCAATCAAGTGGGATTAGTGGAGTGTAAATACATCAAATTAGCAGGGGAATAGAAACTTAAAGGGGAATATATTTTGTATCAAGTGTGGAGGAGAAAAGGAAAGAGTAGTTAGATGTTGGGGGCAATTAAAGGAATGCTTTTGTGAGTAATAAGATTAAGAATCTCTCCAACCCATTCAGATTTCAATGCAATTGATTGCTCAACAATTAGTAGATCATGTGTCCTACAGTGGTTGAATGGCAAGGTTCAATGCCAGATTGATGATGGTTCATTAACACCATGTTTTGAAAGTAACATGACATCTCATAAGCAGCCAAACATTTAGAATTGAATTTTTTAAAAAGTTGAAATTTAAATATTAATTTACAATTTGGTCTATTTTAAGACAAATTTGGTCAGTTTAATATATATATAAAATGTAAACAATTTCTAATTGAACCTAGTTAGCAAGTCCATTCACTTGAGTTTTTGAGTCATTGGACTTAATTTTACATATGATACTCAACTTCAGTTACAACTAAAATGACTGGTCGTATTTCATTGTATCTTTTAGATGCAAATGAGTAAGGTGTTGTTTGATTATTGAATTCAGCGTTTAATTTTGAATGTATTTAGTGCTTATTTAATTTAGTTTGTTTGATAACGCATTTGAATATCGCTGTAAACGGTAAGCGCTATTTAAAATGTGATAAAATTTTAAGTGACATAAACATCACTTATCACTGAATGCTGAACGCTTGAAAGTTAAAAAGATATCAAAAAAACATATATATTTTTTAATTATCACTTAAAAACTTTAACACTTAAATTCAAGTCTTAAAATTTTTAATTTTATCAAACAGAGACTAGGTCAATAATTTCGCCTGAATCCTATTTCATTGCATCTAACAGATGTAGATGAATAAATTAAATTGACTATTTTAGGTCTTGCATAGCATGATTCTACAAGAAATTAAGAAAACAAAGACTATGTTGGCTTCAAATTTGGTGTATTTGGAACCACTAGCGGATTCCCACCGACATCGCCAACCCTAATTCCAAGTCTCATATCCCAGTGGACACGCCACTTCGTTACCATAGAAAAAGTTTGATGGATCTCAATCACAACCAGACAAGATGATGTCTGTGAATATAACAACCTACATGTATGGTCTCTCCAACCACCTTGTTAAATGTTAACAAAAAGCAAAAATATTATTTATGTCTCACTCAGCATCCTGTTTTTTAAGAACATAAATAAATAAACTAAAAGAAAAACTCTTTAAAAAAATATTACAGAATTATTGTGCAAATTATTATTATTATTATTTTTATTTTTCCCCTGAATTATTGTACAAAATGAATCATGTGAATTTTACAGTAAAATCTAGGTGATCAATGATTGAACTCAAATAGTCTCATCAATCAACCCGTGTTTATGCTTAGCACAACTCAAATGTACATTATATTAGCCTCTACTCCAACATTTATGACCAATATACAGTACACTTGAACAAGAGAAAAAACAAAGGTAGGACCTCTATCTTGTACTATGTTTTAACTCAATGTTCTTCTTTGCTTCTACCTAAATAACTCAATGGACCAACCTTTTTTTATAATATAGTTTGCGACACTTAGCTAACTTCATATTTTCAGTCGGTTCCAACTCGGATAAAAGAGGAGTGATCAACCTTAAATAGAACATAATAAAAATATGGGATTCATGTCGCCAGAAACACTCTACCAGTAAACAATTCAGAGGTAGTAATCAGAAATCACTGTAGTATTGGCAAATTTGGTTCACATTTCACCAATTCATGTTATGAGATAAAATGAAAAAATACAAGGGGCTTCCATTGGCTATATATATATATATATATATATATATTCAGGAATCATACTGTGGAAATGGATTCCACAAGAGAAGAGAGAACAAGAAGATATTTGGGAGCAAGATTGGAATCAAAGGATGGACATCACTCCCAAGGCGCTTCCTTCTCATCCTCTTCCTCACATATTCTCTCTTCTGCTCTTCACCCCACTGAGCTTCCTCCACTCCCTTGGCAAGAATCAATGGTGGGGGCTGTTGGAATGGGCACTTGGACCTCCATGAGGTCTGTGGGACCCCAAATCTTGAAACCCTTTTGAGGAAGAGAGAGAAGCCCCATCTCAGATGTAGAGAGGGGAAGGTGTTTGGTGATTTAGGGCAGAAGATAGGTGGGTGGTAGTCCCAGTTAAGGTAGCAAGGGAGCTGTGTGGAGATGAAGAATTGAGAGTAGAGGGATTCAGGTGTGTTTGTAGGGTTGATTAGTGTGTGGGTTAGGGCTTGGAGTTTTTGCTCCCACGTTGTTTCCTCCATTTCATTATCATCACCGCCTTTTTGTTTTCTTCTCTGAATTTCTGATGAAGGGAGAGGTCCTTTTGAAGAGATTGAAGGTTGTGGCTGAGGTGTGTCAGTATAAAAGTTAAAACTAATTAGTGACATCCCTTATTTTTATTGAGCACCAATTTATTCCTCCTGGTTGGAAGTTTTTTTGTTCAGGAAATAAAAGAACATACAAAATGCAATAAATATTAAAATCCATTGAACAAATTTTTTTTCTTCTTTTCAAATAATTCTCTGAATTATGTTTTTGACAAATCTCCTCCTAAACTTATTTAAAATCATTGCCATTGTCGCTCTGTGTTGAATACCTATACATAAATAAATAAATAACTCGACCCATTACCTATTTTGACATCAAAATAAAAAGTCAATTTATTTTTATTACTTAAAAAAAAAAAAATTGTATATAACCACCACTAAAACATCTATTTTTTTTCCCTCTCCCTTACCCACTCTTTTCCATCATCCGTCTGATCTACACCATATCCATAAAACTCTGATGTTATGTTGTATAAACCAAATGGGAGAAAAACAAAAGAAAAATAGTGAATATTGTTAACATCCCAAAAGAAAAGAAAAAAAATGAAGAAATGAGTGTTATCATGTTTGGAAATATATATATATATATATATATATTTCCAAACATGATAACACTATATATATATATATATATATATATATATATATATATATTATTTTAATAAATTTCCTACCACTTTTAGACCATGTAATACAGACACGAATACGGACACGGTATATGAACACGATACGATACGAATATGTCGACATGGGTACGGCGTAAACACGGTTACATAATAATATAATTTATTATTATTATAAAATTTTAATTCATTTATAATTTCTATAGTAAGAGTTACTTTGAAATGAATTAGAAAATAAAATTATGTCATTATTGTAATAATTATTATATCATATATATACCATTATTTCACCACTTTGTCATGATAGTATTCATATTATTTTCAACATTACTGGGTAAATTTATGTTAAAAATGTCCTTCGAGGAGTGTCGATGTCCGATACCAGTACAACATACGGCTCTTTTGTAAAAATGTCTGTGCTTCTTAGTTTTTAGATAACCAACCTAGTTTTTAGATAACCAAGCTTTAAATAAAAATAATACGGAGTAATAATAGTCCTATTTCCTATCTATCTATCTTTTATATATAAAATAAAAATAAGGTTAAATGTAAAAACTCCCCCGAAACTATTAGGGTATTGCAAGAAACCCCATGAACTACAAAAAAAACCCCTGAACTATAGTTTTGTTGCAGTTTACCCCATTAGCTTATCGAAAAAGTAAAAGACTATTTTACCCTTGTTATAAAAGGGCACAGTTTCGCCCAACACCTCACTCTCTCTCTACAACCAACCATAAACACTTGCAAGGCCCAAAAAAAAAACAAAACAAAAAATCAGGGCGATGGTGAAGAGTGTTGAGGTGGGAGGAGGAGATGAATCTAGTGGAGGTGGTGGTGCTATTGTGGTGGCGACGGCGAAGGGGGTTGAGGTGGGATGAGGAGATGGATCTAGTGGAGGTAGTGGTGTTGTTGTGGCGGCGGCGGCGAAGGGGGTTGAGGTGGGAGGCGGAGATGGATCTAGTGGAGGGGGTGGTGCTGTTGTGGCAGCGGCGGCTAAGGGGGTTGAGGTGGGAGGCGGAGGTGGGAGGCGGAGGTGGATCTAGTGGAGGTGGTGGTGTTGTTATGGTGGCGGCGGCGGCGAATAGGGTTGTGATCGGAGGAGGAGATGGATCTAGTTTAGGTGGTGGTGTTATTGTGGTGGCGGCGACGAGGGTTGAGGCTAGAGGAGGAGATGGATCGCCATGGACGGCGACGATACCAAAGTCACCATATCTGGCGGCGACACCAATGACGGCGGCGATTCCAGTACCATGGACGGCGACGATTGTCCTGAAAATCTCAGCTTCTCATTTCATATTCAATCCAAAACTTGATTATGACGAATTGCTCCGGTGTATTTTCAGAAACTGAAGGCGGCGGACGATGCGGAGTCGACGCGTTAGATCCATTGGGTTGGGACGAGTTACTAAGCGAGTCGTAACTCGGTGGCAGCTCAAAACCGAAATCATCTTCCTCGTTGCCAGGATCTCGCTGTCGTCATCTCCTGCGCCTGCCCGGCCACAGTCTCTTGCACCGACATACTTGCTGATGTTGGAGGTGGTGTGTATAATATATATATATATATATCTGTGTGTATAACTATCTAATTCCTCTTCGATCAAGCACGATACACCGGTGGCGGCACCAGAGGATATATGTGTGTGTTTGTGTGTATATTATATGTGTAAGGTGGCGGTAATGGTAGTGGCGGAAGTGGGGTGGTGGCAGTGGGTTTGTGGGGTTTCGATTGGGTTTCACAGTGTGTGATGGGTTTGATGGAGAGAAAGTTGGGTTGTGGTTGGTGATGGTGGTGGCGGATGGGTTTGTTTATTGGTTCAATTGGGTTTGTGTACGGGATTGGGGTGGTGGCAATTGACTTGTGTACGACGATGGTGGTCGTAGACAATGGTATTGGGTTATTGGACAATTTGGCATTTTCATATATAGAAGGGCATCATTGTCCAAAAAATTTAGTTTGTCTGTCGCGTGAGAATCACGTGCTCATTTTTTGGACGGCCGGTTACCAAAGAGGGTGATCTGCAACTTTTTTGGCAAGATTCAGGAGGTTTCTTGCATTTTTGATAGTTCAGGGAGTTAGTTGCAAGCTTCTTCATAATTCAGAGAAATTTTTTGCATTTTACCCTAAAAATAACAATAATAATAAAACAACCTTTCCATCCATTCCCTTTATTTTAAAATGAGCCTGAAAAGGTTTTAGACAAGGATATCACATCAAGTTGCACAAGCCAGACAAAAAATAGGTTTGACATCAATCTTTTATTAATTTAGGGGGATTGAACATAGTTTAAAATACAAGGAATCCCTCGAATTCTCAGTTTATTGCGAACAGTCGCCTGACTAAGCAAAGAATCCCTAAACTAGCAAACTTATGAAATTCTCAAAAATGCCCATCAGCGTAGAGATGGCACAGGCTGCATCACCCCTTCCATGGACTCATTCAGAGTGAACTACTATTCTTTTTTCCTTTTCAAACAACCGAAAAAAAAAAAAAAAAAAAAAAGAAAAAGAAAAATTAGAAACCACCCGCACCCACATATCAGGAATTTGTTGGAGCTTTTCAAACAAGAAAATGGGGTCAGAAGAGGTTTGGGTATAGGGTCACATTTTTACAAACCAAGAACTCTACACACTGCACAAGAATGTGCAAACACCTGTGTATTGTTGATCAGAGGATTGAGCACAACTAGTTTTGACAGCCCTGTTGTAATACCTGTATACACTCGAGGGTTGAGAGAACTTTTAAGACTTGAAAATTTTCCTAAATTATCTTGCTGTCTTCCCGATGAAGATGACATTTTGCTACACGTGTGATAACAAAATCTGCAAACACAAGTTGATGAAACTTCATCATGGAAAAACATAGGATGCTTGCAATGTAAATCTGGAGACTCACCCTGCCTGCCTTTTCCCCTCATTTGTGGCCCTCCTCTCAATCAGCCGGAATAGCAAAGAGCTGTGGTGTTTTAATATTCCCTCTAAATTATACACACAAGCAGCCACCAGTGAACCCCCATCTTGAAACGAACAATACTTAATGAATTATCAAAAATGCAACCAGCTTATATTTGATTCCAATGCATCCGTCATTCCTTCAAAATTTATGACATCAATCACTGTAATCTTCAGAAACTTCAGTGTCCACACCTTCGTCCTCATTTCCATCCCCATTTCCATCAGAATAGTCATCCATATCAACATCAACCTCCAAATTTGCATCATCCTCTTCATAACCATTATCATCTTCAGTATCATTCATATCCTCGTCACTCATTCCCATAATATCCGCTGTTCTGTTAGAAGCAACATTGAAACCTGCCTCCCATTTCCCATGCTCATAACTCATCGCATGAGCATCATCATCATCGGATTCAATTTCATCCACATTATAACTATTATTAGCATCCTCAATTTGTAATTTCACACTTTCTTCACCAACCCATTTGTCCCTACCAGAGTTTCCTGGTGATTCCCCAGCATTGCTAGGGCTTTCCATGTCATCCAAATTACATGGCGGGGTCTCTTCCACAGCTCTCTTGTCTGTTCTCCTCCTAACAATTCGGCGACCCCATCCACTTCTCTGTCCACGTGCTTTTCCCTGCTGTCTAAGTACTTGATTTAATGTCCCATAATCTCTAGCATTTTTCCTGCCAGATTCTGGTATAGAACCAGCAGTTTTTTTCTGCCACCGTCCACGGCCGTGACCGCCTCCTCTCCTACGAACTACTTGCTTACAAACAGAGCTGCTGCGTACGCCACCCAGGTCACCCCAGTTATCTTCTTTCATATGTTCTTCCACGTACAACTTTGTTGGTTTAGCCTCTTGCATATTTCCCAATGGAAGCTTCTGTAAATAAAGGAACAAGTTAGAAAAATATGTATTTTAAGAAGACAAGAACGCTGGAGGAACAATCATTTGAGCATAATGTACACAGAGAAGGGGAGTGGAAGGGTGGTGGTTTTCTTGAGGAAAATAACCACAAGTAATAAGAAAGAAACTAAAACTTAACTGTGTAATCTTCTGCTCCCTTGCCATTAGAAACCTCAAGCTGCCTGCCTTTCTGATTGGGTACGTAGGAAATGGACGAATCAAGCTCCAAAAGCCTCAGAGCCACAGCAGCAGTAGTTTGCGGTATCCAAGGAAGTCGAGGAACTGAACCAAGACTATAAGGATCACATACAGACCTTGCAGAGGGCGGACAGGAGCTCAATAACTCCTCCGTTGTCTCAAAGATTGATGATAAAAAATCCCGTTTTACGACACCCTCGAACTGAGTCAAAATCTGCAATATAAATTGTATAACATTCACAACTGCTTCTCAAAAAAATCACAGTAACTAAGATATAAGGCACATTTTTCTTCTTTCACTTCTACCATGGAAGGACCGACCTCACTCATATCAACAATAATAATTGTCAATGGATGACACACCATGTTGAAATACATAAAATCCGTACTGGACTTGACCAGCGTGACAAGGCATTTTAGTATATATATCCACATACAGTACTATCATCATATTCCAACTAGTAACACCCAAACCATATAAAAGAATTGCCTACTTTGCAAAGAAACATTAGCATTCACAAATTATAAATTGCAAGTCCTAGCAATTGACATAAAAATCATATCCCATATACTGAAAACAAAGTCAATTGCTAATGGCTAATGGGGTCAATACTCAGTGTGAACCTCATTAATCAAGGGTGCTGGGAGGAGTGGACAAGATCCAGACCTAACCTTTGGCATAATTTGTGCTAAGTGGCTGCTTCAGGATTCGAGCCCGTGTTATCGAGCTTGACAGCCCAAGCATTTTACTAGTGCACCAAACCATAGACCCTCGTTACCAATAACTCATTGGCATAACAATAATGTAAACAATGCGAGCTTGAATCAAACACAACTCCATCCAAAAATAATTTGGCCATCCTCCCCAATCTAAAGGCCATCAAACTCATACAACTGATTCCCATAGATTAGGTTCAGGACGTAATGAAAATACCAAATGTATGAAAGATGATTAAGAAGTATGGAAACCTGTAGAAGATCCTCAGTGGATGATGAATTGTGCAACTTTATACCCCATGTCATCCTATGGTTTTCTATCCAAGATGATTGTAGAGCCTCGGGCCGAACAGAAACCTGCCAATCTAAAAAATGTAAATATCTAGGGCGAAATTAATCAACACCAACCATTACACAATATCCCAGAAAGCAACACATTAAATTTAACACAAAAATATGAAAGCAAAATATATATTAATAAAAAAAAAAATTTAAAAAAACTTTTAAAAGTAATTTTCCTCATCACCTCCATGAAAGTCAAGAGAGCCTTGAGTAATCTGATCCTCAAAGGATGAGAAGAATCTGAAATATCAGGGTCTACTTTCCTTTTCTCTTCGCATGGGATGACATGTTCTGAAACTCTTAACATGTTATCAAACGTGTCGAATGTCCTATGGCAAGAAGGGCAATGGTTGTTTTCGGATGCATAAGAGTCAAAACAGAATTCACATATTCCCAATAGCGGTCTGCACCTTTTCTTCCCATATGTCATAGCATGTAAAGCTGATGAATTAAAGCATTCTTTCCACATCCACACCTGGAAATCTTGATATCTTTTCAAAGCAGTCTTTCTCTCAGCTTCATTCCTCCCAAGCTCAATTCTAAAAGATGACGATGGCTCCATCGTATCAGATTTTGAACCATATACTGCACTGCTAGGACTATCAGTGCTAACAGCACAAGCAGGACTAGAACCTATTTCAGCAGCGTCATTTCCAACACAACTTCCATTTTGGTCCATTATACTAGCACACTGCAAGTTCATTCGAACATTTTCCTTAAAGGACGTCTCAATTTTTTGCAACATAATGTGCAAATGAGATTCCCTTATTCCACGGGAATCCAAAGATGTCAAAAGAGCATCAAACGTCTGCATTTAGAATAATTAAATGAGACACAGATTAATAACATATGCAAAACATTATAGACATACAATTATGAAGAACGGATATGAAGCGCATATTTGAACTTAATGTAAGCTACTACACCCACAATGACACATGTATGAAGTTCATCATACACCTCATCTTTCTTTTTCTTAATTATTACTCCATAACAAAAGAGAGGAAGTGCGAACAGCAAGAATTAAGAATCTTGCCACTTACAACCATGAACTACTCTTTAAACCTAAGGAAGGAGTTTCGGCAAGAAGGTGTTACCAAGTAAACAATAAAATATATGCATCTTCATATACTCATAAATGAGAAACATGTAATCCTTATTTACTATTATCATAATATTTCCACTTTCAACATTATTACACCAGTGACTAAAAAAAAGAAAAAAATTGTCATTCAAAACATTTTATGTGGTCAACATATATCACAAGAGGTCCAAATCCTTGTTTGGCAAATGTCAATGCCAAACTTATGTGAAGTGTCTTTTGGAGTGTCAGGCAATTATACTTGGAAAAATAGTGATGGTGTACCAAAAATTACTATGCAAGTTGCATTTGCATATTATAGTTCAGTATTATTTAGGATACAATAGCAATGAACGAGGAAGTTTTTTTCCCCTTCCTTTGTGGATTTTTTTTTCAAGTTTAAACTAACGATTTGATGATGGCATGGATTAGTGAGGCTTAATAGACTCTAACTTTTTCCTGGGTTCATCAGTAAAAAAAGAGGCTTTTTTTTTTTTTTTTTTTTTTTTAATAAACATTCAACATATTGTAAAGAACATAATAGAACCATAATAGACTACCTCTTCAGAATCAATAAGTCTCCAATAGCCATCAGGTGATTCAACAAAGATCCTGCCAGAGCCAGTATCATGTTGAGAAGCAGATGCAACAAATTGCCAGTAACGATTACGTCTTCGATCTTGACCAAGTGGCAAGGACCTGTATACATAAGTATCTTCAGCTCTATGGCCAATGTAAGATTTCAATCGTGCACGTGACCTTTCTGCAGTATATCCATTTTGTTGAAGATTAGTAATCTGACCCACAGAGGCATCATGTGCCACCAAGCTCCTTTCAGCAGGCAAAGAATCAAGGTGATTCTGAAAATTGTCTGCCCCAATATAAGGCTCTTCCTTTACTGCAATGCTAAGAGATGCCTCACCATTTTTATTATTAACAACAGGTAATGAGCTTTCACTACCCTCTGCAACAGAATAAGTAACTTTTGTTTCATCCTCATTCCCCATAAAAGAACAATGAAACTTAGTTAGGTTCTCTTCTTTCATGTGCCTTTTATCTAGTTGTGCCTCTGCCCACATTTGCTTCTTCAGAGCATTTGCAGAATCCAAACGATCCTGAAGAATTTCCAATATCAGACAACAGAAGAAGTCAAACAATCATTTAATTTTTTTCTTCCTTTTTAGAAATATGCCATTCAACCATTTATAAAGAAAAGTTACCTCAAGAATAGCACGAATAGAGCTTCCTTCATTTGCAACACCAATTAAGGCAACAAGAGCACTCAGACGCTCCTCAACACAGAGATCAGAATATTCCCCTTCTGTAAGTCCTTGAACCCATGCTTCACCGAATTTGCTTTCATCAATCTCTGTGTCTCCTTTATCAGGATTACTTGCATCAATGCCTTCACAAACCACATCAATAAACTAATCAATTGGAGTACTTGGTATTTTCATCCTTGGAGCCTCTTGTAAAGGAACAACAAATATATAGCACCAAACAAGGAAGAACAATGGAAAATCCTTACCAGCGCTGTCAACCTCATTCTGCAGATTTAATGCATCATCATTGCCAAAATTCTCCTTTTTATCTGCTGAGTATGGGCTAACTCCATTACATTGACTGATGATTTTGTTTGCATCTGATGGAGTACCTAAGTCATCGACTTCAGGACCCTCAGCAACATCACATTCAGAGTCTTCATCTTTTTCAACATCATCCGCATTATCCCCAGGTAGGAATCCATTTTTGTATTTCTGTATTTTCTCTCTGGCTGCTGAAAGTATAACCTCTGCATCAGCAGGATCCTTTCTGAAAGCAGGGCGTACACGATAAGTTGAAGGAGCTGTTCTTTCAAAAAGAATAGTATCCCTTGACAAAGCAACAGAAATAGAGGCTTCTGGTGTCTTGCTTGTTGTTAGGTCCCGAAGTCCAGATTTCTTAAAACAAACAAAAAATGAGTTAGGAAAAGGGTGTATGGTACAAACAGCAATCCAGTACAAATTTATAATTTACCTGAATCTTGTCTGCAAGTTCTAAGACATTTCTGCCCTTGCTTCCCTCAAGACAAAGAACATGATAAGCCGCAAATTTGACTGTTCCAGGCGTCAAACGATGCCTAGATCTGCGCTGAAGAGAAAATCCTTTTTCATGCATTATTGAAACTGCATTTTCAGCTGCTGAACCATTGCGTAGTGTGGAAATTATATCTTCACATCCTTTACCCTACACAAACAAATATTTTTGTGTCATTAAAAATTTGGTTTGGGGGGGGGGGGGGGGGGGGGGGGGGGCGGGGGTGGGGGAATCAATGTTCTTTGTCTGTGGATAATAAACATTAATATCTGAATATACATAAGAATGCTAAAAGTAAACAATATATGATAATGCAAAGCTTCTACATAGTTCAATTTGAAGATAGAATGCCTGTACAAGATTATTATTTGAATCATATTGGATAAAACTCTTTAACATTTCAGGGTGTGAAGATTATTCAATCTGAATACATCTTAAATAATAAATTTTTGAAGAGACAGAGAAGCATCAAGGAAGACAATCAGCTCGATAGTCAAGTCTGTCTTACCACGGAATGACTCAAATATCAAACAGTTTCTGCTTTCTAATAGATATAACTGATAATAATGCATTTGAAGAAAATCAATTATACCCAGCCAATTCAAAAATGTTTGTCTTTGTATACATTCCTAAACAGATACTTTATATAAATGACGTCAGCCAAAATACTCTTACGAAAGTAATAGAGAAATTAAGTCAAACTGCAACATCTCAGACAGAAGATCTAACAGGTGTCGACTGGTGAGACCACTAATATTGATCAGAACTTTGCACAGAATAATTGACATCTACCACAGATAATCAATTCCAAAATCTCTTAAACAGCATATTTAGCACTATTATGATTATCCTTCAACTTTTATACAAACTAAAACACTGGAAAAGAAAACCATTACTTAGTGGTGGTCCCACCCACACGGACTGCTGAGATAGGAAGACTAGAAACACAACAAAACATATAAGATACGAATTTCAGGAGATCGTAAACATCTGATATTGCTATGTAATTTGATACGAATATTCATTGGCATACATTATATATATAAATCCAACCCAGTAAAAACTACTTGGCAGTCCATAGTTCCAGACACAAATATATGCTGAACATTACTAGATCCTAGTCTTAGTAATGTAATGAATGAGATTTGCCAAGAAAAAGAAAGCAATAAATGCTATAGATACAAGAAGGAAAATAATAAAATGAATCACCTCATCATCATCAAAATGTGCCTGTTCAATGCTCTTTTTCTTCAATTGCGGCCCATACCCTGCAGATAACGCAAATTGTCGAAATATTTCTGGCCATGTCAATGGATTTAAGTGGTTCCGCCAGTTACTTATGTCAAAACCCCAAAGATATGCCTGACACAGAAAGTCAAAACCAACAGAAAATTGAGCGTCACAAAGGAAAGTGTTTGGCCAAAAGCTGTGATTACAAAATTACATGTATCTAAAGCAGAGGTTACCCCTTCAACAATCTTTGGATGTCCACCATCAGGATTAACAGCATTATACTGATTTGTTCCTAACCCGGTGGAGGGTGATCTTGCAACATCTTCGATATCTTTTATGATCAACTTCAGAAGAGTAATGTGTATCTCCCCCAACAACCTTGAATCCTGAAGAATTAATGTGACAATATGAATTACCAAAAAAGAGACAGGAACAGGAAAGAGAATCAGATAAGTCTGTAGATAATTTAAAGCAAAGACCTCGAAGAGAACTCACATAGTCATGAAACGCTTGAACAAGTTCATCAAGAGTAAAAGGCCAAAGCTGAAGAATGTCAGCAAAAGTATTACAGAATCTCCAAACCTGAGAAAAAAAAAAAAATCATAATGCCAAGCATTAGAGAGAGAGAGAGAGAGAGAGAGGGAAACAATATTAACTAATCTTGTCTCCTGAATGAAACAAAACAAACATGAGAGCATCACATTCAGAACTTAATGATATTTAAATTAAGAAAACACACTCACAATTGAGTCAGATTAACCAGATATGTCATTTCCAGCATTAACCATATAGATGCACTATATATGGGCAAATACATAATAGATCAAGTGAATGAAACTTAAACATTTTTAACTACCGAAAAGAAAAAATTAAAACTTTTTGCAGTTTCAACTTGGATAGTTGGATAATATCCACCATTATTCAGCTTTAAATGAACCCACAAACTTCTTCTTTTTTTTTTGATAAGTAAAAATCTATTAGAAAAGTGTTCAAAAGGGGAACGCGTCCCTAATACAAAAAACGAAAGTGGAACCTAAGGAACCCACAAACTTCTACCCATGGAGATGCATGTATAATCTATACATGCGTTCATGTTAACAGCAAGAGCTAAACGTGTAGCCAAATCAGTTAACGTATACTTCCAACATCATAAAAGTATTATCTATCAGCTGACCCACAAAACAGAAGAAAGTTTTGCAAGAGCTATACATGTAGCCAAATCAGTTGACGTATGCTTCCAACATTATAAAAGTATTATCCATCAGGTTACCCACAAACAGTAGAAAGTTTTACATTAAGTTTGCATTAAAAGAACTCGAAGGAAAGTGTCTCCTTAAAATTTAGAATTACTATTAGTTGAAAATGAAAATTTACTTGTAGAACGATTTATTAGGAAACCTTTACAACGAGCAACAAATAACACCTTGTACATGAGATGCTCTCTTGTAATACTTTTCCACATTCAGTTTCCCATCCATCAAAAAAATGAAAAATAAGCAAGTAAACAAGGAGATGAGGACATACCATGAGCAGGTTCCCGATATTTTCCTCTGAATTGATCCAGGGTTGAATTGCAAATGGCTTTTTCAATTGCACAGACTTGGGTGGGAATGCACACAAAAGATCTGAAGCACAAAATTTCTGTTTCAGCTATTTGAAAGATTTCAGTTTAATTGTAGCAGACAAGAAAACAAGAAAAAGTATAAATACAAGAGATAAGATACAATCTTTTTGACAAATTAATTACCCAACATGTACGATGTCAAACCGATTCCTTAAAAAGTACAAGTAAATGAGTAAGAAAAGCTCATGATTGCATTAAGAAACCAGATAATAGGGATGTAAGAGACAATTCAATAGGACCGGATTACTCAATGGATCTGGATCCCGTAAAAATCCAACAAAATCGAGTCCTTGTGAAATTCCTATATGACTGCAAAATTGTGGACTCCGAGTTGATTCCCAGTACTAACAACTAAACTGTACAATCGTATAATGTGATTCTTATTTCTCATATATATATATATATATATATATATTTTATAAGGACTTGACACTCAAGTAATATTATTAAACAACCAATACCCAATCGAAATCTTAAAAGAGGAAATCATGTCATAATTTTTATTTTTTTAACTTTGCAATTATTTTTCAAGCCTATTTCAAACCAAAAATTATTTTAACTAACTTAGGCCATTCAATCTCTCATTTGACTAGCATGAGCTTGTTGTTCCTTTTCTTTACATTTCATTTTTTGGTTGTTTATTTTTCCATGATATGTGATAATATAGAGAACCATAATTTTTTTTATAACACCGTTTCAAGCCATTAAATTCGACTGTCCCACCCGTCTCTAAAAGTCACTGAGTTCACTTCAACCAATCAATTTATCTAAACAAATCTTAATATTCACACTTGCTCTCTTCCCCATGTTCATGAACCTTTTTTTTTTATTTTATATATATATGTTTCATATCTAATATAATATGAAATCACAGTTAATGCTATGCAAATTAAATGATTTTTATGCTTTTCTTTTTCTTTTTTCTTTTTTCTTTTTATTTATTTATTTATTTTGTCGTGTGCGTGACTTTGTGACGGTTATTACCCGAACATTATTTGGAAGACATGTTAAGAGTTCCAACTGTTCGCCTTAATTTCTCCACATCTTTCATGAATATTTGACTTGGTCGTCTTTACAATTCTTAAGTTGTACAAATATTAATATCTTTCTCAATTTGTAGGATCAATGACTCACGATCCGGTCCTACAAACTAATTCTAATCCCCTGTCAATCCACTATAAGATCCCAATTTCAAAAACCTTGCTGAATGGAGAAGTTTAAGTCCAACTTTGCCACCTACTATTTCAAATCCTAGATAATTGTTAACTCTTCAACAACTTTTTTCCAAAACTCCCAAGTGGTGGAAGTTGACAGTAGCCACCTCCATGGCTCCATCATCTTGATTCACAAGGTTACTATATAGATATGTGTAACCTGCTCAGACATCTCCCCTCATATCCATATAGCTTATAACATGATTCACGTCTATAGCAATATATACCTTGCAATGCAATATATGTGCTGTACATCCCAAGTTCCCATCTATGAAATGATAATGTTTTAACACAAAATACACACACCATACTTGCATTCAATATAGCACCATATTTTCTGGTATATCCGTGATATTATATAAATCTTAAGTAAATAGCAAATTGCATCTCGTCATATCTGATATATTGATCGACATGTTTGCACTATTTGTGATTTTTTATTTTATTTCACGATTCAGATTAAAAATAGAAAGTTCTTACTGGAATATATCAAATAATGTCTACCTCTGAATGACTCGAGGTTTTGCAAAGTGTCGTGGTCAAGAGAAATTATTGAGGGTAACCCTTTGCTCGAAGCAGCCAATTCCATCAGTTCCAACCGTTCATCTTCAATTAGCTCCATAGATTCTCTAGCAATTTTGCGTGCTGTTGCCCTCTCAACAGCTGCTTTAAGTCTTGCTGCTTCCCTCTCTTGTCGAAGCTCCTCCTTTTGCCGCCTTCTCTCAGCCTGGACAAGCAAAGGAAAAAGATAAAGGGAGAGGGAGCGGGGGGAAAGAGGATTTAATTATTGCATACCGCAAGACTATAATAACATAATATTTAGGTTCTCAAACTTACTCTTAAAGACTCCCTCTGTAAGAACTTCTCTCTCCGTTCAATTTCACGTCTTTCCTCACGCTGATTTCTTTCCTCCAATCGCTGCCTTTCACGCATCATCTTTTCTTCTTCCTTCCGCCTTTCACGGTCTTGCTTCTCCATTTCTTTCCTCATCTGCTCTTCTCTCTTTAGAACAAAAAAGAAGGGGGAGATTCAAAATATCAGTTGCCAAGAAAATATTCTTTTTTCCTTGTTTGGGAAATTCACAATAAGCTTCAGAGATGCATAGATTAAACCTTTCTTCTCAAATTATCTTGTTTCTGGAGTTCTTTCTGGATCTTCTTTTCATAAGCTTCAACTTTCCTCTCCGTTCCAGTTTCAACACTCTGCAAGAAGCAACTAAACATTATTATTTCAGGCAAAAAAAAATCTCTGATAAAATGCATCCACTATTTTAGGGTACCTTGCGTTTTCTCTCGATCCTCAACACATCTTCTTTGTTGGAGATTCGTCCATCAGATGAGGCATTTGAATTTTCTGGCCCCAAAACTGGGTGAGAAGTAACTGGAGCATCCGCTTGACTGTTTGCAAGAGAATCCCTTTGTGGAATACTGTCATAAATCCTTGTAGGTGCTGCAAAGTTTTCTCTGTGCAACCGTTTATTTCCATACAAAAATAATGGAGTTTTGGCACAGCGAGCATCAACAGGCAAGTCATAGGAGTGATATGGGATACGTCTTCCATATGCATCAAATTTGACACTGGACTCATCAGGAAGGAACTCATATTCATGGACAACCCTCTTTGCATCCTGGAAGATAAAAGGTAACTTCAAGCAATTAAAACAAGTGGCCTAGGGAAATAGAAGATTTATTTTTAGTAAGAGTTATATCCTTTAAAAATATGACAATATAAACATCAGAAAAGATAAAACCACCAAAATCTAATAAAAATATATCAAATCCTATTTAACATTTTTGCTATAGTTTTATACCCTCCACCCCTTTCAAATGAGACTAATTAATTAAACATCTGATCAATGAGTGTAGAATGCCCGGGTATATTTTGAAATAAAATATCTGTAAAAAGAAAACAAAAGACGAACTTCAATTGGCTCTGCATCGTGTTGCTCAAATAAATTGCCCTCATACGGACGCCTAGATTGGCCCAGCTGCTCTGCCGTCACTGCTCCACAAGCAATACCAAAAAAAGTTAGAACAACCTTTGCCATACAAGAAATTCAAATCCTAATTAGTTAGCAACCCACATTAGCCAGGAAAGATTTATGCCACATGCTAACAATGTAACAGCTAGGAAATTGCAAACAACTTGAGCAAGGAATGACAAAAAAATCCCCCCTATGATATTCGATTTCTAAATCATCAATGAGTTCAGATCAAAAAACAGGACCTTGAAGACAAATATTTCAGCAGCGAGCACAATCAAAACCACAATTTGTCTCATCATGAGGATTAAGGAAACAATAAGCATTTAAATTGAGATCTCTCAAACATACAAATATTACAATAATTACAAATAAGGCCAACCCAGTTGGAGATGTATGATGAAACAATAGATTATACAAGCAAAATCCTCAATTTAATGTTTTCAAGCAACTGAAAAAAAAAAATACACTAAAATGCAAACCATAATCTTCTAGCAGCACTTACATAAAAAGCATTTGCCTGTTTTCACATGACCCGAAAAGGACAAAGGAGGACAACCATATAAGAAAGCCTCCATAGAAACAAAAAAAAAAAAGGCTGCTACTCCAATTTTGTTTATACTTTATACACAAATAAATATACTAAAAACATGGAATAGAAGAACCAAGAGGACCAAATTAAAACAAAAAAGGAAGAAGAAGAGAAGAAACTTGAAAGGTATTTAAGAACAAATAAAGAATCCGAGGTTGTAAGAACATCAATTTATCATCTAAAAAACTTCATCATGCCATAAATACCTATAGGCATCCCGAATGCACCAGGTGGCGGTTCATCAAACTCCATCCCAAGAATTGGACCATCTTCCCTCAATGGCTCACCCAACTGCGCCTCCACACAAGCTATCACTGTGTGCTCCATTACCGACCGTGGTGACTCATAATACCTTCGCGCCATTGGCACATCATCATCCCCATAATCAAACTGACTCGAGCCCGACCCCGACCCCGACCCCGACCCCGACCCCGACCCATGATCGCTACCCCTCTCAGCCACCATCAATTCCGGTCTAGGAGAATCCATTGAACCCGTCGCCTCCACCCGCAGCTTCTTCGCCGCCGCATCCTTCTTATCCTTCAACCTTCTGTGACAAAACCACATCTGCAATTGCCGGTCCGTTAACCCCAATTTCTCCGATAGCTCCGCCCTCGTCGACTCCGACGGATATGTTTCCACTGACCAAACAACAAAACCAGAAACAATCAATCGAGACCTTATAAATACATTCATAAAACATATATAGATATATAGATATTGAATACAGAAACATATATATGATATACAAAATTATACATACGGGCGTATGTTTTCTCGAGGGTTTCCAACTGGAAAGGAGTCTTCATCTGACGCTTGGGCTTCTTCTGTCCATCAGATGGACTGCTGTTGTTTCTATTGTTCTCTCCTTCTGAAACAGCCTCCATTGAAGATCAACAAACCCTAGAAATCGAAAAGCACAGAAAACTAGGGCTTCTGCAAATCACATATATAATATAATCTCTCCCTCTATCTGTGTCGTGACATCGAAGACACCAAACATGCGAGAAGTTGATTTAGAATTTAGGCTACTTACCAAAAAATAAATAAAAACGAAAAGATGTAGTAGAATTTAGCGAATGATACGAGATATATAATATATAAATATAAATATATATACGCAATGTGTAAATATAGAGAGAGAAACAATTATCAAGAGAAAAGAAAACAAGAGAAAAAAATACAAAATTATGATGAGGAACAAACGAACATTCCCTTTTGGTTTTGGTTTTGGTTGTGCTTGTGGTTTCCATGTTATTGTTATTATTGTTTATTTTTTACTTTCTATTTTGTGGAGTAGTGTTGAAAAATGTTACTCCGCAATGAATTATACACGTCTTTGTGTTGTTCTGTGTTTTTTGTGTGTGCGTGTGTGTGTGTGTTTGATTTTGTTGTGCGGTTTTGGTTGGTCGGTTGGACCTTTTTTCTTTCTACGTTGTTTTGGGTTGAATCAATTGAAATCTTGTGTTTTGTGGTTTGGAATCTTCTGGTGCGGCGATCGGTTTCAAGTTTAGGGGTTTTATGTTTTGTGGGTTCCACATTTTTGCCTTTTATAGGACTGGGCTGGACTGGACTTGCACCTCTTTTCTTTGAGTTGGGCTAGCTGGTTCTGTAACATACATTTTTTAAACAGTGATGGGTAAGAATGAATGAGTCCAGATTTTGATTGATTTACTTTAGATGAAAAACAGACGACCTCCTCCCATTTTCCCTTTTTTTTATGAGACAAAGTATTGACGTCACGAGCGTGTTTCAATTTTTTTTTAAAATACTTCTATTGTTGATTTTACAATAATATCCTTTAATATGATATTATCATATTTAATAATAATTACTTTATTAAAGAATGTGTGTAATTATTGTTATAAAAAATAAAATGAATAAAATTGTCTAATAAAAAAGAGTTACCTAAAATATTCAACCTCTATTCCCAACGCAGTTTTATAACCTTCATTCAAATGCTCTACTGAACTAAATTTGGTAACCATTAAAAGCGCTTATAATGGTTACCAAACACATCAAAATACAATTTTTCAAAATAAAAATGTTTTTAAAGAGTAGAGAAACAATCCCAAATGGGCTCCGCTTCTAAATTCTAGTCTTTAAATATAAAGGTTATTTGAGTCATTTTACCCCCAACAAAACCTTAACTATTTTGCTAAAAAAAAAATACCCATGTCCTCTTTTTCACTCTCTCTCCATTCCCAACTTAAAGCATGGAATTTTAGTAATAAAAAATATATATATGTTGGAAGGTGGATAAGTAAAAATTTCCACCACACATATATAACTAAAAACTAATAAATGAGATGTGATTGTATAATTTATATGAATATACACATACAGATATGGAAAAATATATATTACCTTGGCAGTAGCGTACCTCCAGGTATCCAATAAATTCTCATGCAGAGATAAAAAAAAAAAAAAAAAAACTAAAAAATTCCATCTTTGGAGATAATAGTGAACCTAATGACTAATGAGAAGATATTGGTATCTTCAAACAATAAAAATGTATTATTCAATTAAAGTTGTCTAAGATATTTATAAAAAATATTTTTAACAAATTAATATAATGCATTTTTATTGAATGAGTATACCAATAACGTCATATGCACGACCCATTCAATATTTAAAGAGGGGGGAAGGGGGCGCATTGATGCAGAAAAAAGATGAACTACTTGCTAAGAAATTTTTTAAAAAATAAATTAAAGCATATTTTCTTCTATCATTAATGTCTAAATGTCAAATTTTATTGCCTGTCTTCTACATTTTTGCATCCTGAAAAAGGTGATAACATGATCATCAAGCCGCCCATAAAAAATTAATACAAAAAAATAAAAGAATAAAATGTAAACTCTGAACCTACATACTCGTGTAGTGTCTTTCCTTGTCTTTATATCGATTTGTCCTATCATATCTTTCTATTGCTTATGAATCATTTACATTATTTATGCAACAACTTTGCATTCCTTATGAAACTACATACATCGTTATTACGATGTACTAGTAATACAGTACCAACAAAAAGATTCCCTCCACCAGGAGGGGATCCTGATTCCACAGCATTACCCTCTCTTTGAAAGAGCTTCCTCTGTGTGATTAAAAAAAAGAAAAAGAAAAAAAGAGCTTCCTCTGTCTCGTTAAAAATTCTCAAATTTTCTCTTCCCTCGTTCTTAGCACTTGTGACATTCGCTACCTCGGATTGGAAGCATGAAAATGTATATGAATTTTTTTTTTACTCAATTTCATTTTTATTATTACTACATCAAGTAGTCCTGATACAACCTGTCCCAGAATAAATATACCATTCACAGAGTTTATCCTCACAAATCCTGTGCACTCCCTTCAGAGTTCAGAGTTTGTGATCATAAAAGTTGGTCACAATAGACAGGAGTGATACATTATTCGAGTCTTTTCCCAGTACTTGACACATTATTCCGATAAATATGAGTTGATTCGTGACTGCAAATAAGCAATTGCTTGTACTCTAAATCGAATAAAACTGATTGAAGAATGATTAAACAAATGATAGAGAAATACTCAATTGGTCATTTCCGACATTGAAAACAAAATCTACAGCATGCCTTCCACATCCTTGCGATGTTTTCCCGTCACGCTGCTTTCATTTGCTGGAAAAAGAAAAGAAAATAGAAGAGCTCATATTAAATGGATAACTAACTGCTGCTCCAGTGATGATCCATATATAATTTTTTTAGACTGTTTACTTTATATTTAAAAAGAATGAATATAACTGCATCATTGTTAAAACAATAATAGAAAAATAAGAAATGCCATTTTAATAATATCCTATAATGAACTTAAACTATGCAATATAATGATATATCATTTCAAATTTTACAAAGTGCAACATGGTATCATTTTAAATGTAAATGGATCGATTTTGATTGCTTGAAAGACAACTATTAGTAACACAAATCTTCAGATCAAAGGCTCTATTTGGCAAACTTTGCTAAATGGGCAAGATCATTAAAACAAGCATTAGACCAATCGGTTCTTAGGCTAAGGCCAAATATTATCTGTTCACTCCAATATGGACGAATGCTGATAAAAGAAACTACCATTAGATCACACATGCTGCAAATATAACACAAACTGAGGAGCTTAAATCTACATGGTCACCTCTGTTTTCTATTTTTTTAAGAATTTAAATCAAATTAATGCACTTTAAGTTGTATGTTATGAAATTGGACTCACTCTTTTCTCTTCTTCTATCTTGGCCTTGATGAAGGAGTAAATAGCCACTCCAGCAATTGCAATGCTTGTTCCTATGCCTGTTTGTGTTGATATCTTGTTACCTGCAGAGATTGAATTGTTAGATATCTGGGAGTAATAATATTTTGGCAAAAGAAATCCAGAAGACGTGGTAAAGCTGAGATGTATATATACCGAAGACAATGATTGAGAAGCCAATCACAAACACACGTTTCAACACATTGCCAACTGCATGTGTAAGAGGTGCCACTCTCTCAAGGGTGTTGGTTGCTAACTGAGAAGCCAAAACGCAAAAAAAATATTTGGTCATCTTAATGACAATAAAGGTACCATGGTACACCACGTACATCAAATCAGTAATATTAGTAGTGATGGAATCAGTAATTTGCGTAACTAGATGGATTTTGCTATTTTCTGGGGCTAAGTCCTGAAGGATTGAAATGAATTGAACTGTCACTTTGAGTTACTAAAAGAAGAAAAAGTCGATTTACCTGATTATATAGGTGGTAGAACATTCCCACCCAAAAGAGATCTGAGACGAACTTTGTTAGACCCACTTTAGAAATTGCATCACTAAATCCATGCTTCATAAGTTGAGGTCCCTCAAACTGTATAATCATAATTCATACATGGAAAAACAAGAAAATGGGACAAAGATTTAAATAATAAAAATTGAAATTCCATTGGTGTTCTAGTCTAGTCTTACTCACAATGAGGGCAGGTGGAATACAGACAAAGAGGGCTATAATGGAAATGTAGGCATACAAATTAGTGCTATCCATATCAGTCTGTGAAAGAAGCAGCAGCCATCAGAAAGAGACAAGCAATTTATCAAAAGTAATGGCATCATTGTAGTTTATTCAAGATAGAACAATTAATAGTAGCACATAATCACCATCGCTTTCTTTGAATATATGCTCCTGTAAGTGAAGGAGATGTTGGAAATCATAGCACTGATGAAACCCGTCCAGTTGAAAGACAGCTCAGTCAGTGATGCCATTGACACACCTGCATTCAGTTTGTCAAAACATGCTCTAATAATGTAACACTGTGACAAGTTAAGTACCTTTTTTTTTTTGCATATATAACTGTCACAATCTACGCCAAAATTATATTTTAGATTTTTTCTTTTTCTTTTTCATTTCTGCCTTAATCACAAATTTCATTATTTAAAACTGAGTGAAAGATACTTGTGCTCTTTTTCATTTCTGCATTAATCATAAATTTCATTATTTAGAACTGAATGAAAGATACTTGTGCTCTTTTTCATTTCTTCATTAATCATAAATTTCATTATTTAAAACTGAATGAAAGATACTTTGTGCTTCAGTTTACCATATCTTATAGTTAAATAGGTAATTGCGGTTTGAATTCTAAATTCATACATACTTACAGGCATAAATAAGAAAAACAACCACAAACAGAAAGAGGTGCTTACCAAGGACAACTGGAGCTAGTGATAGCCACAAAGTCAAGGGTATTTGTTGACCAAGTATGAATTGGGAAGCAGCAGCATTGAAGAAAGGCTCGAGGGCTGACTCAAAATGAAACAAATGAGAATGACTTAGATTCACGGATTATGTGCTCTTAACAGTCATATGCTCTTTAAGCATAGAGGCAATATCGACTTAAAGTTCTCCAAAATAGCATAGAGTACTGTAAGCCACCTTTGATTGTGTGGGTAAATGAGACTGCAACTGCGGCAAATGAGACATTACTGGTCACGTGGCCTAATGCGTGGCACACAGCGACAGGGATGAGCAGCTTTAGAATGTTTGAGTCAATAGGCTACATAGACAGTCACTGACGTATCAATTCGTAAGGGTGGCAAAAATCATCACAACAAAGGGAAATGATATGGAGCGCTATTAATCAAGATTAACTGTTGATATAATTCCAGGAAACAATCGAGACCCAATAGGTTATATGTTCATCCAAATTGATAAGATAATGGAGAAATGTGATTAGTATTAAGAAATCATAGTTGTGAGAATTTCTGGTAGGCATAAGACCTGTTATCAGCAATGGTTATATATCATACTACTACATTACTGAATTACACATATATGATCGAAATTTTGCATCAAAGACGCATTAATTATATGCTCATAAATACACACTGCAAATTTGAGAGTAACAAAACTACACATATATCTAGTCTTGCCTTATACCACCTAGCATTAAGTTCATTAACGAGACCAGAGAAGATAATGACCCTTTTTACACGCGTGCGATATAACAAGGAAACAGTTCTTGAAAGTTAGATAGAGACTCCAATAAATAAGTATTGAAGGAAACTTGGATGTTTTGAGTTAGTTCACTGCACACACGCTGCACAAAGTGTTCTACATTCAAAATTAGAAAAATTCAATCAATTACTAGCTTTGAGTTAATGGGCTTTGAGCGTTCAACTTACAGCGCGCTTCGGAAGGCCCACGGCCCAGCTCACCAAACAATACACCACCCCAACAAACAAATGAACAACTGATACAAAACTGCACACACAAACTAACATTCATCACCATCATGCTAAATTACGCCCAACTATAAACAAAATTTCTACCCTACACTAACAAAAAGCAGCATTAGTTTATCCAAAATTCTTGTTTGTTAAAAAAATAATAATCCAGTAAAAAAAAAAAAATCAGAGTCCAAATCCTCTACAGCAAAACAAAGATCACACAGACATAATGTTTCATAGTGTTGTTTTTAAGAAAACTATCACATTAAATATTAAAGACTTAAAGTACTTACTAGGGGTAAGGGAAGTAATTGTATATCTTCTTGTTGATGATGTTAAAGATGACGTTAAGAAAGTACCTGCAAAAGGAAATATTAGTAGAGTAAATTTCGATGTTAAATACTGGTTTGACTATTTGACCGCAATTAAGCAGGTGAAACCACGGCGCAGTTTGGAGGTGTCACGTGACCTACCACATGAAGAAGAAAAAACCGGTGACAAGAGCCGGGTACTTCTCTAAAAACCCAATCGGAGCTACCTTACCGTCCCTGCAAAAAATCAGGTCAGATCAAAACACAAAACGGATTAGCACGGTCACTGAAATGGATCGGACTACCCGAATAGAACTGAGGAAACGGACCTCACCCGGTGGAATCACTGGCACTGCCCTCGGACGGCGACGACGCGGCGGCGAGGACGGGTCTTAGAATCTCGCGCTTCGTCGCTGGAGAGTTCTGGATGAGTGTAGCTGGCCGGAGCTGCCTTCCCCATGTGACGTTCGCGCCATCACCGACGGCTTTGATGGGTCTAGAGGCGGCGAAGTAAGCGGTACTGAGCCTTGTGGGCTTTCTAATCCGGGGAATGCCGGAGATGGTGTTGGCGCCGGAGAGTACTCGGGACTCCATTATTTTTAGAGCGAGAAATTAGAGAGAGAAAGAGTAGGATATGTGATGTCGTCTAGTGGCTACATTGAGCTCTCATATTCGTGGAAAACAGAGGGAGTTATTGAATTATCATGCGCTGATGGTGATATCTTGCACCTGGAGAGCATGGGAACCGTTTGAGTGGTGGTCAGGTGACGAGACGAACGGAACGGACCCAACGGTTGATAAAACCTGTGGTTGTGTTTTTTTGTTTGGAACGATATGGTACATCGCGGGCCATGATAGAATAGAATATTCATTGCTAATGATGCGTGGCGACAAAGATCCTGATCCGACAGTAATGCTTTCGTTGTTTTCTACCGTATGTCATTATTTGTTTTATTATTTATGGTAATAAAAATAATAAAGTAATTTTTTTGTCAAATTTTAAATTATTTATTTCTACAAAAATAAGAAGATAGTTCAATTTGTTCCCGGAGTCAGATGATTTACTGAATAGCTCCACTCGGGCTCCTTTTATAGGGTTAGTAAGATAGACGTAATAAATTAATTTTTTTGTCAAATTTTAAATTATTTATTTCTACTAAAATACGAAGATGTTCAATTTTTTTTTGTTTTTTGATATATCATATTAGACAATATTAGTGAGGCACACACATTCATATACAATATTTGAGAATGATTTTTAAAATAAATAACAATAAACAACTCGATTCAACATTTTCAGTTCTCTCATAAATAGTAAGTGGTATGAGGTCTGTTATCTTCTTTTTTTATTTTTTTTTAAGAAAAAGAATGGAAGAACATAATTCATTCAACTTGTGTGTGTATTGTGTGTGTGTGTGTATATATATTATGATTTTGTTAGTACATAACCTTTTTTCTAGTTGGTGGTTTGGTATGGGCTTTATGACTGTGAGGTCCATCTTATCCTGAAGTGAGGTTTTTGTCCAATCCATTTGCCACTGTAATCCTAAACCCTTATCACTCTGTTCCTCTTATCACTTTGTTTCACACCACTACCATAATTAACATTTAGATATAAATAAAAACATCCACGCAAGAGCTGAAGTGGTAAAAAGTGTGGTATTGTCCAAGTGATTTGGCTTGTTGTTTTTTTGAATTCGGAAGTTTGTGTTTGAACTTTGCATTCTCTCTCTTTTTTTTAATCATTCTTGTCTTGAAAACCAAAAAAAAAAAAAAAAAAAAAAAAGAAGAAAGAGCTGAAGTGGTATAAAATAAATTGACAAATTTGCACCTCTAAAGTGAAGAACAATTATGTCTTTCTTTTTTTAATTGGTAAGTAAAGTGCAAGTGAAAAAGTGAAGTACTAATAACATTTCTCTCATAAAAATTATTATTTTCAGAAATTTATATTGATATTTAAGAAATCTCACAAACATTTTGTATATAATTGTCAATTACAATCTCGTATAATTATTATTTTTTTCTAATTTAGAATCGACTAATTAAAATATTTGAAAAAATAATCTAGTTTAACATAATATTATTATTTTTAGTTACATAAAAATCGTTTTTATTTTCAAATTACAAAATCAATTAAGTCCCTCCCTACTTCGTGAAAAGAAAGTGACTTCTACGTGTGAGATGGTGGTCCTAAGAGTAATTGAAGAGCACAAGTTTGCAGAATTAAATTAAAAAATAATAATTCAAGACAACATCATTTCTTAGTTATTTGAAATTTATTTTTATTTTTAAAATAGAAATCCAAATAGGTCTCTTTTTATGAATGGAGAAAGTGAACAATACCGTGAAATAATGACCTAAAAATCGATAGAAATCAAGCTTATAAATTAGAGCCATAATTTTATGAGAATTAAGTTGTCTCCAGCCAAATGTTAATTAAAAAATTGATTATCTACCAAATTTACCGTCATTTTCATTTAGAGCTCGTCAATTTTATTTATTTTTTAAAACTTAATGCAAATTCACATTCATTATCTATAATATGTTCCTGATGGGACTCCAACTTTCAAGTTTCTTTTATTATTATTATTATTAGTATTATTATTATTATTTTCTTTTGGGCTAAATGATCCTATTGGGATAAATGATAAACCGTTTTCCTTTCATTTGTTCTGGGCTGTCGAAAAGAAGCCCAAGATTGAGTCAGCCCATCACCACCAGCTCACATGTCAATTGGACTGATATATGGTCCAAGGACACCCCATTTGATTCCCACCAAAGGAGTTCGAGTACAATTAAGAAAATACACTCACTGGCTCGAGAATTTCCTGTTCTCTTTGTTCTTCAGACACTGATTCTGAACAAGTTATTGATCCGATGTCCGACCTCGGATGAAATCAGGTACATTCAACCTCCTGTATATATTATATATACATATATATGTGCGTGTCTTTGTGTGTAATTGTGGATGTATATGTCAAAATATCTTTGAAACAAAGGGCCAACTAACTGTTCGATAAAATGCCTGACATAAATCTTGTTGCGTTGCTTAGTTAGTTGTCTTTGGCATATATTTCCAAGCTATATACATATTAAATCTTCAAAGCTTAGCTCGCTTGAAATTCAATCATGTCATTCTGAGAATTAATTCATGTAATCTTCTGTGTCTATACAACTTTGGACACATTCTTTTAAGTTTAATCTATCTTGGTTTCACACAATTTTCTGACTGGAACTGACTTGTTCTCAATATTAATTATAAACTTCTTTACAATGGATATTGAAGTAGCCAACCCAAGTATGTAATTTTCTGGTTGGTTTTCATTATCAATACGTTCCTTCAATGGCAATCTCCTTCCTTCACGCAAAGCCTAATGGAGACTAGTCCTCACCTTTTTGAGTGCTTTGGGATTTGGCATTTATTTAGAAGACCATCGATTAATTGTCCATATTTTTTTAGTTTATCAGATTCAGTCAAAGCTTAGATGGAATTGGAAAAAAAAATATATTCATGTATCCTACCCCAAGTAGTTGGGAAATCGCTTTGTTGAGTTGAGTTATTACATTTATTGGAATTAGAGATCACATTTGAATAACTTTGGTTCTTTCATTTTGTCTCTTTTGTTTTCAGAAGTTTGAAATATTTGATACCATAATAATAGTACAGTTTCCACAAAATGATGAGTGATGTTATTATGGATAATTCATACAGGGCTGGGGCTTCTTCTTTAAGATTGTGTCACGTTACATGCATTGCTGAGCAGCTTAGAGAAATGATTCACTCTTATCAAGTTCAAAAGCTTGTCGTGCGTTAATAAAATTAGCTCAATTTGGAGGGAAATGCTTCCAAGAAAAGAGGAAATGCTGTAATGGCTAGAAAGGCAATGATCAAATGGCCGAAAGAAATCACGTCAACACTGGTTGAACGGCTAATTAGAGCAGAAAGGGACTTGCATAAAGCTATTAACATATTTGATGCAGCAACAGCGGAGTACACTAATGGTTTCAGGCATGATCAAAACACCTTCAGTCTCATGATTTCTAGACTAGTCTCTGGGAACCAGTTCAGATCAGCTGAGGACCTACTCAATAGAATGAAAGACGAGAAGTGTAATATTACAGAAGACATTTTCCTCTCCATTTGCAGAGCCTATGGTCGGGTTCACAGGCCACTTGACGCAATTAGGATTTTCCGGAAGATGAAGGAATATGAGTGTCCACCTACAGTAAAGTCTTACATTACAATCTTTTCCATTCTTGTTGATGAAAACCAGTTAAAAATTGCTCTATGGTTTTACAGATATATGCGAGAAAAAGGAATAACACCAACTGTTGTTTCCCTCAATGTTTTGATCAAAGCCCTTTGCAAAAACAGTGGAACACTAGATGCTGCTTTTCGGATTTTCCATGAGATGCCCAATCACGGGTGTATTCCAGATTCTTACACATATGGTACACTGATCAATGGGTTGTGTAGATCGGGGAAGATAAGTGAGGCAAAAGAGCTCTTCGCGGAGATGGACATAAAAGGTTGTTCACCCACTGTTGTTACCTACACTTCTTTGATTCATGGCTTATGCCATTCAAACAATATGGATGAAGCTATGGGATTATTTAACAAGATGTTGAGCAAAGGTATTGAGCCCAATGTGTATACTTACAGTTCTCTCATGAATGGGCTTTGCAAGAGTGGACATTGCTCACAAGCTATGGAGATATTGGAAATAATGGTTACCAAACGCCATGTGCCAAACATAATAACTTACAGTACTTTAATTCATGGATTCTGTAAAGAAGGAAAGCTTCGAGAAGGTTTGGAGATTCTCGATAGGATGAAGGTCCAGGGCTTGAAACCAGACGCAGGGTTGTATTGGAAAATAATAAATGGCTTTTGTGAAGTTAAGAAGTTCCAAGAAGCTGCAAACTTCCTCGATGAGATGGTCCTTGGGGGGGTTTCACCAAATCGTTTAAATTGGAGCCTTCATGTTAGAATTCATAATACTGTAGTCCAAGGCCTTTGTACGGTGAGTATTCCAAACCGGGCATTTCAATTGTATCTAAGCATGCGCACCAGGGGAATTTCAGTTGAGGCCAAAACATTTGATTTTCTTGTCAAATTTTTCTGTAAGAAAGGGGACCTGCATAGAGGCGGTTGGATTGTTGATGAGATGGTCCTTGATGGATGCATTCCTGATGAGGGAACATGGAGTGCTGTGGTAGGTGTATTTTGGGAGCGGAGGAAGGTTCGTGAAGCTGCAGAATTGTTACAGGTTGAGCTGATAGGCGAAGTTGTTGAGGCTGGAACACGAATCTAAAACTGAGTTTACAAATAAGTAATCCCCATGTATACGTGTAAACCATTTCATTTTTATTTCTGAATGCATAAGAGTTTTTATCATGTTGTGCCACCTTGGAAGCACGCATTCCTGGATCAGGATGTTGTGATTGTAATACCTAGTAGATGAAATGTACATGTTGACCGCCCCATTCCTAATTATACAGTGGACTTGCATGACAGATCCATGTGTCTCTTGGTTTGAGGGGTCGGTCATGGAACTTCCAGATAATGGAGCTGCAGGGTTATTCATTATAATACGTACCTGGTTAGCATAATTATTATTTTTTCTTTGTGATGTTTTTTTTTTGTAAAGTCAAGGTATTGATTATCCTCAATTCTCAAATACGCTGTAATATACACTTTGAGGTGTAAACCTGATGTATTGGGTCCTTTTGACCGTAACCTTAATGGGTTCAAGGATTTAGAATTGTCAAATCTTTAATGCACCTCTATGAAAGAAAGAAAAAAAAGGGCTGCAATTTAATTCAATATTCTGAATTAAGTGGAGCAAAATATCTGGATGCAATTTTAGAAACAATTGAAGTTTGGTGGCAAAAGATGCAGGGTGCAGTTCAATATGTACATTTCATACGCATTGATACTCATGTCTGCAAACACAAACACAAGCAGCCATTATCATTATTGGAACTCACTTATTCTTCCTGATTTTAAGCACAATAATAATTTATATTCATGCCTGGTTTGCCTGCTGGTGTGCAGAAAATGATGGTCAGGATGCCACTGACCCACAATCACTTGATATCAGAAGGGATGTACCTTGGACTGCACAAAGGTTGGAGTCTGTTCTTGCCTCCAAACACATCAATTGGACACTTGACATTTGGAAAGGCATGTTAATGCACGTTGATCTACATCTTTCGCCTTGGAAAGCTTCCATTAAAGGAGAGAAAAGGGGCAGAACCATACATCTACGCTTGAACAGTTCTAAGTCAGCACAGTTTAGAATTTCACCACATTTTTCACTTGCTTGGGTAGCTCAACAAAAACATGTTTTTGGCATAGTTTGAGAACACTTATTTCTTTATCTGAGCATTCTATGTGATTCCATGGGATTTTGGGTAATGTGAATCATTTTGCATTTCCAGGTATGATTCCTCTTTATTATTTCACTTGGAAGCCTCGAGTTTTTGACTTCCTTATTATATATAATGGACAGATACACATGATGCGCGTGTGCAACATGTTGATGCTTGTAAGGTAGATGCTGTGGTGTTCCATTTGTAGTAATGCCATGGTAGCAGTAGCAATTTAGTGTGATTAGAATTAATTTTATCACAATTTTTATTTTTTATTTTTATTGTTGCACATTCTAAGTCATCAGTTACAAGGAAAAAAATATTTTGAACAAGTGGGTAAGTGAAGATAGTTAGCATGAGGATTTGGCATGGTGAACATAGGCAAATGGTAAACTCGTGTTTTGCATTTAATACTATATATAGATATAACATGCATGTTATGAAAAAGGATAATTTCTTAAATATATTGTTTATATTTTTGAACTCTTCCTGTTCATCCTAAAATGGAAACATATGCCTCTTTGTTTCCCTCTAATGTTAATTGCTTCTCCTCTTATAAAGTTGTCTTTATTTATTATAGGAGAATCTTCTTATTTTTGTTTAGCACTAGCTTCTATTTTCTTCTCAAATTTCTGAATTAATTCTTCAATCCTGTTGCAAATTGCATTGCAAAATTTCTGAATCCTAGTTTGTGGTGTAAATGGTTTACATTATTTCCTAGAACTACACTAGCCTAAATGCTTAATCACCTGGCACCATCAATGTTGTAGATGACTAAGATATTGGTTTGATTGCAGGGTAAGATCTTATTTCTCAACTTTGAAATTGACTGGAGGAAGAACAATTTATACATTTGAGAAAACGAAGTCTTTATAATGACAAGATGAAGTGAACACACAAAAAATTCTAATTAGCAGTAAGGGGGAAACCAATTCCGTGGCGTTTGGAAGGGAACAAAACGAACAACATACTGCAAATGACCCCTATTCCGACTGGCAATGATGTGAGGAGCTCTTTGGTCTCATCTGTTGGCTTAGGGTAGAAGCAGTCCACCACATCTTCCTCAAAGAGTGCAACAGCTCCAAACACCAGCATCGACATGAAGGCATGCATAAAATCCATAACTCGCAGCCGGTACTTTGCATTAATTTCTGGTGGTAGAGTTGCTGAGCAATCAATGAACCACAAGCCTCTGAATGTGGCAAACCCATAACAAACATTCCCTTTCTTGTCCTTGAAGCTATCCGTGAAGGACACTAAAAAACATGACAGCCCACAGAGACCTATCAGCCCAGCAGTCAAGGTTCGGCTGACTGAGGTGCACTCGCCTTCGTTTGTGAAAATAGGCGACAAAAGTTGGAAAGCAAGAACCGTTCCAGTAGGTAAAAGATTGGCTAAATTAGCCGAGCTCTTAAATGTCTGGCTCATGGCTCTCTGTATGAGGGTTTTCCGTTGTGTTTCGGGTATGGCTACGTCTTGCAGCAGGAGGGGGAGTTTTGGGTCATTGGGATTCCGAGATTCTCCATTTTCCACCTTAATCTCCATGGTGCTTGATTGCTCTTCGATCCCTTTTATTTTGATCGATCCGTATCAGGATTTTCGCAGCAGTTGGTTGTGAGAAGGTGGGGCATTTATAAATGACGACAGAGATGAATGTTGAGTGAAATAGAAGGGAGTGAAAGGTGGCTAATGATGCCTTGCAAGAAACAGAAACTTTGGTTTCATATAATGCTTGATGCCAAAAAAATATTCTCAAAAGGCTCAAGAGGAGTGCCTTAATATGGAACTTGTTTTTGGATGTTGATATACTAAATATGAGATTTCATTATCTGCTGTAACTCAAGTAGAAAGTTATTCTTCTTAAGCTTTGTGGGATGTTTGTTGAGTATATTACGTAGTTTGTTTTGCTGAGGCGTAACGGACTCAGTTCGGTTGTGCGTTACGATGAAATGTTCTTTGTTTTTTTTTTTTTTCCTCTTGATATGTTGTTTCTATCAATATTATATATATATATATATATACATACATACTGTAATGAATATACATGTATATATAGAGTAATATTCAAAGAAATAAATCTTTCACACGGATGGAGAGAATGGAAAGCTTTTCATTCCAGTGTATCCTTACAAGCACTATATACATATGGCCTATTTATAGGCTCAAAATTGTAGCTTCCCAAACAAGCCATAATAAGGCTGTTACTATAAACAAGAATTGAGCTTTCTCCATAAGCCAACAAAGCTTCACTAAAGCAAGAATTGAGCTTTCTCCATAAGCCAACAATGTCATCATGGATGACTTAAGTTTGTGGATCCCACAAACACACACATATATATATATATATAACACATACATATATCATTTCATTTAGATATATTTTACAAGTATACATAATTTATGATTTAGTAAGATAAGAAATTGGATGGTATTATATTATCATTATTCAATTTATTCTTTTTTTTTTTTCCGGTAAATAAATGTTATTCAATTTACACTACTTTATTCCTGAATCAAATTAAAACATAATCGTCAAACTACATATGGTTATTGTAGCTAGAGTGGTATAATGAAATGAAATAAATTATAGGATTTAATGCCTACTATTGTTCAATGGTCATTGAAACAAAGCTATTTTGTAGATATTGTCATATGCGATTTGGGTATTGATTTCTATGGTTTATGATTTTGCAGCCTCCTCAAACAACAGCAGAGTATCCCTTCCGTACAGGCACAGTGGTAGCTGTTAATCAGATCAACCCACCAAAGGAAAAAGAAATACTACGTATATATTTTCCAACCAAAATACCGAAAAAAAAAAACAAAGAGAGGAAAATCTGTGATATTATCCATGGAGTTGGAGGAGAATATGAAAACCCAATCAGGCCGGCCCAAGGCGGTTGCCTAGGGCCTCAACATTTAGAGATTCTTAAATTTTTTTGGCCCATTAGTAATAGGTTCAAAAAAAAAAAAAAAAACTTAGGCCCCTTACCATGAATGAAATGCCCAAATAAAAAGAAAAAAACTTAGGCCCCTTTCTATGAGTAATATGCCCAAATAAATAAATAAATAATTTGTAACCATTTGATTAAACGAATTCACAGCCCATTCAAAATCAGGGCCCTTAAAAACTTGGTGATTAAATTCAAAATTGAATATGGCCCTTTACTACTTTATGTGTATGTTAGTGTGTATTTCGGTAATTAAAGGGTCTCACATTTAAGTTTGCCTACTCCGTTTTTGGTAGTGGCGGTGAAGATCTTCCTTCCCTTTTATTGTTTTCTAATTGGTGTAGAAAAGGTCTGCCGTTCACGCTCCATTTGGTCCAAAACGGTGTAGTATGAGTAAGTGATCTCAAATCACGTGTTTTAATATTGACCTTTAGATTAAGTTTGGAGAGAGCACCATATATATTATCCGTAAAAAAAAAAAAAAAAAAAAAAAAAAAAAATGTTATATGTGTCATACTCCTATAGTCATATGTTATAAATTATTTTCTATATATTATAATAACATAATCTAAATAAAGGATAAATTTCTTTCAATATCAATTTAGTAAATACTACAAAAACCTTGTTCTCGCCGTACAGCTCTAGTCGCCGTACAAAACCTTTGGCTCTAAAATGAAGTACTGAACTGGTTCTCTGTTCTATCGATCGATCATCACCGAGACTGTAACATAGTTTGATTCGATATCGGTTCGTTTGTTGCCAAAGTGGTCCGAACCATAGAAAGCAAAGCAGCACCACCCGATGGGGAGCGAACAGAGCACTTTTCCGGCCAAAAATTCAAATGAATCGGTGAACCTTCCGCATGATAGTATCGTCTAAATACTCTTTAGACTGCCCGTCAAAACTCTGTTGCAATTCAGGTGCGTTTGCAAACCATGGTGCTCTTTGATTTCAGATACCCATTTCGTTAAAACCCACCTTAGTTGTATTGTATACTTGTATGTCAGCTGAAGACGGTGACTATAAACATTACAGACTCATTTTCACTTCAGCTTGACATTTTGCAAATTATGGTTGTTTGGAGTCTTGTCCTCTTTACTCAGTATTGTATGAGCAATCTGGTAGTGCCTTTGATTTTGACTGCCCATTCCATTTAAAGGATGTGGTTTCGGTTGTGGGTTGTTGTAATGGGTTGCTCTATATAGAAATTGTGGATGAGGATCACGAAGATCTTTTCATATGGAACCCATCTAGTAGAAAATCAAGAGATTGCTGGATTCAGGAATGATGGGGGCATCCTATGGTGGGTTTGGTTATGATGGGGGCATTGTTAATTACAAGGTGGTAGGAGTCTCTTCTATTGTTATTAATGTTGGGAGAGATAATAATAAACAAATACAGCGGAATAACTCTTCTCCCTATATGCAAGCAAATATAATGTATCTCTACTTTTATATGTGTTGAAAATAATAGAGAAAAAATTCAATCACACCAAGCCACAAGAACATAAGCAATTTTTTAAGTGGAAAACTTCCCCAGTGTGAGGAAGAAAAATCACGGGACCTAATCCAGTTGAAATCTCCATTATCAACCAAATAATGGGTACATAAATTCTTCTCTAATCGTAATTAGAGGCTACAATACATCTCATCAAGATATCACAAATCTTGGCAAAAAACAAAGAGAATTGGAAAGAAAAATACCAAAAACCCGGTTACTGTTCACGGGCACAAATCATTGTTCCCGAGCTCAAAATCCGATCTCCACCATTCAGATTTTAACTCATTGAGTCGTGAACCTCTCCTCCAAATTTTAGCTTGATCGGACCACGGACGAAGTGGGATCAGAGGTCTGATGAAATCTGGGCAGTATGTGGAAAAACTGCGTTTTTCCTCTCTCTCTCTCTTGTGAAAGCTACAGCTTATGTTTTTTTTCCTCTTTTCTGACTTCCTTAGGGTTATACACCCTAAAGGGCTGGGGTTTGGGCTTTAATAAAACCCACTTGGGCTTTCCTCCATATAGAAGGAAATAAACCCAACAAATCTCCCCCTTTCCGACTATGTGGAGGGAATCGCCATCCCGACGATCGAACAACAAACTTCAAGCTTTTCTCTTGGTAGGGTCTTTGTCAACATATCAGAACCATTATTATCAGTGTGAACCTTCTCAAGTTCAAGCAACTTATTGTTCAACGCATCTCTGATCTAATGGAATTATACATCAATGTGCTTAGATCTTGCATGAAAACTGGAATTCTTAGCAAGATGAATAGCACTCTGGCTATCACAAAACAACACACACCTCTGCTGCTTGAAACCAAGTTCTCTCAAGAACTTCTTTGCCCATAGCAACTCTTTAGTCGCTTCTGTTGCTGCAATAAACTCTGCTTCTATCGTAGAAAGAGCAATACACTTTTGAAGTCTCGATTGCCAACCTACAGCCCCACTTGCAAAAGTGATCAAATAACCCGAAGTAGACTTACGAGTATCCACATCCCCTGTCACATCTGCATCTGTGTAGCCAACTAACCATGGTTGTTCGTTTCCCAAACCAAGTCTCAAACGGGAAGTGCCTCAAAAATACTTCATGATCCACTTCACTGCATTCCAATGCTCTCTTCCCGGATTTGACAAGAATCGGCTAACTTCACCAATTGCATGGGCTATATCTGGTCTTGTGCAAATCATTGCATACATCAAACTTCCTATTGCTGAGGCGTAAGGAACTTTTTCCATGTCTTCCTACTACTGAGGCGTTAGGAACTCTTTCCATGTCTTTCTTTCCTTATCTGTAGAAGGACATTGCTTTGTACTCAGTTTGAAGTGGGTAGCAAGAGGAGAGCTAACCACTTTAGTGTTATCCATATTGAAACTCTGAAGCATTTTTTCAATGTACTCCTTCTGTGACAAATATAACTTCTTGGCATTCCTGTCACGACTGATTCTTATGCCAAGAATTTTCTTTGCTGACCCTAAATCCTTCATAGCAAATGACTTACTCAATTGCTTTTTCAACTGGTCAATCCTTGAAGCATTCCTACCAACAATCAACATGTCATCCAAATAAAGTAGTAGAATAATAAAATCATCATCAGAGAATTTTTTAACAAATACACAGTGATCAGAAGTTGTCTTCTTGTAGTATTGCTCTCCCATAACAGACTCAAACTTCTTATACCACTGTCTCGGTGCTTGTTTCAAACCATATAGGCTTTTCTTCAAGTTGCACACATAATCCTCTTTCCCTTTCACTTTGAAACCCTCTGGCTGCTTCATATAAATCTCTTTCTCCAAATCACTTTGAAGGAAAGCAGTTTTCACATCCATCTGCTCAACTTCCAAGTCAAGACTAGCTGCTAGGCCGAGTGTTATACGAATCGATGATATCTTTACTATTGGAGAGAAGATCTCATTAAAGTCAATACCTTTTCTCTGACCGAACCCTTTGATAACCAATCTAGCTTTGTACCGTGGCCGTGAAGAGAACCCATTTGGCTTCTTCCTGTAAATCCACTTGTTTTCTAAAGCTCTTTTTCCTTTAGGTAGCTTCACTAACTCAAAGGTGTGATTATCATGCAATGACTACATCTCATCTTGCATGGCCTCAACCCACTTTGTCTTGTGTTCATCTTCTATGG